CCTTTGTATACATTACACAGACTCAATTCTTGGATATACTGTAGATATATAAGCTCTACTATTATTACAGTATTAAGAGTTTAGAGTATCATAAATCTTAGTCAGAGGAAACTGTTGTATTTTTTATTATCAAATAGTACACAAATACACAAGTAATTGATACATTTAACATTGTATTTGTGTTATGAATGAGTTCCAACTAAATTTACATTAATTTTAAAGGAATAATGAAGAAATTTGGTTAAGAATTGAGTAAGATACAGAGGAAAGTGTGTGCTCACTGTATGAGACAGTGAGCTCAAGGTGTGGCAGGTGGGGAGGGCACAGTTGCCATATAGGGCACTCAGCATACTTATTTTATTTTATTTTATTTTGACTTAGAATTTTTTTTACTATTTAAGTCTAGTATTAAGTACAGTTAGGGAGAAAAGCTCAAAAGGTACCTAATTAGAGGGACTACAAGGGTCTTGTACACCCTCTAATTAGGCCCCTTACAGTATGTCCCTCAGGTGTGTCTTCGACCCTCGAGCATTACTAGTACAAGCAAACGGGTATTTCCTCATTCAACCAGTCAATACTGCACAACATACCCACATAAATACGTCATGATGAATGCTAGTATATACTTATCGCCTTAACTAATTTTAACATTAGTCCAAGGTTCACCGTGGCACACGCTTTTCCAGTCGATCCTTACAGGATGACCAGGTGCATTGTCTAGGATGCACCTAACACTTGTATCGCATATGCCATTCTGGTATTCATGAGGAATCCATAGGAATAAACCACCTGTTGGAGTTCGAATCCATCCATCACTTGGGATTATTGGCGGATACTTTGAATATGTAGTCGACATAGTTGTTGGTGTTCCAGCAGTGTGTTCAGTGATACAAATGACTCTGTCATCTTTGAAACAGTAAGCATCCCAACTGTCTCCTGTGTTATTTCGACTTCCGTTTCGAATTGCACTCTCTGTATCCCAAATGCGCACTGTCATGTCGTCAACCCCGGCGGAGGCAATATGGCGTCCGTCTGGAGAACACATGATAGAACGTACCACAAGACCTTGATGCCCTTTGAGTGGGGTGCCCACTTGTTTGCCCGTCAAAGCATCCCATATCCGCACCGTCTTGTCCTCAGATCCAGAGACAATATGACGTCCGTCTGGCAAACAAGCAACAGAGGAAACGTATCCATCATGGCCTTCAATTGGTGTGCCCACTTGTGCACCCGTCAAAGTATCCCAAATCCGCATTGTCTTGTCCTCAGATCCAGAGACAATATGACGCCCGTCTGGCGAATAAAAAACAGACCAAACCGAGTCTTCATGACCTTCAAGCAGTGTGCCCACCTGTGCACCAGTCTCAGCATCCCATATGCGCATCGTCTTGTCTTTAGACCCAGAGACAATATAACGACCGTCTGGTGAATAAGCAACACAACGGACTGAATCTTGATGACCTTCCAGTGATGTGCCCACCTGTGCACCCGTCAAAGTATTCCATATGCGTACCGTCTTGTCCGAACACCCAGAGACAATGTGACGTCCGTCTGGCGAGTAAGCAACAGAGTAGACATAGCCTTGATGACCTTCGAGTGCTGTCCCCACCTGCGCACCCGTCTCAGCATCCCATATGCAAACTGTCTTGTCATAAAGCCCAGCGGAAATATGACGTCCGTCTGGTGAATAAGTGACACACGATACGCCGGATTGAGTAGATATTGTGTGTAAATTTGCGGGCCAATAGGCGTTGACCCCTTTCAAAATGCATTGCTGGATATCAAAGCTTTCACTATAACAACTTGCAACCGTTGACTTGACTGGCGCCCATAGCAATGCCGAAAGGTAGACGTGCGGCGCGCTGATTACCATTGGCTCTCGAAATGCCCCCACAAATCGAAACAAGTCGGTCGCCATGGAGACGAGATCTTCATCGGCCCCGGAATGCTGCACGACCGTTAGAATTGATGGAACTGGCTGTATGACGCTACGAACCTTTAAAACACTTGCCAGCTCTTGAAGAGTGGTGAACGCGACTCTAATTTCCGACAAAATGCTTAATGCCTCGAGCCAATACAGCGCAGGTGGCCTATTTAGAAGTCCATGCAGCATCTGCTGCATTCGCGCTTTGCATGTTTCACCGTTTTGAGATCTGCACATGTGGTTAAACCAGTACAAACAGCTGTACTGTAAATGCTGAGGGATGTCGCGATCTATGCGGTAGTTAAGGTCCAGTACATCGTCATTCGCATAATACGAGGTCTCCAGGTGACATATATTGAATTTGAGCTCATCTAATAAGATCTGCAGGCACTTTTCTGTCATATTGGTCTCCAGCTCTTTCACAGCAGTCCAGAAGCGCCCAGACCTCTCCATGCTCCCGACGAAGTCGAGGAATGATGGATGACATACGCGAACAGCACGTGTCCGATTGTCTTCGTAAAGAACAGAGCCTAAGTGTTTGAATAAGGCATCCAGTTCGTCCTGACCAGCGTCCAGCTCAGAAGGAATAAAGGCGCGAATTGCTTTCGAAGGAAGCGGTCTATTCTTCGAAATGACAAAGATGAGACCGACAATAAGTTTGACTGCGTGTTCGCGACTGAGCCTTGCGAAGCGTCTTCAAGTACTCGTGAGTATATGGCGTCAAGATTTCCCTCCGAAGAGGATGTGCGAGGATCTGAGTCGATTATTCGCTGTAGTAGTCGGCTCTTTCCGAACGGTTCCATGCCAACATGTTTCAGGACGGTAGAGATCCATATGAAATGGCCTGCGGCTTTGCGTACAAGAGCATCTATCGGAATTAGTAGGATGTTGCGAAGGTCAGGATTTGAGGTAAACTGGTCTTGGGCGAAGAGACGGATGTCTTCGTCAGTAGTCACACGAAATAGATCGCATTCCTGCACAAGATCCTCTTTTCGGAGTATGTTTTCCCTTATTCGTGGGCTTGGTCGGCTGGTAACTATAAGCCTGAGCCAAGATGCAACTTGCGCAGCGCTTGCGAGATAGGACGCAACAATCTCGCTGTCTTCACATTCATCCAAAGCGTCAATGACGATTATCACCATCGATACCGAGTCTGTCTCTCGAGGAACTGCCACTAGTGGCTTCGCGAGAAGTGTGTTAAACTGATATGAGAGAGGTTTGTCCGCGATGTCAGGATCATCCACCAAATGCTGAAGGACGGCGTTCTTAAACGCAAATACCCTCTGTGCTAAGAAATACACCAACGAACGAACTAGTCTCGCGGCACTCCTACGTTGGGGAATATTCCGCTTGCAGAAGAATGACCCGGACAGGATTGTCCGTTTTTCTAATGCGTCTGCTACGGAGCTCTTCCCGCATCCGGCAACGCCATGAATCCAGTAAAGTCTCTGACGATGATCCGTTGAGTGCACCCAATGTTCGACGTTCTGCAACACACTCGTTCTTGTGCCAGCTAGACAGCCCCGAGATGGATCATAGGCACTGTTCTCAGGTGGTCGGCAGCACTTAAGTGCCTTATTTTCTGTCTCCGTGAGCTGGTGCTCATCTATGGACCACGCAATACATAAATATCTTTCATCAGCCTCCAGTATTGAGTACTCACAAATCGACGTTGCTATGCCTAGAATATTGACCTGCAATCCGAGATTCAAGCTTTGTGTCATGGCTGTCAACTGCGCCTTGACTTGCTGAATTTCGTCTCGGCAAGGTTCGTACCAATTTCGAAGGATAAACTCTGCACAGAGGTCAACGTATAGTGAGCCAAAAGCAAGTCAGTCCTTACTTAGAGGTGGCTTGGATGCATAGTCCTTTAGGTTATTTGATAGGACTACAACAAATTCAAAGAACTTCTGGACGATATCTTGCACTTCCTTACCCGTGATGCGTCTAAGGATGAGCTCCATTATAGGTAACAGCTCTACCACCTCTTCCATGATCAGGACGAGCTCATTATGAAAGGAGGGAATGTTCCGAAATCTCTGATGAAGAATGTCGATGAAGTATAAACGTGACTGGAGAAGACTCGTACCTCGAAAACTGTGCTGACAATCGAAGCGGCAGCCTTTGCGTACGGGTTCACCTACGGTATTTAAGCCATTCGTGACCAGATCAAAGTAAGGAGCTATTTCTAGCGCTCACCTCAGATGCACCTACGCCGAGTCTCAGTACAAGATCACATATCTGTAATACTCTGTCAAGTTTATCCAGCATGGCGACTTTCAGCCCGAGGGCAGTGACAGTTATGGGAGCTACTAATCGTGCAACGTCGAGCTCCTACAATACATTACACATAAGTAAAGCGTGAAATGTCTCGTCATACCGATTTTGGCTCGCCAACGGATAATTTGATGGTGGCAACTGACTCCTGGCCTGAACATACAGTTGTTATTCTCCGCGATAATTAATTAAATATATTAATACCTGTAAATGTGATCGACCCTCCTGACTGAAACTCGTCAGGCCCGAAATCCACATCAACCTTGTCGACTGTGCGTTGAGGACGTAGGCCCTTTATGTATAGAACTGAGAGAACGGCTTTGCTTCCGGATTTCACGTATCTGAGAAACGATGTTAGTGAGTAGAAATTGAGCGGGTTACGAATATGTACATATCGCAATTCCAATGTATTAATGGTGGCATCTGACTTGTGACGGAAGTTGGATTCATCCTCGAGTATGATCTGGAGCTTGGGATACGGACGTGTCCCGGTAAGCTCGACATCGATCGCTGCACGATTGTTTAGAAAGCTGTCTATAAGTAGTCTCAAGGAAAGTGCACCTTCGAGATGGACGAATCTACATCACAAGTCAGCGTCGATGCATAAATCATAACTCAGATTAGTGAGACCTTACCGTCCTTCATTGCTCGATAATGGAGTGTGCTGGAGCTGTTGCTGCAGGGCCATTATGGGTCAAGGGGATGAGGGTCGACAAGCTATGCTACCCTCCAATTGCAGTGAGGCAGTTGCATGTTGATCGGACTGTTCCGGCCGCTCATAATGCGTGTGCAGTGTGCACAGTACTGAGTAAAGGGGGCCCAAGGCAGCACTTAAACATGGAGGAACTCATTTTAATTCCTATTTTTGTTGAGAAGGCCATACATATACGATACCATATGGAAGATTACTGCTCCTGCAAAGAGCTTGTTGTCTTACCTATTTCGACCTTGTAAGCCGGGCTAAGTTACAGTATGGACTTTACTGTATAAGAACCGGTGCACGGGTTTGACGCGATTCTACCGGCCCTATACACGATCGCAACACGTGCGCAGCGTGCCTTTTTGAAATGATCTGCACCAAGTTCACAAGTTTCTCCGACTCAAAGAAGCTGGCCTTATTGCACCTTACGTGTTGCTCCCAAGATGCCAGCTACAGAGCCTGCACCTTGCAACATCTGTATGCTCAAGACGACAAGCCAATTTAACTTCCTACTAAACTGTTGTATATGCAAACGCGGATATCACCATCGTGAGTCTTTCTTGCCTCTCCAGCTAGCCCAGGTCCAGTTTGTTGACAAACTTTTCGCGTCGTATTCTAGGTTGCTGTAGACCACCAATTCTAGATGGAGATCTTTCGTCGCTGATTAGAGCTACCAGTAAAAACAAACCTGGGAAGGGAATAAAGTACTGGAAATGTTATACTTGTCGCGAAAGACCGTTGCCTTCGGCTCCGGATCCTGGCCCATCCACGCGACGGAATGCGTTAATGTCGGGCACTGGATCTTCTCATGTATGGTTCTCGATCTTATCACAATAGCCTAGCTTCACTCACATTAGAACTTGACAACAGACGGAGGTCATTGTCATTTCTTCGGACGATGAGTACATGTCCGAAGCAGACATCGTCGTTTCCAACCACCCTTTGTCAAGCCGGCAAGATACTGAGCGTAAACATCAAGCCTCTGCATCACGAAATGCACCGAGCACCAGTAAGCTCTTAGGTCTTATTAACATCTCAATCACCGGTTCATGAATTGTTTCCAGGTGTTGTGAATAAGAGTAGCAGTTCTAAAACTCCCAGAGTATCTCCGTCGCAGAGACGCGAGGATAAGCAAATGGAAATCGACACTGCTCCCGAACACTCTCCATATATTCCTCCTACAACATCACCACAACCTCCTACATCCCGATTTGGACTGCTTTCGCCTCCTGCTGATAGCAGGTCGACAACGTGCACCCGAGATAACGTTGAGCACACTCTCCAACATAATTCAGAATGCAATACTGGGTCAACAAATGTACAACCACGACTCGATGCGAGAAATCCTGCGCATCCAGTCACTGTACTTCCCACTCCACCCGTTTCATCGTGTGCAAGTCCACCTATTACCCGAGGACCACGAATACCACCAACTTGGTTAGAGCCCGAGCCAGGGGAGGAAGACGACTTTGGTGCTCGGCGTATGCCTGCTCGCCTCAGTATCAGAGCCACTGCTTCTTCTCAGACTGTTAATGGAGGAGGGAGGAAGCCTAGGAAAGTTAAAGCAAAACCTTTGGAGGAGCAATGGAACAGTAGGAGCCCTGGACAGCACCCTTTTTCATTTGTTAGCTTACCTCGATGAACTCGACGCAAATCTCCCTTCTCCCTTCTCTCATTTTCTCACCCAGATGAGCCACTAAGTTTATCTTATCTTATTGCATTTATAATCTTGCATTTAACATCACAATTTTTCACTCGGGAATTTCGTTCTGCATTCATTCTGCCACTTTCTATTGCAAATTCTCTCACTTTCTTGCACTTGTTCAACAATATTTACTTCAGGTATTAACCGTATCCTTTGCACGCGTCACCTACTCATCCACTCAGCCACTCATCCACCATGCACGCAAAAGTAAATAAATCTTCCATTTTCATACTTTCGTACTTTCATACTGATTTATGTACGATACCCAGTCTAGCTAATACATAGTATATATTGTGCAATAACGTGTTATGTGTTAATATGTGCAGTGTGAAGTACGGAACACGAAGTCTGTGGAGTGAGGTATGGAATATGAGGTATGAGGTATGATGTCTAGGGTGTAGACGTAGACAAGAAGAGTGTCAGAAGACAACAGATGGCAGTCTGTGTTGCTATCAAAGAAAACAAGTCCAGGAAAGGGACAGGAAATTAAGTCGCGTTTTTGTCCGTGTTTGAATCACCGCGAAAGACGACCTGGACTATCATCAAGGTTGACTAAAGAAAATTGGCTGTCCTCCATCTTGTATCCATTGGGATGTAACTGCCCATTCGAGCTCAGGGGACGTGACGCCGGAACAGATAACGACGATGTAGACTGCAAACGACTCCCACCGCCCGTAGTCGTGTTAGGCGAAACAGGTACAGGCGAATGCGAAAGTGAGCGCGAGACGTATCTCGACTGGTATTCCGAAAGTGACGCCGCGCTGCCCGTTCTACTCCCCAATCCCAATCCTAACCCAGGACCACCGGTAAAGACATCATCTAGCGTCTCGTTATGTCCCGCAAGGTTTTCGAGACTCGTACGTGGAGTGACGAGTTTAAGTGCAGCAGAGAGGATGTGCGGACTCACTCCACCAGTGCTCAACCCAGGTGTTGAACTACGTCGTTTCTCATCCGTCTCGCCCAGGATAGGAGCATCGGATGCGACGGGTTCGATAGGTGTACCAGGATACGACGATTTCCTTGGAGTCATCACCCCCATAACAAGTTTCGGTAACTGGCTCATCCCAGCACCCACCATCCCACTCGCCCCAATCTTATCCTCCGGTTGATTATACAACCACGTCGCAGCCAACACCGTCGATGCCCCCACAACAAAACTCGGCGTAATCTGGAAATTAAAAAGCATGACGGAAGCGACGAAGGAAAGGACGATACTGATGGAGGTAGCGAATGCTTTGAGGATGTTGTCGGAGTATTTGATGACGAGTGCTGTGATTAGGCCGCCAAAGACTTGGGTTAGGACTGTTGCCCATGCCCAACCGCCGAAGTTGGCAAAGATTGAGGAGAGGCTGAGACCACCTTGACTGGACGACGTCGCTAGGATTGGGAGAAGAGCAGGCAGGAGGGAGAATAGCGATAACTGGACATTCCGAACCCAGAGATCCGCCTGCGAGCCTTTGAGCACCATCTCAAAGTACACACCCGCAAGACCCGAAGTGAAGCACGCAGCAGTCACAGCAGCAAAACCAATCATAGGGTGCATAACGTGTAAAGCATTATCTGCGTGCGCTTTCCCAGCACCAGATTGAATCTGAACAATCCCAACACCTAATGCGAGTGCCGTTAATGCAGTCCATTTCGTTGGATTTAACCGTTTGCGTAATAATGCGACAGAGAAAGCAGCAGTCGTGAGAATCTTCATCTGGTAGGATACTTGGAAAGTGGCAGCTTCGAGGTTTGACGCTGCCACAAATTGTAGATTATTTTGTATTACTGCGAGAAACAAGCGCATAAGTTTATATTATAATTTCACGGTCTAGATTTCCACTTACCATATAATATAGCGGGTATAGATAGTTTCCAACAGTCTGGGCTAAAAATTTCCTTGCCCAATCTTCTACACCGTGAAACGAAAACATTCGGGTGCATCCAATGTAATGGCTCCCTTCGTTGGGGAGAGTGATGTGGTCCATTATCGTCTATTCGAGAGAACGCAATAGCGAGAGATATGAATCCCTTGAGAAGCTCATTTAACAACACAGCAGAAGCGGCAGAATAAGTGCGAGATGGTGTAGTAGTAATACGAGAATAGTGCATGATGATCGTTAATGAAGCATTTTGTACTGCCAGCGTTACAAGACTTAAGAAGAAAAATTAACCCTGTGAAGTTGAGTTTCGAGTGGACAAAACTCACGAAATGTACTTCAACGGAACACCCCATATTCGTGGTACGCTGTCCTCGTTCGCCGAAGGTAGTCCAACTTCTGCCGAACCGTTGATCTTAAGCCTGGGTAGTGGTGATTGGTTATGGCTAACATGTTGACCCATTGGTGATTCACTGCCGGCTCGCGGAGTGTGCGTGGTATGAGGTTGAGATTGAGAAACGGTCTGCCTTCGCTGGCGCGGGGACGTCGGGGAGGCGTACGACTCGTAAGAGTTTGCAAAGGCGAGCGAATCTTGTCTAATAGGGTGCGGCATGCGGCTTAAGTAGCTGGCCTATCGCAGGCAAGGCAACTACCACAGGGTTTTTCACCGCGACCGTGGGCGCGATCAAACGGAAGGCTGTGTCGGATCGCGCTGAATGGATACTTGGCGCTGCGCGGTTGCTGCGGCGGAGATTTGGGCACGAAACGCACAGCGATGCAATCTGACGTTGCTCTCAGTGGGTGCGGGCGCACTGAATGAGTGAGATGGTGATGGTACAGGACAGACCACTGGCTTTGACGTCCAGGGAAACGAGCGGGGGACGAGGGGCGTCCTTTTCCGTGAGAAAGGAAAGGTGAAAAATTAGCGTGTCGGTTCTGCGTCGCGTCATCGCGATTCGCGCGGATCGAGACGCGTCTTGACGCGAACCATCTCTTTATTCACTCTTTGCTTGTTCCGCTTTCTCTATTTCTTGACTATTCTTGCTACATACATGCTGTTATCTGGAACTATCTAGTCATATCATGTCCTCTACTCGCAGACGCACAAAAGTAATATCCTATTTCTGCGACAACTCAGACCCGGGCTCCGATTTCGAGCCGAAGACGAAAAGACCAACGAAGCGACGGAAAACAAAGAAAGCACTAGCTAGCGCTGATTCAGAAGACTATGAACATACTGCTGCTGCGGAGGCTAACTTCGACATCGGGAAGGCTGTTTCGCACCCTGTTTCGCTCCACAGTATCAAACACCCCGTTGCTATCCAGCGATGTCTTCTCGATTGGTATGCTGGTGTACACCAAAATAGAGGCATGCCATGGCGGAAACCATTCGATCCTACATTAGACGCGCAAGGGAGATCACAAAGAGCCTATGAGGTCTGTACACTTCACATCGTGATTTGAGTGAAATGTCATGATGTATCAGCTATCTGTCAGGTATGGATATCAGAGATCATGTTGCAGCAAACGCAAGTTGCAACAGTGATTCCGTACTATAAACGTTGGATGGAGAGGTGTGGTTCTGTGCTTGACCTATGCACCTTCACACACCACTGACACTGCTTTAGGTTTCCGACAATCACCGACCTCGTGCGTGGAATGTAGTTCTCTCATCATCATGACGCACCGCACCGCTCATTATTACAATAATAGGCAAAATCAGATATCGAATCTGTTAATGCGCTCTGGAAGGGTCTCGGTTACTATTCACGCGCTGCAAGGCTACTTTCTGGTGCTCAGAAAATAGTTAAAGAGTATGGTGGACTCTTCCCCGACAATGCGAAAGATATGATGGCGAACGTACCAGGAATCGGAAGATACAGTGCAGGAGCTATATCATCTATAGCATATAATCACTGTGAATCTGTAGTAGGTTCCTCCATTATTATTATTATAGAATTTCGAAATATTTAACGATTTTGATATACAGTTAGATGGTAACGTAAATCGACTGCTCAGCCGCGTGCTCGCTCTGCATGCGAACCCAAAGAGTAAGGCAACTCTGGACGTCCTGTGGGATGGTGCGGCTGCAATGGTGAAGGACACCGAAGAACCAGGAAATATCAACCAAGCATTGATCGAGCTCGGATCGACGGTATGCAAGCCTCGAGACCCGGATTGTGCAGCTTGTCCGCTCAGGGACTACTGTAATGCTTATCGAGAGTCCAAGGTCAGTTTTCTCCCGAATTTGATTTCCGTTTAAGTGCAGATATGAACCCCTACCATAGGGTCGTTTGCCAGAAGAGGACGACATCGAGGAACTTTGCACGCTGTGCGAACCAGTTCTGTCTAGTGAAGATACAGGTGTAACACGATATCCAATGAAAGTCGAACGCAAGAAAGCACGCGAGGAAGTAGACGTTGTGAATGTCGTCGAGTGGCTTAGTCCTCTTGGGAAACGGTATTTCCTACTTGTCCGCAGACCAGATAAAGGTAGGATACCATTTATGTGTACTATTTAGGTAACTGAGACGAAATGGGTTATAGGTCTGCTCGCTGGGCTGCACGAGTTCCCTTCACGCGCAAACGTCCAAGAAGCCGATACCCCAGAGAAACTACGAAGCGTCGGACAAGATGTCCTACGCGACGTCCTTAGCTCTCCCCCACTATTCAAACCGACTTCTTCGAGACCACGTGCGCCAGACGGTTCTTCTACAAAAGTTGAGCAAGATGGTCTGAGAATCGTTAAGATGAAACCCGCAGGTGACGTCCTACACGTCTTCTCACATATTCGCAAGACGTATCGCGTGCAGTGGATCCTTCTCGAGGGTACAGTAACAGAATCAAATTTGGATTCCGGTGTGGAAAAGCCACCTGCACTTAAGGCTCATTATGCTTGTTCACCACCTAATGGATCTGTGAAGAGTGAAAAGACAAGAACGAAGAAAGGCAAGGCAGGCAAGGATGTGGATGACGAGGACGAGGAAATGGAGAAGTCTAAGAAGCCTGCACACTCTCCTGGTTTGAAGAATAAAGACCCGGCTTTACGATGGGTTGAGAATGAGGATGTCCAGCATGCTAAGTACGTCCTAATATCTTCATAAAGGTTATGAATGCGACTGATCGTGAATTCCATAAATGTAGTATTGGCACGGGAGTTATGAAAGTCTGGAAGAAGGTTAACGAACTTTGGACGGATAGTGAATGAAGAAGATTTAGTAATTATTTGTATGGAGGTTTTTCCACACTGCTTTCGTTTTGCTCTCGTGCCTAGTTAGTTTATCCGCTGGAGGATCTGATCGCTGTTTCTTTAATTGCAAATTATAATATTTTCAACAGCCTAGCAGCCTAGACTTCATCTCGTAATTGCAAACAATTTGCAAACAAAAGAATAGACACTAATTTGCCTTCATAGAATCATACCTGCCAATCTTGAACTCGGGGTCGGCACTCTCCTCGTCAAATCACCGGCCCTAAACAACACAATCACAAAATTCCATCCGCACGCTCACACGCTTTTTCTTCATCTTTTAACAACTTCAAGGCCGCCTATCCACATGTTCTGTCGTCGCATTTTCTCCACGGCGTCTTGTACATCTTGTGTGGCCTGAGAACAGGCTACTGGCTAGGAGGGCTCTTTGGCTGGCCGTTCGGAATCGTTTGATGTGGATGGGTCGGTCACCTAGCCTCCCGACAGATTTTCTTTTATTCTTACAGGCGGTCTTTTTCGGTTTTGTGAGTTAGGGAAGTGTTGGGGGGTGTTAGGAGCGGAATTATATTCCGCTTGTGTATGACTTTTGTTGTGAATTGAGATGATGGTTACGTGCACATATTTTGGGATTGAAGTCGAAGTTGATTTGTAGATGACAGATTATTTCGTGTTGCTCACTAAATTATAAAGTTTGTCCACCTCGAACACCAAGCAGAGTGCTTGGTTCCTTGCACTCGTTCCGAGAATTTAAGAAAACTGTTTTCGCCAGCATGCAGAACGGTGAGGTGCGGACCTCGGGCATGCACGACGCGATTTTGCCGCGAGCGCGCGTTTGTCTTGCGGGCTGCCTGTGTCAAACTTCAGGGTCGGCAAGACTATTCTCGACCGGAGGCGGACGAATCCGAGTCGATTCCTGTTCCTCGGGCTGTGCTATTTTGACAGCGTAGAATGAATTGTTACGCTTCATAAAAAATATCTTTCATCTTCAGCAGAATATTGGGTCAATCTGGGTCAATGAGCATTGTACACTGGCAGTCAAGCATCTGCACTTTTATCTTTGTTTTGTCTCGCCTGTGTTGATTGAGTGATTAGCTCTAGAGATGGACCGTAAAAGACCGATCAACTTGATGCTATCCTGCCAGATCGAGTAGGGGTCCCTGATCCGGTTTGGTGCATCAAGCCATAAAGACCATCTGCCATCACCGCCTTTCAAATGAATAGGGTCAGGCTTACTTGAGCCCTTGAGCACTTTCCCCTCTCTCCACTTCATCATGTCTTCCTGCCGCCAACGACGAGGCCTCCTCCCTGCTCTTGCTTCTGCTCTTGTCTTGGGTGCATTGAGGGGTATACAGGCGCAGATCACGAGTAACGCGACGTGCCTTTCAAACTGGGCGGATGTGCGTGACTATATCAATCTTCTGGGTTTCTTTAGTTAGACTGTCTCTGATCATGTTGGTGAATGTCGTCTGCTTGAAATAGTTATACAACTCGAAAGGCCAGAGTCCATGTCTTGTAGGCGCATACTTGGGAGGTGTTTGCAATGGCGGTCGTGCGTATCCTTCTCCTTTTACAATTAGTATTAGTATTTTGACCTTATCGGATTGCAGAGTATGATGTCGGTGCACTGGAGGACGGACAACATTACATCGGGCCTACACCTCTCATCGCGAATCCATGCTTGTGCAGTACGGTAATGTTCTCAGTAATGGGCGCGTGTAGTACATGCCAGAACGCGACGATCATCACGTACGTTCACAATTCCTATATTTCTCGTTTACCATTAGCTGTGTACTGAATTTCTTTTCTTTCTTTTTCTTTTTCTCTGGACCTCTATAGATGGTCGAGCTGGTCTTCAAGCTGTGATACGGTTTATGTGGCTACGTACGTTCAGCACGCTATATTCCGAAATAAATTTTTTCAATAAGATGGACGGACTGACTGATGATACGAACGATGTTTTAGGTTCCCCATGGACATTCCCTCGGACACTGCTGTTCCAGGTTGGGCGTATGAAAATGTCACTGTGACGGGGACGTTCGACGTCAACCAGGCTTTGCAAGACAACTGTAAGTAACCATCCATATTCGAAGTTTCACAGTGACAGGCGCTCATTTCATATGCCCTTGTTCCTCTAATTTTCCTTTTTTTGACTTCGTTTTTTTGTTTTGTTTTTAGCGCCAGAGTCAACTGCGACCTTCGTACAGCAAACGAATTCAGGGACTCGGACGAGCGGTACTGCGACGGGTACTGCAACCAGTCCCATCGGCGACAACGATGGCAACAGCGGCGAGAAGAAAAAGACAAATACAGGAGCTATCGCAGGCGGAGTTGTCGGTGGTGTAGTCGGCCTTGCACTCATCGCTCTCCTTATCTTCTTCCTCATGCGACGAAACAAGAACAAGAACAAAGGATACGCGAACGGTGGTGCTAATGTGAATTTGACTGGGTCGACGTATGGAGGATATAATAATGGATTGGATATGGTGCATAAGGATGAGTACCAGCCTGTTCCGTATACGCCGAATGCGTATGATGGGAATGTACCTGTTAGTGGTGGTGCGATGGGAAGCCCGCCGATGGCGCAACAGCAGAAATTGTATGACCCGAACGACCCGTCGACGTTCCCCACTTCTCCTGCACCTCCAGGTTCGATTCCGAACCAGACGACAGGCCAGTCGTTTACTCCCAGTTTCCCGCAGCCGAGCACTCACTCCGGTGTACCAACGCATGATTCAAGCCAGGGAGCGTATCGTGGTGTTGCAGAGATTTGAGTTGCATCAGGCAGTCTTATAGGACCAGATTAGGCGGGAGAGGATCCGTTTACGATTCTACGTCGTTTTTCTTGGAAGGTTTTGAATTGGGTTGACATGGCCGAACTGATGCTAACTCGTTATCCGACATCTGACTCTTTCCTCTATGCTTTCAACTCCTTTCCTTATCGTGATATTTTTGGTTGCACTGAACGGATAGGACAGTGTGGTTATCCATCTCCCTATCTCGTTGAACAGTTACTCTACTCTCCTCAGGCTCGTTCTTTTTGGATTACAAATTTTGTGATGAACTATACGACCCAAGCTCCGCGTCGCTGCGACTAATCCCCCTTGTTTAAATCAACATATTTAAATTTATCACGTGAAATGCCTTCTCTGTTGTGATGAAAGATTCACTGCTTATATTTAGCATTGGTAAAGTCAAGTCTTAATAATAAAAACTACAACGATGGAGTGTGATTCAACACAAACGCCGATATCGTTACAATATTGCTTGTATACTTTTCAAAAAATTTACTTTTTTCACTCCATCAGTCACGTGCACTTCGATCTCTTCCATTTTGAATTGACCTTTAGCCAAACCTGAAAAAGTAAATGCATGTCTGTCCGACTCTACAACGGTTTCTTCCAGCTTATCAAACCTCAGTACAAGCCAATAGCAAACCCTAGTCTTGTCTTTGAAATAATGCCGAAATCCACGGTTCCGCCACTCTCCTGCTCGGCGTTGTTCGGTATTTCAAAACCTTCAGGTCCGTCAAGTATGTCAGTCATAAACGACTTGAAGAAGTTGGTCTCTGCTTCGAGGTTGTTCGTTGATGAAGAGAGCGCGAAGGTTAATGCTGAGAGGTTGTACTCTGTTCCTGATGGAGAGGATGAAGGTGAAGGTGGAGTTGTTGAGAGGGATGGAAGGAAAGGCGGGAGGGAGAAGGGGAAGTGGAAGAGGATGAGGGGGAAGGGTAGGAAAGGGAGAGAGGTTGAGGCGAAGATGGGGCAGGGTGGGACGCTTGACCCTCTTGCGGATGGTGTACTTGGTATGTTCAGATTGTTTGCAATTGACTTGGCACTGATTAGAATTATATTTTATTTCTAAACGGATCTGTGAACGCGGATTTCGTCGAACTTTTTTTACTTTAATTTCGCTGTAGTCGTCGGCGTGAATAAAGGGACGAAGAAGCTAAGCGAATTCCTTGATTGTATCAAGGTGTGTTCTCTTCCCTTTGTCCAGGATACAATTTGTACAGTTGTTTACTGAATAAGTGATTGTAAGGAATACAGGACGACGTGTTTACTAGGGTGCGAGACGGACACGTATGACAGTGAAGGTGCACAAGTTCGCACAGCACCGTGGAAACACGTAACGAAGGAGAAAGTCGAAGCTGCGCTTGAGCAGTTTCGAGGAGATATTCAACAGACGCCACCTGTGTACGTTCTTACTTTTTATTTTTATTTTCCTTAGCTTGATTGAATGTATTGACTTTATTCTGACGTGTTGTTTTGCTTCAAGGTTTTCCGCACTGAAGATGGACGGGAAACCGCTATATGAATATGCAAGAGAAGGGATTCCACTTCCGCGACCTATTGAGAGGAGACCTGTTACGGTGCATTCACTGGAAATTACACATTGGATACCCGGATCCGAACATTCATACGAGTTCCCCACGAAGAAATTTAGTGAGGAAGAACGGGCAAAGATGGTCAAGGCATTGAGAGGAGTGGAGCTCTCAGCTGATGCAGAAATCAAAGACGAGCCTGAGCAACAGACAGACTCAGTGGAAGGTTCTACAGGCGACGCAAAGGATGACGGTGACAAGCCAACGGAAGAAAGACCGCCCGTGTTCGTACTTAGCATGCGTGTTTCGGGAGGGACGTATGTGCGGAGTATCGTACATGACGTCGGACATGCACTTGGTTCTGCAGCGCATGTTGTTACCCTTACGAGATCTCGCCAAGGGAGGTTTGTTCTGAAGCCGTCAACAAAGACATCGACACCTATGCTGCCGGAAGTGCTCACCAACTCAGAGGTCAATGATACACCAGAAGTTTCAGAAGAGAAGTCGGATGACGCAGAACTTGCAAAGCAGATGGAGCGAGAGTGTATACCGTGGGATGTGTTCGCACGTGCAATGGAGAGCCGAGCTACAGAGGAGCCAGACGAAGATGGTTGGAGAGAATGGGAAAGGGAGGTGATGGATAACTTGGAAATTGTAGAAGGAAAATAATATAGAATTTACGGGATATTAAATTTATTTATTGTTAACCGTCATTTTCAAAATGTACTATGAAGTTGTGCATTTCATACAGGGCTAGAATGTGACGAATCAACAAGTCATCATTGGGCTGAGGAAGAGACGCGTCTGACGCGTCTGAGTCACCTGACTAGCTGAGTCACACGTGCGCCGATCTTGTTCATACGGTTCGCCTGAGGATCCGAGGCGAGAGAGTGACCCTATCACACGTCCGTCGAGTGTGCGTCCCCTGTCGTCGAACGTGGACGACGATGAACACCAGTCTTCTAAGCGATCTTTTCGGGTATACGTCCATCGGTTGTTGGCTCTTTGCCCAATTTCCGTAAGTTCCTTTCTCATTTTCCGATCAATTCGTCATTTGCTTGCGCCTTCGCGCACGTTTCTTGCGCGAGATGAATGGGGTTCGGACGCTGATCAGTTACTATCACTTCTGTCTTTCCTCACTCATATAGACAGGTACTTGAGAATATTAGAAGACAGTCTTGTGAAGGCCTTGCCCTGCCCTTTCTTTTCAATTGGCTGCTTGGTGTGTCATTTGTTCAAGTTGTGTACAAAAATAGATTAGGTACTGATAGTCTTGGAACACTACTTAGGGGACATAACAAACCTAATAGGATGTATACTAACGCACCAACTTCCCTTCCAAGTGAGTCTTATCCATTTGATGTTTGTGGAGTCGGTGTGCTGACTCAGTCAGACGGTGCTTGCCACGTACTTCGTAATGGTCGACATGATGCTCTTCAGTCAATACTTCTATTATAGCCCGCCGAAAGTGAAGGAAATCTTGTCAAGCATACCTGAAGAGTCTCCGGTACGGCGATTGAGCACTCATGGACGAAGATGTTCCACAGAGCACGATCATCATTATCGGGAGTTATCAAACGCAGCTGCGAATGTAGCGATAGCTGCTGCACTTGCTGTTTCAGAGGAAGAGTTGCTTCACCCGGTACAGCAAAAGCAAGGCTCAACGAGTACAGTTCATCGGCGACCAAGCACGATGTATAGCGAGGCCGAGGAAGCGGAAGACGAAGTGGACGACGCAGCTCTCGCTGCACTTGCAGATAGTTTCCACTCCGAGGGTGGGAGGAAACGTATCTCGTGGAGCCGGGAACGATATTCATCAGCTGGACGTGGCGGGAGTACGAGTCGGACACGACCGAGTGGACCTCCTAATGTATCCCCACTCACCCCGTTACATACCTCGTTGACTTCTGGCCCCACTGATGGTGCAACTGGGCCCGGAAGTATGCGCGGAAGGCCTTTGCAAAGACAGATCGTAGACTCTCCTATTGACGTTCGTGACCTAGATAGGATAGAAAGCGTGGTAGGCCGTCAAGCATCAAGGAGCGTTATTAAAGGTCGTCGAAATTCCCGTGCAAGTCAACGAAGTGTGGGTCTTGTCTTCCTTGGTGTTTGGGCTTTGTTTGGTATTGGGACGTTTTCGCGTACGACTAGATCCATTTCGACTCCAGTGCAGGGTACTGTGCTTTCTGAGGTTCCGCAGTCAGTACCCCTGTATGATGTTGCAGATACCGACCAGCCAATACCACACATACCCTCTGGAGGACCAAATGCTATCAAACTGGTATTTGAACAAAGTAGAGGGGAAGATCCAAGAGAACCATCTTCAGAGCGGATAATAGGTCGGATATTCGCGTGGGCATGCACGACTTTATACCTTACGTCTCGGTTACCACAAATATGGAAGAACGTGCGTAGGCGTAGCTTCTCATCCACGTTTTGATGAGGAAACTATTTATCAATACTTCTTTTTCTTGCAGTTCGTCCGTAAGTCCGTGGAAGGCCTCTCGATGTACCTTTTCGTCTTTGCCTTTCTCGGGAATACGTTCTACGTTATGTCTATATTGTCATCTCCCAACCTATCTCGTCCGCAACCTGCTGCAACCGCCTTTCTCTTAGAAAGCATGCCGTAAGTCGACTCCTTAACCTTAAGCGTAGAATAGGTGACTTATGGCTGCCCTTTTTCATCCGTTTTCAGTTACCTATTAGGGTCCGGTGGCACACTCCTTTTCGACGTCACCATCGTTTCACAATCCTTCCTTTACCGTCATCCACCAAGTCACACGCATACCTACTCACATCGACATTCTTCTTCCTATTCCTATTCCCACTCTCATCCCCATCGAACGCAATCAACACCTCATGCAACTCTTCCGCATCAACGAACTCGGTCTTCGTATTCTCGTTCTCGGACGGAGTCGTATAATCAGATACATAAGAACTCGTCGTTGTATGGGAGTACTGGTATCTTGGCTGTCCCAGAGGAAGAGAGGAGTCTCTTACGATCGACTGAGGGGGAGCATGACTTAGAGAGTGGAGCTAATGATTGGACATTGCGACAGCAGCAACTCGAACAGGGTGGACAGAGTGGCACTCGAAGGAGGAAAGATGCGAGCGAGGGCGGGGATAGCGAAGAGACTGTTTCTTGAAATTACTGTAGTAATAATGTGTGAGGTGGAGGGGTTGGGCGAGTTTGTATTTGTCGGAGTTAGGGTAATGGACCGAGTTGTGTATAGACGTCGAGTGGACGAGTGTGTATTTCTTGCTATTTCTTGCTATCGTATTGTATTTCTAGAATGTACGCACTCAGAAACGTACGGCTGAAGAAGCACCCAATCCGACTAGGGCAACAAGACCATGGGCGAAGGCTAAGTCGACGCAAGACAGTTGTTAAAATCCGAAGGAAAAAAAAATAAGTAGAAATAATAGATGGATAACTATTCACTACACTGTTTGCTGCAGTCCTGTAAGTATGCACTGTTTGCTGCAGTCCTGTAAGTATGCACTGTTTGCTGCAGTCCTGTAAGTATGCACTGTTTGCTGCAGTCCTGTAAGTATGCACTGTTTGCTACGGTCCTGTAAGTATGTAGCATATACCATCCGTCCAAGACACTAAAATAAGGATAAATATAAATACAATACATTATGCTAGATGCCTGTATCTAATGTGCAACTTACAAGAGTACGAGACTAGTCTTCATCACTTATTTTAACTTTAGTCCACGTATCTCCATGACACAACTTCGACCACTCCAGCCTAACAGGATGACCGGGAGCATTGTGCGGAAAGCAGTGCTGGCTCATGTCGCAAATCCCACTACGATACTCGTACGGAATCCACAATAATAGGCCGCCCGTCGGGGTCCGGATCCATCCATCCGCTGGAACCTTCGATGGATGCTTCCTATAATATTTTGTCAGCCCTGATTTTGCTCCAGGACCTTCTTTGTTTAACCGCACAAATCCATTCATATCCGTAGCATACACTTCGCCGTCCCTATCTAAAGAATACGTCTTTTCTGCGTCACTCGTAGAACATGATTCCAAGTCGTCGCTTGGAGACTGCGTTCCCGCTCCACAAGATCCTTCCATCCCATAAAAGCCGTCACTGTAGATTGTGCTCCCGGTGTGGAGAATGTGCACTGCCCTGTCTTTGGACCCAGATGCAATATGACGTCCGTCTAGTGAATAAGCAACAGAATCGACCGAGTTTTGATGACCTTCGAGTGGTGCGCCGACCTGTGCACCCGTCTCAGCATCCCATATCCGCACTGTATTGTCGGAACAACCAGAGACGATATGACGTCCGTCTGGTGAATAAGCAACAGAATAGACCGAGCTTTGATGACCTTCGAGTGGTGGGCCGACCTGTGCACCCGTCTCAGCATCCCATATCCGCACTGTATTGTCGGAACAACCAGAGACGATATGACGTCCGTCTGGTGAATAAGCAACAGAATAGACCGAGCTTTGATGACCTTCGAGTGGTGGGCCGACCTGTGCACCCGTCTCAGCATCCCATATCCGCACTGTGTTGTCCCAAGAACCAGAGACGATATGACGTCCGTCTGGTGAATAAGCAACAGAATTGACCGAGTTTTTATGACCTCCGAGTGGTGCGCCGACATGTGCACCCGTCTCAGCATCCCATATCTGCACTGTGTTGTCGGAACAACCAGAGACGATATAACGTCCGTCTGGTGAATAAGCAACAGAATCGACCGAGTTTTGATGACCTTTGAGTGGTGTGCCGACCTGTGCACCCGTCTCAGCATCCCATATCCGCACTGTCTTGTCAGAAGAACCAGAGACAATATGACGTCCGTCTGGTGAATAAGCAACAGAATAGACCGAGTTTTGATGACCTTCGAGTGGTGTGCCGACCTGTGCACCCGTCTCAGCATCCCATATCCGCATTGTGCTGTCCAAAGAACCAGAGACGATATGACGTCCGTCTGGTGAATAAGCAACAGAATCGACCCGGCTTTGATGACCTTCGAGTGGTGGGCCGACCTGTGCACCCGTCTCAGCATCCCATATCCGCACTGTGTTGTCCAAAGAACCAGAGACGATATAACGTCCGTCTGGTGAATAAGCAACAGAGTTGACCGAGCCTTGATGACCTCCGAGTGGTGCGCCGACCTGTGCACCTGTCTCAGCATCCCATATCCGAACAGTGTTATCAGAACAACCAGAGACGATATGACGTCCGTCTGGTGAATACGCAACAGCGACGACAGGAGAATGTGTAGTTATTGTGTGCAAACTGGTAGGCCAATGGTCATTTACTCCTTTCAATATGCATTGCCGTATATTAAATTTGCGGCCACAGTAACGGTTTGCAATCATCGATTTGACTGGTGCCCACAGTAGTGCCGAAAGGTAGATATGCGGCGCGCTCATCGCCATCGGTTCTTGAAATGCTGTCACGAATCGGTACAGATCCAACGCGATAGAATTGAGCTCTTTATCATTCTTGAAGCACTGCTTGACATGTCAAAACCGACGAAACAGTATGCTGTGTAGAGCTGCGCACCTTTGAATATCGGAGGTCTTTGAGAGTAATTACTGCTACCTTAAGCTCCGACATGACGCTTAAGGCCTCTAGCCAGTACAGTAATGAAGTTTTATATAAAAATTCGCGCAATGCCTGCTGCACTTGTTCTTCGCACCTTCCGTCCTTTTGTGATCGGGACAGATGAGTGAACCAATACAGACAGCTATACTGCAGATGCTGAGAGATATTACAATTCACGCGATCAGTGAGGTCCAATACACTTTCGTTCGGAAGATGTGATGTCTCCAGATTGCATATGTTGAATTTGAGCCCATCCAACATGATTCGAAGGCAATTCTCAACCATATTCTTCTCCAACTCGTCTGTCGTCATCGAGAAACATCCAGATCTATCCTGACTCCCAATAAAGTCAAGGAATGATGGATGGCAAACACGTATAGCACCAGTCTGAGCATCATTGTACAGTACTGATCCAAGATGCCCGAGTATAGTTTCCAGCTCGTCATGTGTGGCTCCGAGGCGGGACGGTATAAAGGCATGTAAAGCCTCGGACGGAAGCGGCCTGTTCTTTGAGACAGCGAATATGAGTCCGATGACCCAACGGACCGCACACTCAATACCTACCGACCCTTGGCAGGCGTTTTCAAGCACCCGCAAGTAAACAGCGTCAAGGTGCTGTTCCGAAGTAGCTGCACGAGGATTCGAGTCTATTATCTGCTGTAAGAGGTCTTTCTTCCCGAATCCCCCTATGCTGATGTGCTTCAAGACAGTGGCAATCCAAATGAAATGCCCCGACGCGTGTCGTGCAAGACAATCGATCTGGGATTGGTCGATGTTAGGAAGTTCGTTGTTTGTGTTGAATTGGTTTCGGATGAAGCGAAGGATGTCATTGTTGGTCGTCGCTTCGAACAGATCGCACTCCTGAACGACACTGCCAATTCGGAGCATGCTTGCCTTGATTTGCGGGTTTGGTCGGCTCGTTACAATGAGCCTGAGCCAAGGCGTGGCTTGGACAATGTTCGCGAGATGTGCTGCAGTGGTCTCGCTATCTTCGCATTCGTCCAGAGCATCGATTATAATGACGACCATCACCTCCGACTCCACCTCTCGAGGAACTGTCGATAGTGGATGTGCAAGAAGTACGTTAAACTGGTGTGAGAGAGGCTTGTCTAGTACGATAGGATCGTCCCTCAATTGTTGAAGAACAGCATTCCTGAACGCCGACACCCTCCGCGATAGGAAGTATGCCAACGAACGGAGAAGTCGCCCTGTACTCCTGCGCTCAGGAATATCGCGCTTGCAGAAGAATGACCCCGACAAAATCTTCTGACCGTCTAGTGCACCTGCCACGGACGCTGCTACTGAGCTTTTCCCGCATCCTGCAACGCCATGGATCCAATAGATTTGCTGAGAGTGGACCTTCGAGTGCACCCATTCCTCAACATTCTGCAAAACGCTTCTTCTCGTGCCAAGAAGACAGCCGCGAGATGGGTCATAGGCACTATTTTCAGGTGGCCATAACCGTTCGAGCGCCTTTTCTTCTGCTTCGGAAAGCTGATGATTGCCTGTGGATCGCATGAGCGATGATCTTTCTGTGCGGTCAGTGCTTACGAAGCGTTGTTGCTATGCCTAGCGTATTGACTTGCAGTCCGAGATTCAGGCTTCGTATCGTGTATGCCAACTGATCCTTGATCTTCCGGATCTCGTCTTTCATAGGCTCATACCAATTCCAAAGGATAAATTCTATGTAATGGGGGTCAATAATGACAAGTGAAGAGGATAAAATTCCTACTCAAGGGTGACTTAGACGCGTAGTCCTTCAAATTGTTTGACAACCTCACGACAAACTCAGAGAACACTTGGACAACGCCTAGAACTTCGTTGTCTGTGGCACGTTTGAGAACAAGGTCTATCATAGGTAATAGTTCCATCACATCATCCATAATCTGGACAAGCTCATTATGAAACGAGGGAATAACCCGAAATCTCTGTAGACGAAGATTGGTAATAGTTTTAGAGGGTGTTCGGATACAAGATCGCACGGGGACATGATTTCCCTGAATCATGATCTGCAAAGTGTGCAGATCATAATATCGAAAAATGATGGAGTGTGCTGAACAGGTCGACTGTATGATCTCACAAGATCATGGGGTGTACTGAACGGTCGTATGATCTCAATGTATGCTCCAGTGTAAATTCCAAATAAAATGAATATTTTTATTGAATTTCTGTACATTTTCTAAGACATCCCTGACCACCAGGATTTGGTTAATACTGTTACTCTACTATGCTGTCTTACTGCTGCTAAAGCTGTACAATCTCTTGCTCATTATTATGTGAAGGAGCCTCTTAATGAGTCCAAACTTTCTGGTGCTGAATGGGTAGCAGAACTTCGAAATGGTCACTCAGCACGCTTCCAGAGAGCATTTGGAATGAGGAAGCATGTATTTAACAAGCTTCTCGGCTGGTCCGACTTATACCTTCCTTGCTGGAAGGCTCTCCTTTAGATCGTATACACAACCTTTTGGCATATTGCCTTCCTGCTCAAGTGAGTGAACACAAGGCTTGTGACAAATGGTGCAACATTGTTGAGGGACAGAGTTCCCTATGGACTGGTATACTGCCTGACAGGAAAGAAGTCATACAAGGTTGTGTACCTTACTTTCATCCTATTCTATTGTCCTGAAGCTCTATTACTAGGATTCTTGGTCTATTTTGAGAGTGAGGTCTTGCTGACTGGGGTGGACAAGTGACAGTGAGACAAGAGGTACTGTTGATGTGGTATATGCAGTCTCATCTTTGGAGTGCGTGATCTCAAAATGAGATACGGCTCAGAGCCGTATCTCATTTTTGGCAGGCGCATCGTGATCACAGAACAAGATCAAGAATGTAGATAGAGGTGGCCGAACACCCACCTCTATCTCAAATGTAGATCATGATCACACAAGATCATCTCCTTCTCCGAGTCCTTTCGGAAGGAATGATCTTGTTTGATCATGCAAGATCATGTATCCGAACACCCTCTAATAAAAGCACAACTGATCTAACCTCGTACCTCGAAAACTGTGTTGACAACTGACATAGCGGACTTTGCATATGGGTTCACCTATTTGGGCATTCATTACAAAGTCAAGGCAATAAGCAACTAAGGACACTTGCCTCGGATGTACCTAAGCCCAGTTTCAGTACAAGATCACATATTTTGGATATCTTATCAAGTCTATCAAGCATGGTTACTTTCGTCCCAAGGGCAGCAATGGTCCTGGGAGCTAGTAATCGTGCAACGTCAAGGCTCTACAATATAATACTTCAGAACACAGGCAGATTGTGAGTTGTATCACCATACCGATTTCTGCTCGCCAATGAATAGCTTGATGGTAACGACAGATTCCTGGCCTAAATTCACAGTCATTTCTCTGGGGAGCAAAATACCGAGGGTTCTTATACCTTTTCGTCTGACCATTGTCCTTGGCTCAAACTCATCTGATCCAAAATCTATATTGACTTTGTCGAGCGTTCGTTCAGGACGCAAACTTTTAATATACTGAATCAAAGCAACTGCTTTAGTTTGAGGCCTTATATATCTAAGAAAATTGGTTAATGCACCTATAAATTAATAATGAGATAGCCTACAAACACTTACATATCACAATCCCAGTGCATCAGTAGCGAGTCCTCAACTACATCTGACCTGTACCGAAACTGCAAATCACCCTCAAGTATAATCTGGAGCTTTGCATAAGGCCTTGTGCCAGTGACCTCAACATCAATTGCTGTACAAACAGTCAGAATGTGTGCCTAAAGTACTAGAGTCTACTTACCCTCAAGGTGGATAAATCTACATGATGGATCAGTTATGTAACAAGTAGCACATTGCCAGAGATGAGCAACAACTCACCTCCCCTCATTGATTGATGCTGAAGTATGTCTGAGCTGCTGCAAGGCCATAATGTATTATAAAGAGGGCAGGGAAGAGAGGGAAGGGGAAGGAAGAGTAGAGAAGAGGTGAAGTAGACTCTGGGCTTGGGCTGTCCTTGTTGTTCGTGCGAATGTGGCGGTGATTATGAGCAGAGATTGGAAATTCGACTTACCCCTTTCGTCTACAAGGTCCTGTAATGTATCTGATTGAAGAGTGTACTTGTACATTATTTACATATTGGAGTATCAATATTTAGACTTGTGTAATCATATTTGTGTCAATAGCTGGAACTTATCCTGATACAGATCTCTGGATGGACAACAAAAACTTGTTTACTAAAGATAATGTAGCAAACTTATTAATATGTTGTGGTTGATTTCACATATACCTGGTGCAGAAAAATCACAAATTAACCTGTAATATCCTCTCATTTTGACTGTATATATAAATATCAATAGAAACCAAAATATAATAGACAGGATTCTGATTCACAGGGAAAGCAATAAATATTGTGCACCAAAGTGCATTCCACTCTGAAAAGCATGTCATCCTTGTGTAAGGGCCATGCTAACCTTCTTTGTATTGTTCCAATTTTTTCATGTCACCCTGAAGGGGACAATTTTCCTTGGAAGAGAAATGGAGCTGCCTTGTTGGATTTGAGTTTTTGACTCTTGAGACTTGCAGTTGCTGGAGTATATGATGACTAATACAAATTCGCCTTCTTCACTTGGCGATCGACACAAACCTGCATATCTTACAGGTTGACTACTCCCACTTTGTTCTCCAACTAATACTTGGACGACAACTGGTTGTAAAAACATAGAACGCTGCCGAAAGCAGGGATCAACAAGGCTGGCTGGGAACAGAGCGAGTTTCCTATTCTATGTGAAACGTGTGCATTAGCTCTTTTGTTGTGCAGTTGAATGTGACCAACTGACATGACGCAGGTTTGGGTGACATTGCTTTCGTTCGAATGGTGTGTTCTGCTCTCTCCCCTCCCTTTCAACTTGTCTCACCTAATATCTCCTCGTATCTGGTCTAAACAAGAATTCGGACGTTCATGCTGCACTGTGCTCGACCCTTCATCGTCTTCCGTTGGATCCCGGCACAGGCATGCGCTTCAAAACAACCATCATCTGTCAAACCTACGCCAAAATAAAGAATGTCTGTCGAACATGTTTACTCGACTTGAAATAAGGGTTACCGACGCAAGTCAGGGATGCGGCTCTAGCGATTAAGAGCGCGGCACCGAGTAGTGACATTAATAGGGAGTATTTCGCGTACAACATGGATGGGAAGGTGAGTGTATTGTATCCTTGTCCATGAGAGTTAATGATGGCTTTGATAATTGGTGTATGGTTAGCCGGAAGGAAATAAGCTATTACTGGACTCTGGGAGAGCACAGTCGGCAGGGAAGAAGACGCTGAAGCAACCTGCGCGGACGGATCTCTATTACAAACGGAACTGACTCAATGTATGTTTGTTTTTTTGTGAAAGCCGAGTGCAAGCAAGTATCCCTGCCAGTACGTGTATCTTGCAGTTGTTTTACTCTTGAGTAGCTTTGTGATATTAATCTGGAACACTGTTTGTGACAATGAGATGCTAGTGGACAACAGACTGTCAAAGTAGAACACACAAGATTGGTACCATGGATGGAACGATCCTGTTCCACGTAAGATCCCTTTGGAGCATGCCATAATGCAAGGGCTCGAGCTGTTAGAGACAAGTCAATTGTACTTCTTTCCCTCCCTTCACTGCCTATCCGTGCTCACCAATATAAATTCTTCTGCTTCTTGATCAGACAAGCATCCAGTTTTCTCTGCTTTCTGCCTCAAAACACAACCGAACAATCCATCCAAAGGCACATTGTCCGGACACACTCCCTCCTTCCGTCCTCTCCTCTTCACCAACAGGGGCAGGAAAGACGAACCCGGCAACTGTGAAACACAGTATAATATATTCCTATAACAAAGATGTAGTGCAAGTCATTACATTGCCAAATACGATTATTGTTGTATGGTAGTCCATCAAGACTAGCACGTATAGTGATTCCATTGAGCGAGTAGTGAAAATGATGTTGTAGCTTGCACGCATACTCCCAGCATCTAAATCAGTGTATGATACAGTGTATCGCTGGATATAGGCTCATCCTTAACGTAAAATCATTTTGAACGTACAATACATCTCATAAGGATGAAGATAATGATGAGGTCCGAACAATCAAATAATGAGATACGTAATCCAATTGTGTCGAAGGCGTCGTACAAGTTATTGGGTGGGATCTCGGAGAAATAGCAAGCGGTGAATCGAAAAGCGTCATGAGTAGTTCTTCTTTATACGCTCGAGCATAGCTTCCATCCTAAGCTTCATGTTTGGTTGACCACCTCTCGCGTTCCTTTCCGTACTCCTACGTTCTCCTAGTGCGGATTCAGCTCGTTGTCGCGCGTTATTTCGTCCAACCTTGGAAGAATGAGGTTGCTTAGAGGTAAGGTTGACGGCTTCTTTTCGTCGGTGTAACGGATCGGACTTGTACGTGTGTAGGGAAGTGCGGGAGTACGCGCGGCGGGTTAAGTCGCGGAGGGAAGGCTGGGTGTCAAAGTCTTCTTCTGGAGCGTGTTTATCCGGAGGTTTCCGGTTATCTGAAGCCTTGGGCATCGAACGGTGCTTTTCCTTGCCCTTCCTAGATAGAGATTGATACTGCTTGATGTGTTGAGGTTCGGATACACGAGGTTTCTTCGGTACCGGTTCTGGTACTGAACTTTCATCCTGAGAATGTACACTGCTTTGTCGAGCCCCGTCCTCGTCCTCGTCATTCGGAGACACAGCAGCGTCTTCCGGCTCTTCCGAAGGATTTGAAGAACTCTTCAACTTTGGCCATCCGGAGTCAAGTCCTTCTCGCCGTTTTTGAACTGTCCATCGGCTCTTGAGTTTCTTCTTCTCAACCCATGATTTCTTCAATTTCTGCGCTACACCGGAAATTAGTCGATGACGCTAGAGGAATTGTTGAAACCCTCACCTGTATTCCTCGGCAAATGTCTGAATGTCGGCGGATTCTTTCGCTTCTTCTCATTTGCACCAACATTAGGTTGGACAGCCATTTGTAGCGTAGCAGTGTTGCAGTGCAAGCGCTAGTAAGATGAGGCACAAGTAAAGAGGAATGACTTGCTGGTGCTTACTAAACTCGGCTGCCCCACGCATATAACGCCCATCAGTCGCGCCTCATCCCATCTTGATCTCTCACCACCGCCTGCCACTCTCCTCCACACTCCTCTCTCACATTACCCTCGCACCTCTACCTACACACTCAATCAGAGTTCACGAAAGCCGCCGTTTTATGAACGTCGACAACCTTCAGCAGTTTGGTTAGTATTTATTATTCACTCGCTTTACGTTTTTGTTTGGCTGGTTCACTTTTTTTTTGGGTTGCTGTGTGCTTCCATCGATGGACCTGTGTTGACTCTTCTCGCTCTGTAGACCCCCTTGAGGATGACCTTCTAGGAGAGACGGACGAAGTCGGTTCGCAGAAAGAGCACATCCATATTCGTATCCAGCAGAGAAACGGCAGAAAGACGCTCACCACGCTTCAGGGGCTTGGGAAGGGTGTGTTGCACTGCTCTTCCTCGCCCAGCGAAAATTTATGCTGACTCATTCTGATTTATTCTACAGAATATGACCTTAAGAAGATCTTGAAGGCATTCAAGAAGGTATGCATTCGACTCATTTATTTATTTCATGTAAACCCGCGGGCAACTGCACCCATTCCACGTGTGCCGCCCTGTCGCCACACAACATTGCTGACAATGCTCCTACTCATTTAGGAATTCGCTTGCAACGGCAATATCGTCGACGACGCAGAGCTTGGTCAAGTCATACAGCTTCAAGGCGACCAGCGCCAGAAAATCCAGACTTTCCTGGTTGAACAGGGAATCGATAAGAAGACCATCGTGCTTCACGGTTTCTAAATTTGTATACAAGCTTTAAACAGTGGAGTGCCTACGCTACTTAGACGGTCTCTCTCCCACTGCATTTTTGTCTCTCTTTTCCGAATAAGTTTTCTTTTCAACTATCGATTCGAGTCAGCTTTCATTTTGCATTTCCCATTCTCCCTTGCTGTTAGGTTGTAGGGATCTGCTATCGCTGCGCTGTTCGGACAGATAACGAGTTTGTTGTTCTCTATTCTGTTACGATTCCGTGATACGTTTGTGATATGTCTACCGTGGTACGCTTGTATGAATATTACAGTGTTCCAAATGATTTCTGTTGCTTGAAGTGTTTTTTTTTTTTTTACTGTGTATATGCGTGAGTGATTGCGTGATGAGAAAGGGTATTCAAGGAAATTCTACGATAATCTCTACTTCAAGAAATAAGGTATCTTTACGCCCTCTTCCGATTAGGACGTGGCAGAGATGAGATGAAATTGTATGCAAGATCTCGTCGCACGATGAAGTAGATCCGACTACCACTCCTTCGTCACCTCATTCGAAACTGCAATTCGTCTCCGACGTTTCACCCGATCTGCAAGGCTACCATCTGAAGCGGATACTTCCTCTTTCAGGGAAACAGCTTCAACTTCGGTTTTCACGATTGTCGAAGCTATCGGTGATGATGATAATAACGATGAAGACAAAGATGATGCAGCGTTCAAGTCGACTTGAGTCCGTTTTCGATTCCCTCTCGTTAAGGAAGGAGATCTCGAGTCCGCGGTTTGTGTTGCAATTTGTATTTGTGGTTTGCGAGAAGGTTTTGAGGATTTTGTAGGAGATACGGATGGTGAGGGTGTTGGACTTGGTGTTGGGAGACCGTATGTTGAGAATGACTTCAAGTCTGCTGTGAATAAGATCTAATTTAAAACGAAAAGTGCATAATCATATGAAGTGTCAGTAAATAAAAAGGAATGGTTGATGTTAGATGGGACTTCTTACCGAATGTGCCCACCCAGCGTAGTTCCCCCAGATCTTAGCTAGTCGTGCGTTGACTTCGTCGTATAACTTGGGCGTCATAGCTGTTTTCACGCCTGAAGAACGCATACCGTAGTGCTTGAGAGCGATTTGGTGGACGTGTGTGTCGACTGGTATGACTTCTCTCTACAGTTGTTGATTTAGCAGAAATAAGCAGAGAAAAAAAGCAAAAAAATGTTAGTGTAAATATTCATTTGAAAACAAGAACGACTAGTAAAACCTACCTTATCCAAACTCATCAACAAAATACAATCAGCCACTTTCCTTCCAACGCCCATAAGTTTCATCAACTCCTCTCTCGCTTCGTTCGTTCCTACCTTCCTCAACCCTTCGAGGAAGTTAAAGACACCTTGGTCGGAACCGTGTGTTTTGAGGAGCATTGAGGCTGTTTTTTGGATGAAGTCGGCGCGGTAGCCGAAGCCTAGTGTGCGTAGTTTCGTGGAGACGGTGGGGTGGGCGAGGGAGGAGGGTGGTGGGAAGGGGTGGTATGTTACATTCGCATTTGAGGTGGGGATGGGAGTGCTTGTGGTTGGATTTAAAGGTACGGTGGGGTCGTCGAGAGTAACCAAAGGAGGAGAGAAATGCGTGCAGAGGTTCTGCACCATCTTCGATATCCTCGAGATATTATTATTCGACGAACATATAAACCTATATACATAGGTAAGACCCTCAATTACCTCGATTATCGAGAAGTAAAGAAATTGAAATGCAAAGAGATAGAAAAGAACGTACGAAATAAGACACTCCCAAGGATCCTGTCTTAACATCCTAATTCCTGAAAACCTTCCTTTTAGATTCCGGAAAATAGGGTCGCTTGCGCTCCATTCGTCGTATAGCTTTAGTAAGTCCATGTCTAGCTGGAAGTAATCTTGGATAAACGCGAGTGTTTCCGAGTCCGAGCCCGGGTCTTTCTTCGTGTCTGTTCTTCCTAAGCCAGAAGAGCTTGTACTGATAGAAGAATGTTCCAAGGCATGAGAAGGGGGAGAGAGAGGAGCGAATACAGCCCGATAAAACAAAACCTCCTCCGACTGTCTCATACACACAACACGATCTTTCAAACAAAATCGATATTCGTGCGTCGGGTCATTAACACCACTAACAATTGACCCCGCTAGCGCCTCAGCGTGTTCAGAAGAAGAAACCAAAGGGAAAGCCGACCAGCGGAACGATTGTCCACATTTCAGTACCGCAGCTAGAGATAACTGTGTGATTGATAGAGGAAGAGCTTTGAAGCCTTGTGGGATTGCGTTGGCAGACATCAGATTCAGTGGACTAGGACGAGTCTGAGGAGGACAAGAAATCGCGTCGCGTCCTTGATTTCGCCAGTCACGCGTCCTTTGAATGAATACGCGACACGGCAAATATCCATTTCCCATTGGCCCGAGCCTGGTCCAGATCATGCAGGACGTAAAACAAAATAAAAAAGACTTTTCATTTCTTTGCTTAACGTAACGCTATGTTAATGCTACAGTTTGAGTTGGTTGGTTGGTTGGTTGTTCAAGAAAGAAAGAAAAACGCTATCAATCAGGGAAAGAGATATGTCAAGTTCTTCAAGGTCAAGTCAAGGTGAAAGTTCGCAGCGAACGAAAAAACAAAAGAGAAAAGAAAAGGAATTTGGGAAGTGGTTGAAAATAAAAGAAGAAAAGAGAAAGAGGAGAAAGAAAATTGGCTTTGAAATGAAATGATGAAATATGAACAAATGAGTCTAATATAATAAGACTTGCGGACAGGGGGCGTCTCAACAACGACGACGACGACGACGAAAAATCAAGTATGATCAGATGTGTCAAGTCAAAGAGTTTTTCCGGTATGCTTGGTGCAGACAGATATGAAAATAACGAACAGAGAGATACGACATGAAAAAAGGAAGAGGAGAAGAGGAAGAGATATACATGCACGTTCTTCCCTATTCCCTGCACGAAGGCGGAAGACGATCGATATACCCAGCAACGAGATCGAAGAAAGTCCAAAGGAGACCATGGGTCGTTATACTTCGTAAAGCGCTGATACCGAGTCCTCGATACATCCTTGAGATACCTTCGTATAGTGTTCTGGGATGTGCTGGGTCTGGACCTGTCAGATGTTAATTTGGGGTTATTGAGCTGCTCCTATACAAAAAAGATAAATGAAATGAAGTATCACGAGCTTAACTTACCGCGAAGAAGACGATAGAACGTTTCTCCTATTCCACGTTTCCTTTCCCCTGCTAGGGCACGTGTTTGTACCTTCGTTTTAACGCTATTAAGTAGAAAAGAAGAACAGAGCGAGACATCAGCTGATGCCATACGGAGGCAAATAGTCTTGAAACTCACACGTCGAGAGGGTATATCAATGCCCAAGATGTAACTCCAGAAAACGAGCCACAAAAGAACGGTACGATAGATGCAGGCATTGGTAACCATGTAGGTGTAGGACCTTGTTCGCCTGAAGGTAACCGACCCATTAAATGACGCATACCATCGTATTCGAGGAAGTATAACGCTGTCCCGGACGTATCTCGTAAGAGATGCAAGGGAAGCCCAATATACAGCCCTCTTAACCCGCTAGACCGAACTATATCTTTCACTGCTTGTGTCGTTGTTGGTGGTTTCACAAGTTTGATCCCTTTGCTTTCTGCGATGGAGTACTCAAGCTGCCGTCGAACCTTCACCAATTCAAACGGTGCACTGCCGAAAGAAATGAGTGCACCAGCTGTTGCACCTCCCAGACCTCCCAAACATGCTACGTCGAAGAGCTTATCTCGCGATAAAAGGTCTTGAAATCGGAGAAAATCTTTCGTGCCGTTATAAATAGTAAAAGATGCAGCGCCTAAGGACGAGAGTGACTTCAATGATGAAATAACAACGTTGAGAAATGAGTTGATGAGGACGTACGGACGAACGAAATCGTGAATAGTGGTATCCATAACCCTCGATAAAATCCCCTTATGCCTTCTTCTCGAAAGACCTGACGGGCCATACGAGGAACTGTGATCGCATTTCGGGATGTTTGTAGACGAGACTTGAGTGAATCGAGCTGTGACAGTATTCAATCAGCACGAATCGCTCTCATATAAGCCTAGAGATACGTACGGGATAACCAGCAAAAGTTGATATGTACGAAGCACTTATGGCACATACGACAGCCTTATTTTCTATTCAAACGAAACCAAATGTATACATTAGTGACTTTCGTTCACATGAACAGAGTAAAATTAGGACACGCAAAAACGCACGTCTCAAAGTTTCATTTAAATCGCCGTAATTCAACAAGGGTCCGAATCGGCGGCTGAAAGATAGAAACGAGAAATGAAAGCGTCAGTTTGTGTGTGAGGAAGATATGTTGAGGAGGTGCTTGCCTCGTTCCATCCATAAAGGGCACTACACAACGCACGCGACTACTGGGCTGGCTATCTCAGTCCAGTGTTCGTGCCAAAGCACGACCCGGGCGGCCTGTCCAATGCCGTGGCTGAGTTCTCTCTGTGAGCAGCTACTTAAGTCGAGTAGGATGAAGGTGTGGTGAAAGTCAAGGTAGAAGTGAGTCGCGTGTTGCTTGCGAGTAAGGGTAGATCTATCTGCGTGCTCAGGCTAGTAGCCATCAGCGTGCTTCTTCGCGGAGATGCTGCTTTCCATACTTGGATCCTTCCACCATGTCCGTCCTCCACCGGCACACTTGATGGAATGGATCTCTGGCCCTCGTCATCTCCATCTTCCATCGCCAAAAGGGTCCCACAGACGAGGAAAAAGGGTAAACACAACTCAAGTGAAGCATGGACAAATTATCCGACACTCGACCATGGCGCGAAGACTGCTGCCACTCTCATCAAGGTTGGGGATGAACTCGAATGGAGAACTGTCCTAAGTGCCCGAAAGGGTGTGTTGGTACCTTGATACTGTTACTGCAAGACCAGGCCATGATTGATCTATTTATCACCAGGTTCACTTACGGCACAGGAAAAGCCGTCAAAGATTTATCCTTGTACAAAGCCTGTAGAAATCACGAACGCGGATGCCTCACTGCGTCAACGTGCAGAACAAGGGGTATGGAGCATTTACCGAGAGTATCACTGTGCATCTTCGTATTTATGCGCACTTTTGCATATATTTAGGCAGGATTCTTGCGGACATACCACCCTGACGTTGATATTCCATTCGATGTGATCAGGGACAGCATAGAATACGACGACAAACTCGAAAAGCAGCGGGCTGCATTTGATCAATTCTCGGGTAACCTTCTGTCAGCAACATACTGCTTTGAAGGCGTTAGAAAGAAGGCTATTGCTCTCGCATTTCCAACGGGTCCTCTTCGTTGTGACCTTAGTCAGTCGCAACATCTCTTTCGCTACTGCAAGATAGGCTTACCACTACTTAAGATATCTCGCCAATTTATTTAAGGCAGAACTCGGTCTTATTTCAACCACGGACGCAATCATTATGGTCGTTCGACACACCGATTCGGCAAATCGTATCTTCTGCTCCAGCTGTCAACTTGGTAGAGAAGAAATGTATGCTTCCTTACAGTATTCGGTGATATATGTTTATTTAACTCCATGAATTCGGTAGCGTACAGTCTCGCTGTTCGGACCTATGGCCAAGTCTCTGTATTTGACATACGCAATCAGATGACGTCGTCAGCGGACCCAACCAAGTCGCCATTCGCTATATCCGAGACGATGTCCATCCGCTCGCATGAGTTTGACTCCGGCCAAGACGGGAGCATTCTGGACATGGCTTTCTCTGGATCTGATCCTACAGACCTTTTCTTCGTGACCGAACGAGGCGCTGGGTATCGATGTTCTGGTAAGGGCGAGCGAAAAATAGTGTGAATAATTCTACTGTTGCATATGCGCGGATTCTGACTGATGATGCAGTAATAAACTATTTGATAATACCTTAGATGATAATAACTCGTTCTGGAGGATAGCGTCAGACCAAACACCCTCCACCGGGACACTGGCTTCAGAAAAGGCATTACAGAAGTTTGATACAAGAGTATGTTTTTGTTGTTTCATAATCATGTCTGTGTTCATTGTTTTCCAAGATTCACGGCATCTCGATGGATCTCCTCGAGTACAATGATGGTCGCAACGTCATAACTTCGATTTGTCCAACTCAGCTAGCACACCTCCTTTGTGTCGCAACGACAAGCCAACTCATCTGGATCGACGAGAGGTTTCCCAAGCAGCCTTTACTGGGATGGAAACACCATCGTGCTTTCGACAGGACCTTAAATGTACAAACTATAGAGTTTGCAGACAGTTCGTTGATTTCTTTCACTGTCCTTCTGATTTAATATTCTTACATTCTGATTCCCGCTTAAGCTTCTCTAGCATTCCTCAGTTCTTCTAAGAATGATCTCGTTTCCGCCATTTCTGTCGGTCATCTACAAGACGGACCGCTTCAATGCCAAATGCCCGCTCGTTCACTACCTCACGCCATCTGCTGCGGTCCTGTTGCTGGAAGGACTCTAATTCGACATCCGGGAACTCCGTCTGGTTCCTTCACCCGGGTTGAACTTTCCGAGCAAGGGAGTTTGCACCACCAGGAACTTGAGTGCTCGGTTGATACTTCAACCGGCATTGCGGAGCAGGAGTACGTCGATAGTCGATTTCGGTGTCAGTGGTCCGATGAAGTTCGTGAACTTGAGAGACGATCCAAGGACTTACGACCTGATTATGGTAAATTGGCGGCACGAGAGCGCATTGTTGAAAATCTGAGTGGGGTATACGAGGGTTCGTCTAACTCATTTCATTCTTATTCATGATTATATTTAATTAGATGTGTTCACAGAATTATTTGGCGAAAAGGCACAGAAAGTACGCGATGCGAACGAGGAAACCAAAGCAGAGGATGTTTACGAAACGTTGGAGAAAATGCCATTCTTCTGGCAGCGTTCAGATATCGGAGAGGATCATATACACACGCTGTTAGTCACCTTTATTACTCTTCCTGTATCCCGAGTTCTGATTGTGCTATAGCTTTGACGTAGCGTTCGGTTCAGGAGAACAACCATTACACGAAGCACGGGCGGACTTCCTAACAGGTACAGTCTTAGACTCCGCACGTGGATACAGAGCTCGTCAACAAGCTCGCATCCCCATCGATGAGGTCGCGAAGAAAGCAGCCTGGCATATGAACATCCAACCGATCTTGAACAAGATATCTCCCGAATTATTCAAAGAGACGCCCACTCCTGCTGAAGAACTTGATCCGTACCTCGTTAGTAGGGAAGAGGAGATATCTGCGGCTGACAGACGCGAGTCGGAGGCGAGGGAACAGCTTGCGCTTGATTTGGCTTTATCTGCTGATGTATTTAGTGCGATTCCGATAAGAAATCCGACACAGGAACTGCCAGCTTCTGGAGCGGAGGTGAACGAAGGGGAGGCGCATGAAGATACTGCGCTACTCACACAGGCAGCGGAGAAGCTCTCGCTGACTGGGAAGGAGCCGCCTCAGGTTACCTTTGGGTTCCTCCGACCTGTCGTCAAGGAAGGGAAGAAGCATCAAAGAAACCCCAAACAGGGTGACGAAAATCAGACAGATGAAGGTTCTGATGCGGTAGAAGGTGAAGGAATAGCCAAGATGCCTCTCAGCGTACGACTTCTACTATCAGAATGGAACGTTGGTGACGATCCATATAAATATGAATACGTCGACCCGTACGATTTGGACGCTTCCGGCGCGGAGGCTCAACGTGATAGGGTTCAAAGTCGCTCGAGACGGCATCGACAACAACAACGAAGTCTTTCTGGAGAGAGGGATAGTGGACCGTCTCGTCCCGTACACACTCAAGCTCCGCCAACGATCGTAGCAGCAAGGACTCTGGCTGGACAAGGAAAGCAGCCGGGTGGTATCAAAGTGTCGCTATCTGCTACTCAGCGACTTCCCGTGCAGGTGCATACTCAGACACAAATGCCCTACGGTGGTTCACAGATAGACTCCGCTCTTTCAAGTTCACAACCGGCAATGATGACGAACACGCAAGTCCTTCCGGGAGTTCACGGCGGAAGACCAGGAACAGGGAAGAAGAAACCTCCAAAAAAGCGATTAGGCGGTTTCTAGTCCCATCTCTCCACCTCACTCAGTCTATCTTTGTAGCCAAAAGGTATTGTACAAAACAACTTAATCCACAACCTACATTTCATTTCCTTCATCTTCATTTTAAACCCCAAAACAATGATAAATCTATTCTACACATATTTAACAACAAGATCAAGACTCAATGGTAGCGAAGCAGCAGTGACCAAGATCGAGCCTCCCTCTTCTACGAAATCTATAACTTTCTTCTCCAAGTTTGGTCGTGTCAGCTCTTCGAGTGCTTTGGGACCTTGGAGGTACATGTTGGCTGTTGAGCCGTCTGTTCGTTTGGTTGAGAGTGAGGGTCTCTTGACTTGTCTATAAAAGAAAGAAAAAAGAGCCAGTTGACTATAAGTAAGAGATTGAACAGACGGTGACGTTTATGCGAGAGGACGTACACGTCAGGTCTCTCAGCGAGAGCGTCTATCAAGGCTTGTACAGTCCAGTCGCGTCCAACTTCGAAAAGCACAGCTTTCCCTCCGCAGACTGGACAGTCGTCGCGTTGTTCATGCTTGAAAGTATATGAGTAGACGCCGTCAGTACCGATGTACATGAAGTAGTTGTCTAGGTATGCGGATGAGTTCGTGGCGATTTTGAATGCTTCGTTACAACATGATGCTAATCGGGAAGAATAATATATATATAAGTAAGACATTGAGCTTGACCATTTAATTTAATTATGATGATCGGTTTGACGAACCGGCGATGATGGCGTTTGTTGAAGCGATGGCTGGGATGATGTTTTTTACGACTCCCTGCGTTAGGGACCAGGTTACACCTTCGATGTTGAATTGAGTTGCGCGAGCGAGGGCGGTGGTGTATAACCAGTTGATATGTTCCGGATCGTCAGTGTCCAGTTTTTTCTCTACCACAAAGTTAGAAACATTTTTTTTACTTGAAAGCTTCGAGAAAGGCAAAACGAACCGCCGAATACGCGAGGCCATTCTAATACGGAGGCCCATTCAATGCAGTGTTCTGGTAAGCGGGGAGTGTTTGCGATAGTACAGATAGGGAAAGCGGTAGGTTTGTTTAGTAAGTCTAGGGAGCATTCGTAGCAGGAAGTAACGGTTGGTAAGATGACTCGAGCTTGTCCTCGGAAGCCTATTCACAAAAACGTCGTAAGCCTACGGCATGATGTGCTATGAGGTGGTTTTAGTTAGTTCGTACCTTCGGTCCCTCCGTCTATAAGCGGCTTCAAACTCTCCGGGTTCTCCTCATCTACCATACCAACTAATGTGGCGTTAATCCATCGTCGAGCCTCTACGGAGTCCAGCCCGCAAATAATAATGTGGAATTGCATGTAATATGATGTGTCTTTGTCTTGGATCTTTCCGTGATACCTAGAAATATTTTAATCTAGGAGTGGCAATAGACGGATATATGCACTTACGGAGTGACTCTTACGCCTGGAACCCGCTTCATGATAAACTCTGCTGCGACGATGGCTTTTGATTTCCCAACATCTTTGGGTCTATGAAACGGCCAACGCCAGTGTAAAATAATCGAGGTCCTTTATATTTATGACTCACCGAAAGAGGAATTGTCGATTCAAGTTGCTGATGTCAATCGTGTCCATGTCAATGACATGGATGTCTTTGAACCCAGTCAAAGCCAGATTTGCAAGGATCTCACATCCTAGTCCACCAGCGCCTATAACAAGCACCTTGCATTGATTGCGGAGGAAGTCTTTAATCTAGACGCACGCGTCAGGTGCCCCTACAGTACAGAGGAATGTTTCTCAGTGCTTACTGGTTCTCCAGCCATGAAGCCAGGCTCTGTTCGAGGACCTGGTCTGTCTAATACTTGATCGACATGGAAATATCTGTTTGGCCAGTCGATGAAGCGGGTCTCTCCGTTTGCAGCCATCTGCAGTAGATGTGGTAGTAAGCAGTCAAGCCGCAAATAGGTGGCGGCGCGTCTTCCGAACCCGAACGCGTGCCGCCTGGCTTGGTTTGGCCGCTTTGTTACTAACTTAGTTTACTTTGCTTCCGCCAGTCTTCATGCGTCGTAGTCGCGTTGATGGCGTCGGACGGCAACTCATTTCTACCACGAATATTGTCTGTGTTCTATGCTGTGTTTCATGACAACAAGGGAACGAGTATCGTCTATCAAGTTCCTGAAGGTCTAATTGTCGCTCCTCCAAGTCAACTGCTGAACTCAAGCATATCGGGTTCTGTTGCTAGAAGCTCATCTCCTGAACGGGCTTCGACAAATACCTCGGAGAGTAGGAATGGAGAAACTGCAAACCCTTCGCGGGCATCGAGTGTGTCGCGTTATTCGCATCTAGCCAACTCTCGGGATACCTTGGGATCATCATCCTTACGTCCCGCCTCGACAAACCGATGCCTCTTCAAATTCGAGGATATCTCAAGATATGTTATTCCACCCAGCGCGTTATGCGGCAGACTCGTCACTTGCACGACGAGGAAACACCAGATCATTGGATTTCCTGTCGAGTTGTGCAACCCGGAGCGATATGAACGGAATTTCTTCCGGTATAACGTATGCTTTGTCTTCGAGCGGACTGCAGACTTGAGTTGTTATGAGCCTATTGTACGAAAAGTTGGGCGAGTTTTAACTACATGTGAGGTCTGCATTCGTTACCTTTACGTTGTAACTCAATACTCAATCGAAGTTGCAGGAGGAGTCGTATTTCCTCAGTTCTCCAGAGACATCTCATAAAATACACGCTATCCTCGAACAACTCTTCGAAGATCTTAACTCATACTCCGAGACCTCTATTCCGATCGACAAGTTCAACTCTATAGAACTGAAGATATTCCCGTTCTACCCTAATCCTCCGGAAGTGCATGACTGGGATGTACCTGTTGCACTCATCAATCTCAAGAAGAGGATAGAAGACAATTGGGATCTGACAATGGCTAAGGTATGACCATATCCTAATGATATAGTGATTTCTGCCTTATATAGTATATATCTTCAGGTTTGCCAATACATCGACGGCACAAACCACGTTAGCCGTATAGCCTTCCTGGCGGACTGTGACTTGGACCTCACTCGTAAAGCGATCCAGCATCTTTTGTAAGGCTCTCTTACTTGGACTAAGTGTTTTGCACTCATTACAACAACCTTCAGATTCTACCAGGTCATTATGATGATCGACATATTCCAATTCAGTAACATGTATACTTTATGTCGCTCAGTTGCATGGCTTGCGGACGAGCCTCACGTCCGGGATGAATGTGGTCCATACGTGACGCGTTCAGGTGAGGCTAATCGCCCGCTACGATGATGCCAGGCATTCAAACCTTTGTAGATCGCGAGATTTCAGAATGGCCCGAACTAATGGACTTGTACTGTCGATTAAAACCCGGAATCACAGTTTTTGAGTGGATGCATGACTTCGACACGTCTAACAAACATGGAATCGACCCTCGACGTTTCGTCAGTTTCGGAGTGATCAAGGTGATCTTTCTTCATTTACGTCCAAACTAATCAATTTACCGAAAAGCGTTATTACAGGGCTTCCTTCGCCGTGTTCACAGATGGCCAGTCCTCATCCCAACAAGTCCGACCGATAAAGAAAAAGAACGACGCGCATCTTCTGCGTCTGCGTCCTTCGGACGGCGGCGCGGGAAGAGTCTTACAATGTCCACCGGCCCATCTGTCGGACAAGGCGGCTCCGGAGCAACTACCCCTCCCGTATTCACCGGTGCCAGTGCATTTTCGTTCCAGAGGAACGCAGATGGTCAATTTCAAGTTCCCACACCACCAACAACTCAGAGCGCGGGACTCGGGAGACATCCCTCTCTCGGAGAAGCAGACCGTGAACGTATGCGTCCTGCGCGCCGGGCGAGCGCTGCGGAGAAATACCTCGAACAGTTCCGACGTGAAATCGATCGTGGTGACGGAGCGCAGATGGGTTCTGTAGGCACGCCGATAGCTAGTAGTGGTAATCAAATTAATACATCTCCGCGTACGCAGCGGTACTCTCGGACGGGAGGTGACGGACGAGGTTCACGCAAGAACTCGCTCGTACAACCTAACTTCACTACTAGTGGGACTGCAACTGCTCTAAGCTCAATGGGTAGCAGCAGCATCGTGACAGAAGAAGGCGGAGGGAGCGGGTTAGCAACTCCCACTCGACCACGTCTCTCGCGTTCTCCATCATCACACGCAGCAGCAGCGCTAATGCAGACGTATTCCGCGTCCAGCTTGAACCTTGCTGGAACAACTACACCTGTCGCTTCTGCGAATGCTGTTCCACTTGGTTTGAAGGAGCTTCTTGATGGGACACGCCATGCTGATGAGTTAGGTGTGAATTTTGAACTTGGTTGGCCTGCACTTGAGAAGCATCTTGTTACGATTGGAGGAGGGAAGGGTGATGGGGACTTTGGGAAGGTGGAGATTATATACAGGTAGTATTTTACTTTTGTGTATCACAAGTCTATTAGCATTACAGATTTGCTTCAAATGTTGTACACGAGATAAGAAGACGTAGAAAAAATGCATAAAGAGAACGGGGCGAGATTTATGCAAGCGTCCGGTTTGCATTGACATATCCAGTGCCAAAGCAGGAGAAGATGAGTTCCGTAGAATCGGGATTCGAAGTATCTGCTCGTGCAATCTTAAATGATACACCGAAGATATCCCTAACGTCTCGGAGGAATTGAATACTAAAATCAATCAAGTCAGCTATCCAAGAATGAAATCATACTTTCCATACTTAAAAAACTTACGTCCTAGGAGTCGGCTCGCCCATCCGACATCGACCAATGTCCTCACTCCCGAGGACCATGAATAGCAGAACGAGAATTTGGTGGTTTCGGTCTACACATCCTCCACGTTTTATTTCTTCGAGGAGGGTGTAAGTGGCTTTGAGTGCGGTGTCTTCCGGTGTACCGCCTGGGACGGAAACAGCTTCGGCACAGTGGAGAGCTCCGGTTGTGGATTCTGCTAAGAGCGAGAGAGCGTAGCCTGGGGATCTAGAAACGCATGTACGATGTTAGTCGAAAACAAACTGGGATAAAGCTAGGCCCAGGTGGAATAAACGTACTTGCCACTATCCTCGCCTTTGTAGACAGCCGAATAGAGATAGATATCAGGGATGAAACGATTGAGGACCGAACGTGCCGCGTCGATCATGCGATTCGAAAATTGCGGGCTCACACGTACTGCATGTCTTGAGGGTTTCGATAAAATAAGCAACTGACTTTAGTAGGATAGGATGGGATAGAAGAGGACGTACGAAATGCCTCGTATCCGCTTGATTTTTCCGCGATCGACGAAGTTGAGCGTTTTGACTTGTTTTACTATCGGACAAAGGAATTGGACTTCGCCTCCCCCGAGTGGGATAGCTCCTCGTTTCTTGATCTACAGACAATATAATTCAATAATATGATCCTTAGGGGCTCAGCATGCTCACTCTCAGCTCCAACCCATCGTCAATTCCAAATAATTGGAGATGGGGAAGTGTGACAGTCCGTAAAAGGTCGACTGAGAGGTCCCGCTCGTCCGTCGTGATCCCTCTTAGAGTAATGTTAAACGGTTTCTTCGAGAACGGAGCAAGCATGACAATAGGCTCGAGGAAGTAGCCGACGGAACGAGATAGCGGGCAGTCATGCGTGATACTACCTCCAGAAATGACACCAGGCTTCACCAAGACAGAAGTACCTAAACATAATCTGGACAGCCCGGCCGAGTTACGAGAAAGTATCAGACTCACCAGTGTAGGATATCTCGATAACCGTCCCATTCGTCACCTTCTCCAATAATCGCAACAGGCTCGCCTCGAAATCTACGCACAGCCGTTCAACAATTCACTTTCCGCATAGAAATTACACCAATTGTACCTCTGAGACCGGGATCCTTGTCATCGGGTCGTATTTTATCAATCCGTACAGGCTTTCCACTGAGAAATGACAATGCAAGCCTGTGTCGAAAATGGAAATGTCCACTGAACTTGAGCAGTGAACCAGGCTGTGTCATGAGTGGGTTTAAGAAAGAAAATTTACGGGTTGGCGCATCGTCCTACTCTGCAAAATCTTCTGATGCTTTATATTATATAACCTTTAATTAACCTAATGCTTAGTTGCCCCGTGGCTCAGTTGGCTAGAGCGTGTGACTGTTATTTGCATATGTATCGTGTGATAGGCAATCACAAGGTCGAGAGTTCAAGCCTCTCCGGGGCAGTGGCTCCAGCAACTTTTTTCCCGACTATCATTCTGCAGTGGCATTTCAAAAAATGATATCTATTGCAAAGCTGCTACAAGTAAGGGTCATGGAACTATGCATATAATATCACAATACCAGGATTAAAGTTAAGTGTAACTGTCAGGTACGTAACACTATTCCTTCTAGTCGATGCTCATGAACGCTGATCGCTTGTGCCGATCGTCTCAAAATTTCTCTTCAGCTTTATTGCACGTGCCCAAACACACACCCTCGCATCGTAGCTTCTAGTAGGTTTTACCTCTAAAATGTCAAGACCAGAGCTCGTAGCACCTCCAGAAATAGTGAGCTTCATCATCTTACGTTATGATGTGACATGTTCTGAAATACACAAGTATTATGGCGACACAGAAGCGAAGAAATACACTTCTAAGTACTGCATCTCTTCACCGCGTTGCAGTTGCACCGAAAACTCATACAGGCAGTAATGTAGCACACGAATACAACAGATACAAAGCGACATGACATACAGAGCGCTTGAACTACTCAACTTACCTGAGGGCGAACCGAAATTTCTGCTTGATATTGGGTGTGGTTCTGGGTTGTCTGGCGAGATCTTGGATGAAGAAGGACACATTTGGGTTGGTGTGGATATCGCTCCTAGTATGCTAGGTAGGATGCCTCCATATTGATTTCGAGACATGATGCATTGACGCACTACTTGGAGAGGTCGCACTGGAACGTGAAGTAGAAGGCGACTTATTCCTACATGATATCGGGCAAGGATTCGGGTTCAGACCTGGAAGTTTTGACGGAGCCATTAGGTGCGAGTCACCCTTCGTAACCCTCCATAAAATTATACTAACATATCATATAGCATATCCGTCATCCAATGGCTCCTAAACGCAGAAACCTCCCATCCTTCCTCCTCACCCCCAGCCCGTCTCACGCGCTTCTTCACCTCCCTCCACGCCGCTCTTCGCAACCCCTCACGCGCCATCCTCCAATTCTACCCTTCCTCAGATGACCAAATCCATCTCATCACTTCTATTGCCCAGCGAGCTGGCTTCGGCGGAGGTGTCGTTGTGGATTACCCGAATTCCAAGAAAGCTAGAAAGGTATTTTTGTGTTTATTCGTTGGCTCGGGCGGTGGAGCGCAACAGGTCCCGAGGGGACTTGAAGGTGAGGAAGAAGAGGATGTTAGAGAGAAGACTGTTGCATATGAGAGGAGAAGAGAAAAAGAGCGGAAGAGATCGAGAGGTGGGAAACGCCAGGACGTTAAGACCAAGGATTGGATTTTAAAGAAAAAAGAGGTAAGAAAATATTCATTTTCAAAACTTCTGCATTGTTTCCCGACAGTTTCTTATTACCTTCCTAGCTGTATCGCCAACGAGGGAAAGAAAGCGTGCCCAACGATTCGAGATATACTGGCCGGAAGCGAAGAGCAGTTTTCTGAATTATATTCATGTACTAGATTGTATTAGTTGTATTAGACTACCGTCTACGCTATCGTCTTTCGACGAAGAGTGTCCTGCTTTGCTCTACAGCTTCCCTTGGCCCACTCCGGATGAACAAGCCCTGCAACGCCGCCATACTAACTCTTCTTCCAGAGTCCCACTCCCCTCTTACAATCTCGCCTAACTCTGCACTCAGTTCGTCTAACTCTGTTTCGGATATACCAGTATCACCAGAATAGAACCGCCTGAAAAGCCGAGCTGCTTGAGAAGATTGTGCGTCGTCGATGAGTTCCAGAAGGTCGACACGACCTGGCCGGACAAGTGCTGAATCGAGTCGCTCAAGGTGGTTCGTCGTCATAAATATTATGCGTTCTTCGCCTGAGGCGACGCCATCAAGTGCATTGAGGAAGCCAGAGAACGTCACAGATGATTGATACCTGTGGAAACCTCACAAATTAACAAAAAAAGTAGTCTGTAAATAAATGGAAGCCCATACCCATCCTCACTTGTCTGTACACGTTTGTTGAAGGCTGCGTCGATATCTTCGATGAGAATGATACTCCGTTCAACAGCATTGGATAATAGGTGGTTTAGTTTATCATCGTGTAGACCTCTCTCGGAGAGATTTAATAGACAGATGTCATAATTGAGTTCACCAGCAAGTGCTTGGATGAACGAAGATTTTCCAGATCCTGGAGGACCGTGTAATAAATAACCTCTTCGGTACGGGATACCTATCGCGAAAAGAAATAAGGCATTGCATCTACTTTTATACAGAAGGGAAGGAAAGTCGATTACCTCGATCTGCATACCACTTCCGTCGTCCTAGAAAAGCTCGGACATCGTCCTCAATACGCTCCGCGACACCATCCGCTAGTACAACACTTCCCAGAGGCCGTTTTCGTCTCGGTAACCCAAACGGTCTCCATTCCGTCCCCCAAGCTGTATATAAGACCAATTTACCCTCCTGTTCTCTCAATGCAACGTCTCTCGCCTCTTTCAAAAGCTCTTCGAAAACTTTCGAATATCGTCTGAGAGTTGTTAACGTGACAGTCTCCCAAGGTGTCCCCGACGTAAGCTGCACGCTCTTGACATCTCTCTCACGCCGCGCTTGTATCCATGCTCCGCGGTATCGCAACCAATGCGTACCAGGGCCGGCAACAAGAGCGAATCCTATCGACGCGCTTCCGTTCCGATGAGTCTGCACGCGCGTTTCGACGCTAAGTTGGTGACTCTTCGGTGCAAGACGGTCAACTAATCTCGCTGGGCTAAGTGATCTCAAACCGAATTTTTTTGAGCTCGAAGAATGCGCAACTGCAGCTTGATCTTGTTGCGCAGCCATCCATTGCAAGACCCACGCATAAGCACGATCTCGATTCGGAATTTCAAGCGAGACGAGCATGCGTCGTTGAAGGATGCTCGTCCCAAGGACAAGTGAACGTCTCAGGACAGTCAGCCCAACGCCGACGCCCATTAACCCAAACCCTGCATTAAAGTATGGGCTACACTTCAACAAAAAAAAGTTGTCAACACTCATTCTACTCCTGTTTCCTATAATTTTGCTTTGACTTACTTGTCGCCAAAGAGATCCGTGAGGAACGACTTTGCTGCAGCAGCATTTGATGTCTCTGGATGTCCGCCACTAGCTAGTTCAGATGCCTTCTCCATTGCTGTTAATAGAATTGCAGAGCCAGGTGCAAAGGTGGCCTGTTGAGCACTGCAGAATCGGTCCTTTTGAAGTTTAAAAAAGTCGAGTTATTGTCACGTGGACTCAATCACGTGGTGAACACCTTGCTCAAAATCATTCGGAAGTTCGAACAACGTTGCAAAGTTGTGCAAACTCATGACATGTGCTCACATTGTGATATTGTGAAGGAAATTATGTCCTCTACAGGGACCTATTTTTGCACTATTTAAGGGTATGTATCAGTCCCCTCTAGTCTTATACTACAGAGATCATATTTTCATGTCCTGATTTAGAAATGAATGGTTCAGCACGGTTCTACTTTCAGTGTTCGCGATTGGGGATAAGTCTGAGTAGTTTGGCATGTGTCACTGATGGTACCTGTGTGTGTCTTCAGAAAAGATCTAGGAAGCCTGATGGCTTGGCAAAGTTGGAACCGCCCGTAAGTGATCATCAAAACACTATGATGCCATAGAAAATACCATTCAAAGTGGCGGTTACCAAAGTGGCACTGGACCTGGATGTGTATACACGAGAATCATATAGTCAGACCCTAATAGAGTATAAGTTCTATCCAAAGTCTTTTGCAGACTGTTTTTGTTGCTCAATGCTAGTCATGTACAGTAGAATATGTCATGATGCATAATGCTGGGAAGGGTCATTTCTGTGCTCACTATGAGATTTATGCATTATGACATTGCATTTTGGCAGAGAATGACCATTTGGTTTCGAGAAAAAGTTATTCATTATGACAATTATACATTACCATATTATGCATTATGACATATTTGACTGTAATGTATTTGTACTTTTCTCCTATCAAAGTAGATAAATGGACATGCATATAGCAAAATATTGTGAAACATATTTAAATAGACCAATCAGAGAGCTGCTTTTGAATGAGATCCAGAACATGAGATAGATACAATTGCATTTTATGATTATATTATTGTTTGCACTCTACACTGATATATCTTTGCATGTGTACACAATGCTATACTACATGAAATATATTCTAAGAGTAATATGTGTAGTATTTAAATCTTGACTCTATTCAATAATATTTAATAAAACACCATTACAAACCTTCAACAGAACGCCATCACAAACTAGTCTCTTACTTCCAAGTTCAATTGTAACCCTCAGGCTGAGCGACTCAAACAAATAGTAAGGAAAAGAATGTCTGGCACACCTAGAGACAAGAAAACACGTCATCAGCATGCGGCTCGTAAACAAGCTAGTGAACACCGAACAAGTGGCCATAGAGGTAGCAATCATTTATGTGTGTGTCGGACAGTTTATGTAGACTAACTTGTGTCGCATAGACAGTGATATCAGAGATAGAAGATCTTCAGACAGAGAATCCTCTCATCGGGCATCTCATGTTTCTGCACCTAAAAGCCGTGTTCTACAAGAAACAAGTGGAAACGTTGGGGCAACAAAACAGACAAATCGGAAAGGATCTGATATTGCGAAAGTTGCAGCAGGAATTGATGTTACTAAGAGGCAAGCACCAATCCGAATCAAATTCAGGGTAGAAAAAGATCCAAACGCCAGTCTTGATGAAATAATGAAGGAGAGAATTGTATGGGCAAACACTGTTATGGAAGGCAAGAGTGCTCTACATAGATCCCATATGTCAACATCACAGGCTCCACAGGAGGAAGCAGCTGGAGACGACTTTGGAATCGGAGAACTCAGTTTAGGACCTCTACCAATTACTATTGGTATTGTTGCAACATTCTTCCAGGCCTCAGCTTATATTACGTTTGGTACACCAGAACAACAATCTTCTCGATGCAAGGTGGTATTTGATACAGGCTCTTCTGTACTGTGGATTAACGAGAGAACATATTCACAAAGACTAATGCAGGGTGGTGCACCTAGAGGCACTGACACCAATATGAAGATTAATGTAAAGTACAGCGGGCAAAATCAATTCCGCGGAAAGCTCACAAAGCAAGCAGTGACTGTTGGAAATGCAATAATCCCAGAGCAAACGTTCGCTGTGGTGGACGACAGGCCATATCCTGACTTGCGCGAATGGAGACAAAGGCATAATATATCTGGGATTCTTGGCTTCGGCAAATCAAATGCTACAAGAGGCCGGATTGTGAACTACCCTAACGGAAGGGTAATCTCTGTTTTAGACAAACTGTTGCAACAGTCAGGGGGTGAGGAAGTTGTTGGCATGGACATCCCTATGCCAGAAGAATATTCTGCATCAGGTGCACCTGCTACTGCCGAAGGCGAAGTTCATGTCGGCTGGTACAATGATAATTATACATATGATTGGGTTACTGCACACAGTGGTAATGCAATATACACTCTCGACATGCACTTTGGACTCGGAGGAACTAGATTTACAAACGGACACAGAGCCATCATGGACACTGGTTCACCATTCATCCATGTCCCGAATGCTGTTATGGAAAGCTACAAGAATCTTATGAATCAGGAGGGCCAGATACTCCATAAACATTCAAGCATTAATTTATACTATATATCGTTTGAAGATTATCAGAACCTAAAGGACATAGAAATTATGTTCAACGGAGCATCGGTTCCTCTTCCAGCGTATATGCAAGTCATGCCTGGAGGAGTAGTCAAGCAGTACCTTCCTGCAGCAGATGCAAATCGACTATATATTGTTGTTCGTCCTGAAAGCAATTTAAATATCGTTTTGCTGGGAATGTGCTGGAGTAAGTTGCTTTCAGAAGAATAAATGAATATTGTCGCCTCATCTTTCTCTCCAGTTTCCAGATACTACTTAGTTCGTCACAAACCAACAGGCTCGATTGGAATTGCAACGGTACCATCGAAGACTAACTTCGTCTGGAGTGAACTATATTAAATGTCAAATTAATGCTATTACAAAGGCTGGCTCTGAAAGGCACAAAATAACTAAAGTGAAATTCTCCTAGTATTAATCGATTTAGAAGAATAATAACATAAATCTTTTAGATTTAGAAAATGAATAAAGTAAAGATGTAGATAACGAATAGAGAACAGTTGTAGAATATAAGCAAATGATAGATTTAGAAATAGAGGAGGATTTTGAAATGATGCATAATGTGCATACTTAGACGAAGAATAAGTCTGAGTGTAAAATTGTAGTTACAACAAAGCAGTTTGCAATAGTCAGATGAAACGAAACCAGCATGTTCTGTTCTAGCCAGACACACTCAAAAAGACACAAAGGCGTTGTATCGGAGATACTCACGACCTTTTTAGTCACGCTCATATTCCGCGAGGATCATCTCAAGAATCAGCCGTTGTGTACATATATTGTAAATTCGTAGGAGAACAAGTTAAATTGGCCAGCTTCACGGCAGGTCTAGAGAAGTTCGCGGCTCCTTACAAAACAATCTTGTAAAGGTTTAGACCCCCATAGCACACCATTTGTACTGGCCCATGCATACAGGTCTTCAAGTTTGTCTTCTTCGGGAAGGGGTACAGTTGCAGTATAAACGCATCATATTATTAAGCAATCAAATTGACTGGAATGGAGAGATTGGGGGACATCATCTAATAGTGAGCTCCTCCTTATACTTTTCAACAAGTCCATGGTCAGGGAGGCCTGGACTGATTCAAGACAACTCAAGTATAGTTACAGAGTGAGAAGAATGTCATTAGTCATTACATCATTGCATGCGGAAATTAAATGCATCCTGCATTGCTCAAAGTCAGCTCAGTAACAGATACTATTAATAATGTCCTAACAGATCTATTGAAGCGCCGACTAGCACATAAAGGAATCTGTTTCAACATTTTTATCAATTTTGCTCAGTTGCAAGTTTACTTAGGCCCTGCTCGGTTGCACTGGTCGCGCAACCGCAGGTTGGTGGTTGATGGCCGGCAATTTCCGGTACAACCGTCAACCACCAGTGCCAACCTTGTCACTTTGGTCACAAGTAGTATAGTGTATAGACTCATTACTTTCCCTTCATCTTTCATCATTTATCCTTTCAAATTAGTATATAATTATGTGTCCTAACATAAGTACTACACAGTGTAGATATAATTGAGACACAAATAAATAAATAGAAACATAAGTTAGGACTTTAGGTGCATATATGCACATATAATTAGGCATATATGACAGATATATTATATTATTATATTTGGTTTGGACATTCAAAGCTTGGATTATTAAATTGCCAGTAGAATACAAGTGGGGAATACAATACAAGAGAGAAGTAGTAACAAGGAAATGTAGAGGGCATAGTGTAACAGGTGTAGTAAGGGACGAGTAGTGTCACACAACTATGAAACCAGACGTGCAGCCGAGCACGTCTGATGGTTGATGGTTTGCAACCACTGGTTGTGTAACCGGTGGTTGCGAATTTGGCAGGCACTGGTCGCGCGACCAGTGCAACCGAGCAGGGCCTTAGCTTGTCTCCAATTGGTAACAAGGTTATGAGGAGTAGCAAATTGCAGCAGTGCTCGGATGTTCCCAGGTTTGCACTACTAGCTGTTTCAGTCCTTTCCATTGTAGCTGTGGTCTGAATGAGATGTGAGGGCAAAGTTGCACTATTGAGTATGAGTGCTAATCTTTTCAGACTTTTTTTGTTGCTTCATACTACTTATGTGCCATACTTGTTGTTTTCTGTTATTAAGGCAGCCAATTTATCATGTACATACAGCGAAAGATATTTTAATGGGCCGATCAGAGAGCAGATTTAGTACAAGATTAAGTACATGAAATAGATATGATTTTAATCATATTATATTATATTAATATTTGCAGTGTATCCACTTCATTGTATAAGTTCAACAAAGGAAAATATGAAACACTGATGACTCAGACTGGAGTATATTTGATCCTCTGACACGAATATGTCTTTGCAAATATGCTTAATACTATAATATATGAAACATGATCTAATAATAATATGAGCAGTATTAGAGTGTCTTGGGGGGATGAGAATGCTTTCTCTTGGCTCTACTGAATAATATTTAACAGCATGCTGAACATACACCCACAACCAGAACGTTATCGCCGACTGATTTCTTACCACTCAGTTTTATTGTATACCTCAGGCTGAGCAACTCGAGCAAAAATTAGGGGCAAGGAATGTCTAACATAATTAAAGGGAAGAAATCGGGCCACCAACACTCAACTCGTAAACAAGCTAGTGAACACAGAGCAAGTGACCATAGAGGTAGCAATTATTTATGTGCACGCCAGGCAATTTATGTAGACTGACCTGTTTCACATAGACAGCAATGTCGGGGATAGAGGGTCTTCAGACAGAGCATCCTCTCGCCAGGCATCTCTTGCCTCTACACCTAAAAGACATGCTCTACAAGATAAAAGTGTAAATGTTGGTCAGAAAGAAGCAAACCAGACAGACCGAAGAGGATCTACTACTGTAAAAGCTACAGCAGCAATTGATGTTACCAAGAAGCAAGCACCAAAATCGGCAATCCGAATCAAATTCAAGGTAGAAAGGGACCCCGACGCTGATCTCGATGAAATAATGAAGGAAAGGATTGCATGGGCAAACGCTGTTGTGGGAGGCAAGAGTGCACTACATAGATCCCACATGTCAACATCACAGGCTCCGCAGGAGGAAACAGCGGGGGACGATCTAGGAATGGGAGAACTTAACTTAGGACCTCCACCAATTACTATTGGTATTGTTGCAACATTCTTCCAGGCCTCAGCTTATATCACGTTTGGCACACCAGAAAAATCTGCTTCATGCAAGATGGTATTTGATACGGGCTCCTCTGTACTGTGGATTAACGAGAGAACGTATTCACAAAGGCTCATGCAGGGTGGTGCGACTAGAGGCACTGACACTAACTTGAGGATTAATGTGAAGTACAGTGGGCAAAATCAATTCCGCGGAAAGCTCACAAAGCAAGCAGTGACTGTTGGAAATACAACAATCCCGGAGCAAACGTTTGCTGTGGTGGACGACGCGCAGTATCCTTTCTTGCGGGAATGGAGGGAGAGGCATAAAATTATTGGGATTCTTGGCTTTGGTAAATCAGATGCTACAAGAGGCCAGATCGCGAACCATCCTGGTGGAAGGGTAGTATCTGTTTTAGACAGATTGTTGCAACAATCAGGTAATGAGGAAGTCATTGGCATGAACATTCCAATACCAGAAGAATATTCTGCATCAGGTGCACCTGCTACTGCCGAAGGCGAAATTCATCTCGGCTGGTACAAGGATAATTATACATATGATTGGGTCACTGCACACAGTGGTAATGCAATATACACTCTTGACATGCACTTTGGACTTGGAGGAACTAGATTTACAAACGGACACAGAGCCATCATGGACACCGGATCACCATTCATCCATGTCCCGGGCGCTGTTATGGAAAGCTACAAGACTCTTATGAATCGGGAGGGCCAGATACTCCATAGACATTCAAGCATCAATTTATACTATATATCATCAAATGATTATCAGAACCTAAAGGACATAGAAGTCATGTTCAACGGAGCATCGGTTCCTCTTCCAAGGCATATGCAAGTCATGCCTGGAGGAGTAGTCAAGCAGTACCTTCCTGCAGCGGATGCAAATCGACTCTATATCGTTATTCGTCCTGAAAGCAATTTAAGTATCATTTTGCTAGGAATGTGCTGGAGTAAGTTGCTTCTCATAAGACGTAAATGTACTTTGGTCGTCTCATTGTTCTTTCCAGTTTCCAGATACTACTTAGTTAGTAATAGATCAACCGACCCCAACTCCATTGGTATTGCAAGGGTTCCATCAAAGACTGATTTCACCTGGAGTGGGCTATCTTAATTATCAAAGCAATGCTATTGCAAGGCTGCAAGTGTCAAGTACAAAGACTAGATTTAAGTAAAGAATAGAGAATAGTTATAGAAAATAAGGATGAAATAGATTTAGAATAGATAATAGACATAGAAATAGAGAATAATTGTAAAATGAACAGTGTGCAGGCGAAGATGAAGAATAAGCGATAGTAATGGGAACGGAATAAACCAAACTCACACAAGACCAGCGAAGCACCCATTGCGATCTTAACGTTATTACTTGTAATCAAGCAGTTTGCAATTGGTAGGTAAAACGAAGCAAACACATTCTCTTCAAGCGAGACATACTCAAAGAGACACAAAGGCGTGTCATGCATCGGAAATACTCACACCTTCCATCAGTCACAGGTCCAAGGATCATCTTAAGAAGCAGCCATCGTGTACATATATTGTAAGTACGTAGGAGAACAAGTTATATTGGCCAGCTTCATAGCGGGTCCAGAGAAATTTACAACTCCACACAGCAAAGACGAACAAAGAACCTCGTACAACAACGCTCTACCTCACTTGAACAAAGCCCACGCTTACAGGTCGTCGTCTTCTTCGGGAAGAGGAACGGCCTCGGCCTGTATGCATCATATTATTTATTACAAATCAATCTAATTGGAATAGATGAAGGGAAGAGACGTACCGCAGCAAGCTCCTGCTCATACTTCTTCATGAGCTCTTGGTCGATGACGACCTGAGCCGGTTCAAGAGCTGGTGCAGCGACGAATTCCAGCGTGTTGTTGCTGATTAAGAAAGTCATCAGTCATTACATCATCGGTAGAGACTAACGGAAAATAGTCGCATACCCTACGACCTTCCTTGCCAACCAGAGGAACGGCTTTTCGAAATTGTAATTTGACTTCGCAGAGATCTCGAAGTATTGGAGGTTCTTCTTCCTGTGGAAGGTCACAGCGGCGGTTTTGACTTTTCGTTCCTATGGAAAGTAAGGGAAAATTTGATGTATCTGTGAGCACCCTTCACAAATGTGGATGAACGCGTCTAGCCACATACTTTAACGTCGACTTTGTTACCGCAAAGCACGATCGGGATGTTTTCGCAGACACGTTCGAGATCGCGGTACCAGTTCGGGACGTTCTTGTATGTAATGCGTGAAGTGACGTCGAACATAATGATCCCGCATTGGCCCTGGATATAATAACCATCGCGCAAACCACCAAACTTTTCTTGCCCTGCGGTGTCCCATACGTTGAAGCAGATGGTGCCGAAGTTGGTGGTGAAGGTTAAAGGGTGAACCTCCACACCGAGAGTCGCTGCATAACAAAGGACAAAGTCAGCCAACGCCATCGGTAAACAGGCGACGAAGAGATATTTCATAGTAAGAAGGGCTGGGAGATGCATACCAATATATTTCTTTTCGAACTCGCCCGTCAAATGGCGCTGCGGTTGAAATTGATCAACGGATGATCTCAACCGATAAAGTCACAGTTGAACATACCTTGACGAACGTCGTTTTGCCAGTACCACCATCGCCGACTGGCATCCAAAGCATGCATCACGTGCAGAACAAGGTCAGCAGGTGAAAACGAGGTCCATGAGGGCGACAGAGGACACGATCACCGCATATGTAGAGGTAATTTGAAAGGAAAGTAAGAAAGTCGCAGTCAGCGCCCGTTGTTGAGCGACTCAAGTACTCGCCACACGCACCAAGAACGAGTTTGAATGTAGGAATTGTCTGCTGTTGTGACTGTTGGGCCTCCATGTCGTCTATAGGTCGTGAGGGATGGAGAAAGAGGATGAAAGAGACAGAAAGAGAAAGCGATGAGATGCTCGCGCGATACGAACCAGCTGCCTCAAAAACTCACCACTGTTTGTTCTGACTCGTACACGTGACTCAGCCTCACCCTTATTTTTTGCCGAGCCGAAATTTGAAAGAAATTAGAAACTATTCCTAAAGCCACGAATACTCCCAGAAGCGAGGTTAATATCCCCCGCAACAAGACACTGGTAGTATCTAGAAACATGCAGTATTATATTTTCACTATTGTGGAAGAACAGTATGTCTATAGACGATGGTATGCTGTGTCATTGTTTCGGAGCCGAACGAACAAAATATATTATACTGAAAAAAAATCCGTTGAAGCAATTAACACAGCGTTTATGGCATAGGTGGCATTCGATAGTGACCGAATAGCTCAAGGGCTCGTCCAGCAGAGTGGCCGAGCAAACTTTTGAATCCGGAGGATCGTCTTAGAAAAGCCTACAGTGGAAGTATCAATCTCTTCCGCTGAAACACTGGGCAGGTATAGCGCCCTTGTACACAGAAGTGCAAGGCTGTGACACGTAGACAAAGTTGCAGCTCGCATAATTTCCCCGAAAGACAATGCAATATTGTTATTATTAAAATCCTATTCATATCAGAAACAGGAACAGCGAGTGACTATCAGCACTAAACTGAGTCCCATTGATGCAAAACAAGCTTACCATACATAAATTAATGCCATCTCTCTATCCTGTTGAATTTCTTTGCATTCTTCGCGTTATTCTGAGTGTTCTGGCCTCTGACTGGCAAGCCCATTGCGTGTCTTCGCCCAACATAGCTACCGATCATACGCTGATGTGCAATATTTTCGCGGATCTCGCGTTTCAGCTCCGACTCTATGCGGATCTTGAGCAATGGGTCTTTCTTGTTCAACTGCGGTGCCTTCAATGCAGCTTCGGTGGACGGTGCAAGTATACCTGGTTGGGCGAGAGGTGATCGAGGAAGGGCTGGCGCCGCTTGCGGAGAGGAAAGAAACGATGTGAGGCCGGTGATTTGGTTCTGCGTTAGGTTGCGCACGCGCTGAGTTCGATGAATTTGAAGTCGTGCACAGAGACGGTCTGCTGTGCGTTCGCCAACGCCGTAGAAGGCTTGCAAAGCAACCTGAAAAATGTGTCAGCACAATGAACTTGATCCAGTGCACGAAATAATTACCCTTGCTAGTTTCTTGTCAGGCATATTTATGCCCATTACGAACACCATGGTGGCAAGTGTTACCAGGAGTATTCCTGAGGCAGATACAACTTGAAGACCTAGCCTAGGCAAGTGTGCTGTAACTGAAATTCCAGAGTGTGACGAGACCCGTGTCACGCCACGTTACCGCTCACCGCAACTTGCATTCCTTCCACTACCACTCAATTCGCCAAAGTCTAATATCGTATTCTCAATGTCTGGCAAACCAGAAACTCGATATGAAGACCTCTTCGCCAAGGAACGTGCTCGTGCACGGGAGGACTTTGAGCGGCAAAAGGAAAAGCTCATCAACGAAACTGAAAAGGCCCGCCCCTCAACGGCGCGTTTCGTCGGGCAAAATGATTCCATGGAGGACTCCCTCAAGAAGACGACTATCGGTCTCGTAAAGCTTGAGGACTATCAGAAGAAACGCCTCGAGCTTGAAGAAGAGAAGGCGCGTGCCGCTGCGCAGACAGACGAGCTCAAGTATGTTTTCGATTTCGGATCAAGATGATCTGTACAGGTGGCTTACAGGACGTGGAGGTACGTTTAGGGATGAACAGAAGAAGACGAAGAAACGGAAACGAGCACCTAAAGCTGTATTATCGTTCGCAGTGGATGACGAGGAGGGCAATGCTGATGGCACGTCGGGAACAAGTACGCCGAACGGCGATAGTACGGAGACGACCCTTAAGAATGGTGGCAAGAAAGCAAAACTTGGGAAGAATCCAAACGTTGATACCTCGTTTCTTCCCGACCGAGAGAGAGAAGAGCAGGAGAGGCGAGAGCGGGAAGAACTGCGTAAGGAGTGGCTCCGGAGGCAGGTCGAGCTGAAGAAGGAAGATATTGAAATCACGTATTCTTACTGGGATGGTAGCGGGCACCGAAAGTCTGTCACTGTACGTACGAGCTAGAATGGCGAGCCATTGATAATGATGCTGAAAATACTTTGGTCAGTGCAAGAAAGGCGACAGCATCAGCACTTTCCTGGAGAAGTGTCGTCAGCAGTTCCCGGAGCTCCGTGGCGTCAGTGTCGACAATCTCATGTATGTCAAGGTGAGACGATGCTCCTATTGATGCTGTGCTTATATTTTAAACTTAATTTTATTTAGGAGGACCTGATCATACCTCACGTACGAAAACCTGGCATATAAGTTAGATCAGTCACTAACTGGGAGTTATAGCATCATACATTCTATGACTTTATCGTCAACAAGGCTCGCGGAAAATCTGGGCCACTCTTCAATTTCGACGTGCATGACGACGTACGACTGCTGGCTGATGCGACCGTGGAGAAGGACGAATCGCATGCAGGCAAGGTTGTCGAGCGGAGTTGGTACCAGCGAAACAAGCATATTTTCCCGGCGTCCAGGTGGGAGGTACGTCACTTTCCAAACACTCACGATCGAGTAGTTGCTGATAATGAGGCGGGTAGGTGTTTGATCCAGAGAAGAACTATGGAAAGTATACTATTGCGTAGAGTTTGTAGATACGTCTTTGTTATCGTGTTTAATATCTGTCTTGGGTTGGAGATGATCTCGTTGCATTATAAGCATGTAGTGTGAATATTAAGCTTTTGGAAGGGATATGACAGAGAGAAGGTCGCAACGCGGTAAAGTGACTATTTGAGAGATAATTTCTCTTCTCTTTCTTGTCATGCGAGTCGTTTGCACTACATAGTAATTTCTATACTCTACTTTCATATCGCCGCAATAGCTCAGCTGGGAGAGCAGTAGACTGAAGTTCTAAAGGTCCCCCGTTCGATCCGGGGTTGTGGCATTATACGTTTCACTGATTAGTTTTGTATCCAATAGACATGGCGGAATGCGACTTACAGTTTACTCGACTCAACTTTTATTCAAATTATTGCCGACAGTATCATCTCAGCTCGCCAAGCTAAAAAGAAGTCACAACACAGCTTACTTGATCGACTAAGCAAAATATGTACGTCATTACTCTCTCATTTTGCAATGTAGCGCCGCGGTCATCATACCGGTCTTGCACGCTTTGCACTTTGCCCATCATGGCAGAGTCAAGCCTTGAGAAACTAACTCCACCCAAAGGACTAGACAAAGAGCAACGCCAAATTATCTTTGAACATATCTATAGACGTCTGGCTGTACACAGGAACAACGCCGAACGATGGGCTGACTTTGAGGCACTTGATGGTCCTCAAGTCAAAAATGCGAAGATTAGAGAGGCGTTCGTGAAGGAGATGAATAAGTGGGCGAACGCGTTGCTTGAGAATGTTTGGGTTGCTTGTGAGGAGCCTGGGTCGAGTGAGTGAGATGAATATTTTCTGAGTTGTGTTTTGAGGAGCTGATTATTTTATTTTTATGTGTTTTGGTGTAGAATGTCCCAAGGTAGATGCGTTATCGGATACATCACTACGAGACTTGCCTCCTTTATCTTCTGAAGATACTCTCTCTCGTGTCCTGAATACGGTCCTCCTTCTCCACGTAACGTCAACGAAACACTACTCAGCGCATACACGCGCTTTCCTTCTCAGTATCGCACCCATTGACGAGCAATCTGCAATCTCGACGCTAAAAGACCCCAAGCATGCACTTGAAGACGCCGAGTCACATGCGAAATCTGCTAAAGATGCACAGGCACGGAAGAATAGGACGTGGCGTGCGTTAGGTGTTGGAGGTGCTGCATTGGCAGGTGGTGTGCTTGTAGGTGTTACAGGTGGTCTAGCAGCGCCGCTCGTCGGTGCAGGTGTATCTACCCTCCTCGGCGCACTTGGTCTCGGAGGGAGTGCAGCTGGTGTACTCGCTGCTGGTCTGGCGAGCTCTTCAGCTGTGTGTGGTGCTCTGTTCGGTGTGTACGGTGCGAAGGAAGGTGCAGAGATGATTGCAAGGCATACGAAGGAAGTTGCAGATTTCGCTATCGTGCCCGTTAGAGAGCCAAGGGAGACTTTAGCTGTTAGGATTTGTGTGAGTGGGTGGTTGGGTAATAGGGGAGATGTTACTGCTCCTTGGACGGTGTTTGATGAGAGTGAGGATACGTTTGCTTTGCAGTGGGTGGGTTAGGAAGTCCTGATTATTCCTCCTTCTTTACTAGTTTGCTAAACACAGTATGTTTTATGATGCTTGTAGGAAGTCGAAGCGTTAGAGAAACTCTCAACCGCTCTCGGAGACCTCCTCAAATCAAACGCAATCAAGCTCGTCAGGAATGAAATCGTACGTTCATATTCTACATACATACGTAGTATCCCTCTTAATGCCTATCGTTAACCACTTCTGCTTCAACTATTTGCTGTTTTTAGCTAAAACACACATTCCTCGCCGCCCTAACCGCCGCCCTAGCCCCCATAGCCTTCCTCAAACTCGGCGAACTAGTCGACAACCCATGGGCAAACACTAAAAACCTCGCAATCAAAACTGGAAAGGTCCTCGCTTCACTCTTAGCAAACAGGGCGTTTGGTGCCCGACCTGTATCGTTATACGGGTACAGTCTTGGTGCACTTGTGATTTTAAGTGCTTTGGATCATTTAGCTGGAATGTATGATGATGGTGAGGAGAAGGAGATGGGGATGGAGAAGATAAGTCACGTCGTACAAGACGTATACCTAATGGGTACACCCATCCCATCAAACAGCAAAACATGGACACGAGCCAGACGAGTCGTATCAGGCCACCTCGTCAACGCATACACAGACGCAGAAGCAGATTACGTCCTAGCCTTCCTCTCCCGTCTCTCCCTTCCCTCCTCTTCCTCTTCCTCCTCCTCTTCTACATCTAAAACAGCGAAACCTGGGTTTGGAGTTGCAGGGTTAGAGGCTGTTGAGATCTCTGGAGTTGAGAATGTTAAGATTGATGGTGTGGAGGGACATGTTGCGTGGAGAGGGATGGTTGGGAGGTGTCTTGAGGTTTGTGGGGCGAGGGGGTTGAGGAAGGAGGAAGTGGAGAGGCAGGAGGAAGAGGTTGGAGAGAGGATTAGGAGGGATATCGAGGAGAAGCAGAGGGGTCGAACGCCTGAGTCTGGCGAGAAGGACCATAATATGGTATAGACTGGAAACACGATAGATACCGTCTCAAAAATATTTAAATGCAATACACACGTATAATACCGCATTGTAGAACGAATGTATTTTTTTCGTACGCATGTAGTATAAAAGTCCAATTATGTAACTAATTCGTGAACTATACAAATAAAAACAAAGTCCAATACGTGAGGTCTCGCTCTACAGTATCGTAGACGAGACACAGCAAATGGGTAACGAAGATACGGTCGGTCGAAGACGTAGTGTACGAACATAACTGGTAACCCTCCATCCTTCCATATAAATGCAAGAATTAGCCAGACCCTCCACCTGTGAGGCTCCCCAAGTTTATCCCTGCTCCTTGTAAGAAACTCTGCAGGTATTCGCGTCAGTGAAATCCAAGCCTTTTAAATAATAATGAGTAAGTGATACGGACCTGAATTTCATCTGAAGGACACTCGAACGAGAACGAGTTGGTAATCGCAGGTGAGACGGTTACGAACAGAATTCTTAATCCGAGCTACAAAGGCGAGACAAAACTCCGTTTAGCAATCCACATACATACCTTCCTACAATGAAATCTGAGAATCCTCGTACCGTAATCTTATAATTCACGTTGATGTTCTGCTTCGTCCCCGTGAACCCACACTTGCTAAGCAAGTCCTTTAACACAGTCTGATTCGTATCTTTTGAGAGGTCGTATTGCAGCGCGAAGGGGAAGTTGAACGTCGTTTCGGTGTGCGACTTGAAGACGATATCGTCCTTCTCGCCACCTCCGAGGTCCATATTGTTCGTCGGGTACGTTAACTAATGCAGGGGAAGAAGTGTTACGCCGTTAGTAATGAGATTATGAAGTATAAATAGAAAAGGGGAAGCAGAACACACGTCAGCTTTGATATCTCTGAAGGCTACGGAGAAGTAATTCGGATTCTCAACACTGGAGGCGGAAGGAAGGGTTAATAAGAATGAACAGCTCAAGGATAGAGTGATCTATCTGGCTCACGAGATGTTGACAGCAAAGTTCAGGGTGAACGTAGAAGCTGAAACTTGGGCCTAGTAGAGCACAATAACTCCTGTCAGTGAATTCAGATATGATTAGTTTGTGGACCTTTGACGTACAGCACTTCCACCAGTGGAATTGAGCCCGACTTGGTTAATCGTGATGTCCGGAGGACGGATCCACTACAGAAATTTATTTCAGTTACTAGTCGGATAAACGGAATGACGACTCACGATTCCGAGTGTAAGGACGATGCTAACGAGGAGGAATATGAATATGAGGATAGAGCAGCAGAAGAATCTGAAGAAGCATTTGCCCCGTCCGCCCTACGTCATTCGTAAGTCAATAAACGCAGTATAAACATATTCCGAAGGATAAAGCATACCGCTGTCCAGAGCGGGCCACGGAACTCTTTACGCCATGAACGAAGACCGCCCGACGTACTATCACACAACACACAAAGTCAGCCTCAGCTTATTGCCAACGTTAAATTTCGAATGAAATAAGAACGCACTTGGGTCTTAACGTATTGAACCCATCATCAAACCTCCCCTTCTCTCTCGCCTGACCAAGCCCACCATCCGGACTCGCATTCCGAAATGCATCGTCATCGTTGTACCCACTCTGGTCGTACGTAGGATGTTGCGGATGGTTATTATACGGGTCGAAATCTACGTCTCTGTAAGGCTGCTGCTGCTGCTGCGGCAGTTGTTGCTGTTGGGTGGAGTAATTATTACTGAATTGTCTGTGTTCTGGGGCGTAGTATGGGTCCGGGTATGACATGGTGAATGGGACGAGGTGGTCGTGGTCGTGAAGATGGAGACGATGATGATGATGGTGAGAGAGGGAATGAGAAATAGCGCTGGATACTGACAATGAACGATTGAGCGGCGTTGTCTTGGCGCGGCGTGTAATTGCACTGCACGGCTAGCTGCGCATGCACCGCCACCCACTTCTGCGGCGGCCCTTTCTTCAAGTCCAGTTCAAGTAAATCTTAGAAAAGTGAAATAAAATTCGCATGTGCAGTTCATTCAGGAAAGAAAATATTCGTGATTAATTCTTCAATTTCTGATCCGGAGTCGATGTGCTTTGAGCTCAGGAGTAATCCGTGACCCTTAATCCCACTCGCGTAAGAGGACTGACGTATTTGGTCTGCTTGTGGCGAGTTACTTCTTGACGCTCCTCCTGTCTACTACTTAGCACAAGCTTGAAGCTACTTAGCTAGCACTCGTTCACGACATCGACAATGTCGGGCTCAGGTGCACGCGAAAATGTCTTCCCGACACGGATGGCACTCACCAATATCAAGCTACGATTAAAGGGTGCACAAACGGGCCATTCGTTACTTGCAAAGAAGCGGGACGCGCTCTCTACGCGATTTCGGGCCATACTCAAGAAAGTCGACGAGGTGAGTGTCTTCTCTCTGCATCCCAACTTAATCATCATATAAGAGATTCTGAATATACATATTGATTGTTGTGAATTGGAATTGTGAAGGCGAAAAGGAAGATGGGGAAAGTGATGCAGTTGGCTTCGTTCTCCCTTGCAGAAGTATCGTATGCAACGGGTGATATTGCGTATCTCGTACAGGAGCAAGCCAAGTCTGCAACATTCCGAGTTAGAGCGAAGCAGGAGAACGTATCTGGTGTACTACTTCCTACGTTCGAAGTAGATCGCGTTCAAGGCACAGGTGCGTTCGACTCTCCCTACTCTCCATCTCTAAATCTCTTAAATTCGTTTCGCATTTCACTCAACTCAACGCAATCACCATGACAGACTTCAACCTAACCGGTCTAGGCCGAGGCGGCCAACAAGTCCTCAAAGCCAAAGAAACATACGCAAAAGCAGTCGAAACACTCGTCGAACTCGCCTCTCTCCAAACAGCATTCACAATCCTCGACGAAGTCATCCGTCAAACAAATCGTCGAGTCAACGCAATCGAACACGTCGTCATACCCAAACTCGATAACACTATCAAGTATATCTTGAGTGAGTTAGATGAGATGGATAGAGAGGAGTTCTTTAGGTTGAAGAAGGTACAGGGGAAGAAGAAGAGGGATGCGGCGGTTGCGGATAAGAAGAGGGAGGAGATGCAGAAAATGGGTGAGGAGGTTAGGCCGGTTGAGAGTGGGGATACGGGTGGAGCGGACTTGCTGGCGAGCAAGGATGAGGATATTATTTTCTGATGATTGTGTATGAGTTTACGCTAATTTATTGAAGGGATTCCGAGAATTGATATTTTGGCTCCTGAGCGGAATTTCACCGCATCACACAACCTTGCCTTTGGATATCCTGTACCAACACACTGGCCTACACATGCCGACCTTGGCCTCTATCGGCATTCTGCCTGTAACAGCAGCTTCAGATTTTGTTTCCGAATGCCCCCATACAATTGCAGGCCAAGCACATCTTTCTGTTTAACTCTCTCTGTGACGTCTACCAAGATCAAGTCCAGACTCAAGACTCTTAATCCCCACAGTAAAAACGTGTCAGCCTAGAACAACTCACTCCAACCCCACCTGACTCAAAACACAAAACCGATGACTTCAAAGATATTCAAAATTAAATAATTGAATAGCACGGAAGATTGTCTCTTTCCACCTAATCACCACCATCGATTAATCATCCTTCCCTTACTTGCCCACAATTGACACTTCTCTTCTCCCGTCACCAAAAGGAAAGGGACTAGCTGGATTTAGGTATAAGACAAAACGAACAAGTTCGGAGAAACAGGCACTAGCGGGTGCTGGAGACTTGCAAGAGGTTAAGGAGAGACAAAAGGGAGGTAAAAGTGCATGCTTGGTGTTGACGCTAAGAAGGGGAGGGATGAATAGTTTTAGCTTACGTTCCTGTTTATTCTTTTGTTCTGGTTCTGGAGAGGATGTAGATATTGAATATCTACATTTACACGTTTTGAAGTTCCCTGACCTTGACCTTGTGCTTGTGGGGTGTACGTTCTAGTCTAGTTGTTAATACACATGATAATGATAATGATAGTCAGATTTTCTCACTTGAGCGCGTTGGGGTAAAGGGAAAGAGTTTAGGTTATGTATTCTTAGTTAGGACACCACGAGGCAAATGCTCGGCATGACGTACTCCGACGCACATGGTGGACGAAGTTGTAATCATTTCTCTTGTCCAATGTCTTGTGCTCACAAGAGTTAGCTAGGCCAGGGCCAGGAAAGACGTTCCACGCACGAGCTCGAATAACTGCCATTGCAGTATACATACGAACAGCTTCCTGCAAAGCTGTACATGATGCTTGATCATTCTGTTTCAATACTCTTGAAATGATATGCCGTTTCGGTGTTCAACGCTTTATGGGCTGAACAGCACATTGCTGAAGTGTGTCGGGGTAGTACTGGACCTGGTTGCGGATCAATCAGTGGCCCCGGTCTTTGTTCGAGACTGAGGCTCCAGCGCAAGGTGCAAATAATGTTGAACGAACGTTCGTCGCCCGTTGTCGCTTCACCGCACCTTCGGCATACTTACTTACGTCCTTATCCCGCGTTTCAGAACTGAAAATGAAGGGAGAAATGAAAGAAAGGCGTTTTGATAGAGATAAAATGAAATGAAAGACGAATGACAGTGATGAGAGTTGTTATATATCTACAAGGTGAAGATCGAAGAAAGGAGTTGTACACATATCCACAATGAACAATAAATAATAAAAAGACGAAGAAGACTTAACCAAGAAAGAGTGTGAGCCAATGGCGTAGATAGACGTTAGATGAATGGATAAAAACGAAAGGACAGATGGTTGAAACAGACTTCAGGTCTAGCCTGAAGGTACGTAGAACGAAGAGAAAAATAACGCGAAAGGTAAATAAGTAAGTTGTAAGAAGTGAAAAGAGTGACTCGACTCGATCTCGTTTCGTTGCACCGAATTTGCGCCGGGACGTCGGCATTCCCTCCCTCAGCCATCTAACGTCACAGGCACGAACAGATGGTCTACTCGCACCTGCACAGCTCCGCTCCATTCTCCGCCCAACGTCGTCGACGTCAAACCCGTCAAATCAGGGCCGATGAAACGAACTGTCCTAAAGTACAGCGCGCAGCACAAACCCGAGCGCAACGGACGCGTAGGCGACCCACGCCGATACGTTGGACATCATCGAGGAAACCGGATGATCTCGCCCTCGCTGTGCTTCAGGGACTTCTTCCCTCGCTTCCACGGATTCTACATCGGAGTTTGTATCGTAGGATACGGAACCGAAGGTCGATGTGCTGTCGGAGCTTCTGTGTGAAGCGACTAGCGGAGACGATGGTTCAGATTCAGGTTGAGATTGAGAGGATTGAAGGAGGTTCCGTCGGATTTGTGCGATGTCTGCGTCGGTGAGTGAAGTACGTGCTTTGATGTACCCCTCTGCACCACCATACCTCTCGCGTATGAAGTCCAGTGTCGCAAACATTGTCTCTTTTCTATAAAATGTACCCACAAATTGGCCATAAACAATGTCAGTCAATGCCAAGACTCGCGGATAAAATATAAAAATGGACAAAAAATGGAAGATCCAAACCGCGACATAAAAATAGCCCAGGGACAAGAAGAATAAAATAAGCGGAATTGCACTGACTTTGCGCTCCCCATATTTTGGAAGCCTTCCCAATTATCTCGATAGACTGCTTCTTTTTGGAACCTGCCGATAAGCGCGGGTATGGCGGGTGCAAGGCCGTAGGTTGTTAGGCCGTAGTCGTGCGCGATGGCTGCATCAGGAACTCCGAGGAGCTGTTATTCGAGAGTAGGAGGCGTTGTCAATCTATGCTGTGAAAAGATTGCGAATGAGGTACGAACCAGCTGAACGAGAGCGGCGAATAGTCCGGTTCGGTCCTTCCCACCTATTCAGAGCAAGGAACATGTTAATTCCATTATATCGGCCATAATTAATGGCCGTACCAGTGCAATGTACGAGGAAAGGCTCGTCAGGTTTATCTCGTAGATGAATTAGTATTTTCTCATACGCGGGTCCGGCCTTTGCTAGTATGTCAGAGTAGAGTGCAGCAAATTCCTACATGAGTCTCTCGTCAGTACAGAGTCCCCAGTATGATCTCACAAGGAAATACCCCATACGTTCTTCTCATCCGAAGCAAATCTCGACAATCTGTCGCGACGGTCAAAAGTCAGATGCAGTATCAGCTAAAGGCAAAGGGAACGCGAACTTGGAGGCCAGTGCCATCGGATCGTACTCATCATTTTCCGAGACGGGGACACGTACAAACCGAATGCCGTCAACATCGGGGGTAGTAGATTGATATTTACGAATTTCGCTCCCAGAGCGAAGATCAAAGATTGTGGTTATCCCGAGTTTCTTGAGCGTGGCTTTGCCTTTGTCTGTCAGACGTGAGAGCTCGCCGGAACGAAAGAGAAAGCCTGAACGGATATGTGGTATTTCATCGCAAACAGCCGAGTCAGGAGGAAAGGAGAGAATTCCAAAGTCACGAAAGTTGATGACACCCTCGACAGAGTGAAAGGGAGGAGAGGACAGAGTACGCTTGACAAGGTCTTCGTCGGGTACATGCAGCCTCATAGTGTTGGCGACCATCTTTTGGGGAAGAGGGAGGAGGGAGAGAAGCAGGATGAAGAAGCATGAGGGCGGGGTAAGCAGGTATTTGTACTCGCAGGGCCGAGAAGAAAGGGTTAGTCCAAACTGCGTCGGGAATATTTTCTGAATGAGCGCTTATTGTCCAATGACATCGGACTGAAGTGGCGTTTAAAGACGGGCTACAGAAGAGTTGCTGGAAGAAAAGTCTCATGAAACTCAAACAAAAGCAAGATTGCATCGCCGAAGCATTGGCGGCCCGATACGCGTGTTATTCATGGAGATCTGCATTACTGTGGAACTGACGCGACTTTGCAAGCAAGCTTTCGCGAATGCGAAAATGTTTCAAAGTCACGGAACTGTTCTGCCATGTGTTTGTTTGTCAGAGATGCTGCTGTAAGTGTGCGAACCTGATGATTACGATGCAATGATGATGATGAGAAGAAACAAGCTCAAGGTTCAGGGATGGAGTCATCTAACCCGCTTATCTAACGAATTGAAGCGGAGATTGAATGTCCGGCACGTGCCCCTGTTCGCCACAGAACCCAGGCCACAGTTCATCCCTGAGTTCCCCTCACAGTCACACTCACGCTCCCCTCCGTCGTCCTCGACGTCGCCCTAGCCCCCGGTCCCTCGTTGTCCACGCTGATGCCAACACCGACATCTACAATCATGCAGGCTCAGCAAGCTCACGTTCCACCCTTCCCCGCCCTCTATCTCTATCCACTAAACGACTCTTTCATCCCCAAACACATCAGTCTCCTCAACAATCAGCGCGTCAAGATCGGACGACAGACCAATGCCAAGACCGTCCCCGGCGAGCGCAACGGCTACTTTGATTCAAAGGTTCTCTCGCGTCAGCACGCAGAGGTGTGGGAGGAGAATGGCAAAATATTCATCAAGGATGTCAAGAGTTCGAATGGTACCTTCATAAACGGCGAACGTCTGTCTGCAGAGGGGGTCGAATCAGACCCCTATGAACTTAAAACAGACGACATTGTGGTATGTCCCGCCTGCCCATAATTTTTTTCTCATACAGTTCCTCAACTACAAACAGGAATTTGGTATCGATATTGTTGGAGAAGACAACAAGACGATTATCCACCACAAAGTCGCGGCACGCGTGACGTGTATATTCAACGTCGAAGATGCCCTTGCCGCCCAGCGCGAGGCTTATAACTTCACTCAGCAACAAAATCAACAGGGTGCTGGTGGTCCAGGGAATGCTCTCGGCGCAGCTGCTCACAAGCGGCCTATGCTGCAGCCTCAGTCGAATGGCATGGGAATCATGGGAGGGATGGGCGGAGGTGCCCGGCAACCGGGTCGGAACGGCCTCACGTTCGACCATATCCTTCAACGGCTCTCCGGCGAGCTGCAGAAGAGCCGTGAGACGGGTGCGGAACTCGGTGCAGTCGCGGGCGCTATGGGTGAGATAGAGAACGTCATGGGTGGTGGACAGCCGCCAAATCTTCCCCCCTATCCTCATGTCCTGCCCCCTGTCCGCCCACCTTCGCAGCAGCCGCAGCAACAACAACAGCAACAGCAGCAACAACAACAACAGAGCGACTCTGCACCATCGTCTGCTGCACTTCAGGCTCTCCAAAGTCAGCTTGCCGAGACGCAGGCATCGTTGTCCTCCCATGTTGATAAAGTTCGCACGCTCGAGACTCTGCTAAGTGATCATGAAAACATAAAAAGAGATGTAAACGCGTTGAGGGATTTGATTGAAGAACAGCGTCAGCGCCAGCGGATGTCTTCGCAACGGATGCATGGGCATGTAGATGATGACGAAGATGATGAAGACGATAGGAGGAGTGTACATACCATTGTTCCGCACGAGCTGGAATCGGTGCCGGAAGAAGACGAGACGGAGATGGAGGAGAGCGAAGAAGAACGCAGTGCACGACGAGAGGAGCTCGGTCGTCCACGGACGCCAGAACCGACGTCGCTGGGCATGCGCGATGAGGATTACGAACGAGATCACCGCAGGTCAGGTCCTGCTCAACCTCCTGGTATCCCAGATGAAATGAGCCGTCGCCTTGCCTACCTATCTGACCAACTGGAGTCTGCCCTTGAGATGTCCCGTAACCTCCAAGAACAGCACTCCGCAGCCCAGCAGACAATTGAATCCCTCGAAAATAAAGTGAACTCGCTGGAGGAGCTTGTTCGACAGACCCAGTCATCGCAAGCTACTCAGAGTGCTCGACAGGCAGAGGAAGCTGTATCTAGGGAGAAAGCGCAGGAAGCGAGCATGGTGTCGATGTTCGCGGAGTTCCGCAAGACCATTGAAGATCGTTGGGAGAATGCGAAGAGTGAATGGGAGTCGGAGCGCGAACGAATGGAAACAGCACGAGCAGACTGGGAAGGGAGGGTTCGCAGCATTGAGGAAGGTGTCACCACTGCAACAAATAACTTCGAGAAAGGGATTACCGGACTTGCAAATCAACTGGCTGGTATTAAACAGAATGGGTACATCACCATGCCGAACAAGCACACGGGCGGGCTTGTGACGCCACCGTCTCCGCGCAGCCTGTCAGACGCAGACTCGGATTCGGATCGTCCCCTGAAAGAGAAGATGGCTCCAAAGGGTCGTAAACGGTCACGCTCACATCGTGGGCGGGTAACAAAGGGGTCATCACGTAGCCGTAGTCCTGCAACTTCGACCAGCGCAACGCTTGTGGATGGCATTAGTGCTCCAGGGACAGACTCGTCAGTCGGGAGCCTACGGTCGCGTCGTTCATCGACCGATTCGCCATCTGCTGTTCGAGGAAGCGGCTCTGAGGCATGCGGTGACCCAGAAGCGATTCCGCTCGCGCTAGACATGGCTAAGTTTAATACTCGCAACCAGCAATTCCCTCCTACTCCAGAATCATCTGTACACATTGACGAGACGGCACAATCGGTGATGAAAGGCTTCCAGCAGGTGCGTTCTTCCATCTTCAATATCTATTATACGAGGATACTTAAATAATTATGTTTCAGTCGAACAACAATCTACAAGTCGCGTTAGGCGTCTTCGTACTAGGATTTGCGACTGCTGCTGTCTTATGGCGAGTAAAAGAGTAGTGACGCGCCCTCTTAATCAAATGAAGCTTTTCTTCAACGCACCGAATTCCAAGCCAGACAAGACAAATTCGCATTGCATAGGAAAAGGGACACGGAAAGATAATTGATAAAAATTCCCATTGTCTCTGCTGCTTCAAGTATTTATTCCGCACTCGCCACATTACTTTATCGACGCCTCGCAATATCTCATCGCTTACTTTTGCGCTTGCAGTTTCTCTTCTCTTCCAAACTTTGGATCCAATGTTTTATAGTTGCACCCTGTTCCGGTGCTGGCACACTCCTTCGTGTTTATTTCTTCTCTTCCTTTTCTGTCTTGCACTTTCAGCACAATTTTCGCTCTGCAAGTTCAATACATACCGATCATACAAGCAAGCACATCCTTCTCTCTTTCACTCCGCATAACGTATTGGCCGGATAACTATAGCTATATTACCATTACCCACTTTTCATCTTCTCGCCTCGTCAATTGTGGTTCACTTTGGACCTCCTCGCTCGTCTATGCAGGTTCCTCATCCGAACTTCATCATCATAGGTATTTTTTCTTCTCTTCTTTTTGTCAGGCTCGTTTGTTTTTTGTGCTTACTTATGCCCTGGCTTCCTCTTCCCCTCGATATGTACACTATTTTCATTTGTTTCGACTTTTTGTTCCGAATTCTTTTTTTTTTCCGTCTCGTTTTTCGTTTTACTCTTTTTTTGAAATCGATACCTTTGTGTGTCGATAATGTCTTCTAATGAACTGTGATGATGAATATATGCTATCTATTCGTCGCATTCTAATGTCCTTCCCGTGGTCGAGTGAACTTGAGATAATCGATCTTACCTCGGTCGTGAACAACTCGGAATCTCTGAAGAGGACCAAGGCTTGTGCGTAATAGAGTGTGATGACGTAAAGGATTATACATGTGTGTCTGTAGACACGTCTTGTTTTGTGACTTTGTATCTGATTTTCGACAGTCTTCGCCTCAAATCTCAACAACTTGTACTTACTGTAATAATCACCGGCAATACCTTATGGACAGGACACACAACATTTAAGAAGCTCTTTATATATATGGCAAACAAGGACTGGTTCTGTTTAATCATTTTCTCTGGCCCGGAAGGTGTGCCACCAGTGTCTGAACGCTCTGGACTCAAAATCTTTGGTGAAGTGAAATGATTTGTAAGTTTGCGTATTCGTGACGTTGGACGATTAGATTGTTATGTATCTGGATCGGAACTTGAGACTACCAGACGTTCGAACGGCGGTAAACGGCCGGGAACACGAGGCATCCGCTTCCGTTTATCTCAGCTCAGGAGAAGAGAAGTCTATGGTCCGTTAAAGCCTTTATAAGGGGCCGGGTCTTATCATAGCGACTCTTCCTCTCTGTTTTCTGGGTACAATACTGTTACCTGGTGGCAAGCACTGGGGCGACTATTTGCCCACCTATTACCTGCCTTCCTGAGCTTCTTGAAAACTCGAATAGAAATATGTCCGCCATTGCTGAGGTGACCGAACGGCCATCGGCCGTGCCACCAGCGACCGGAACTAAGCCCTTCTTGCGCAGACTGCGAGAGTCTTATTGGCATACCTATACCGGGTGTACTCTCTTCGCATCCATTGGAGGATTTCTTTTCGGGTTTGATACAGGTCTGTTTGTTTGCTTGTTTTTTCCTTTCCTGGATCAATGTTGTTGAGGTACTGGCCTTATATTTCATAGGTTCGATCGGACCTGTAACGACCATGTCCCAATTCCTTGACAAATTCGAGCCTATTACGCCGACTGTACAAGGTCTCATTGTATCTTCCATCCTCATCACGGCTGCTACCTTCTCGCTCCTCGCTGGTCCGCTGTCCGATCGAATCTCTCGTAAATATACTCTTGCCCTTGGAGGAGCCATTTTCTCTGCTGGTTCTGCGATTGTTGCGTCTTCTCCGAAACTTGCACAAGTATTCATTGGACGCTGCTTGGCAGGTGCTGGGGAGGGCTTGTTCTTGTCAGTGGTTACTGTATACGTGTGTGAAATTGCTCCCGCGGCTCTCCGAGGTACTCTTGTGTGTACCATTCAGCTTTTTGTCACAATCGGCATTGCTTCAGGCGAGCATTGAAGTAGAACCTACGTCCTGGGCTTCGAAACACTGATATTTCATCGAAATGTAGGGTATTTCGTATGTTACGGATCGAACAAGATAGCTGGGGAGATGGCATGGCGTATTCCCTTTATTCTACAAGCCATTGTTTCAGCTAGTTTCGCTGCCGGCTCTCCGTTCCTTGTGCACTCTCCGCGTTGGTTACTGCGAGTTGGACGACACGAAGACGCGCTGAAGGCCTGGGATCATCTTGGACTCAGACCCACTGAAGCAGAGAAGGAGGACATCCAGGCTGGGAACGCGGAACGCGAACGGAATCAGCATGACTGGAAGATTGAGATGCGACAAATGTGGAAGAAAGATACGAGGAAACGCACGTTTTTGGGATGCTTCCTTATGGGAATGCAACAGCTTAGCGGAATTGATGGTGTGCTTTATTACGCACCTGTCTTGTTCACACAGGCTGGTTTGTCATCAACGAAAGCGGCGTTCCTTGCGTCTGGTGTTTCGGGATTGCTAAATGTCGCATGTACGGTCGTCACACAGCCTTTCCAAGATAAATGTACGTTCCCTCTCTTTATGCGTATCGACTTTTGCTATATTTTATTTTATTTTCTAAGGGGGGAGACGCCCTTCGGTTCTAATCGGAGGCTCTGTTATCGCCGGTTGTATGCTCATCATTGGAAGCATTTACGCTTCCAACGCACACAACACTTCCTCAGGACGCTGGGCCGTCATTGTCCTCATTTATATCTTCGTCATCGCATTTTCTATGTCCTGGGCAATTGTGATCCGTACCTGTGCATCTGAAATCCAGCCTGCACGCACACGCGCTGCTGCAACAAGCCTCGGACAAGCAGCAAACTGGGTCGTCAATTGGGTCGTCGCGTTCTCAACTCCGCTTTTCCTTGCACGTTCAACGAGCGGTCCGTATTTCCTCTTTGGTGCATGTACTGCGTTGACGGTCCTTGTGAGTGCTGCACTGTTGCCTGAGAGTAAGGGAGTGAGCTTGGAAGGGCTTGATGAGATATTCAAGATGAGTCCGTGGAGGAAGATGGGTTTAGGCATGCACCTTTCGGCTAAACGTGCGCCGAGACTAGCACGCTTGAATTCCGGAAATGATATTGAAATGGCAATGACCCGGGTTATTCCAGATGAGCCAATGTTTTCTCAGTAATTGTGTAGGAGTCAAGAATAAAAGCTATGTTTCTCTCGCCAATGTTAGAACAACTCGCTCACTGACCAGTACTTATATGAGCATGCTACAGAGTACAAATCAAAGGGCCAAATGTCTTGATCTGGGTGGAAGTACAAGCATGATAACGTGGAGCGAAAGGCTATTCTAACTACTCAATACCCTTCATTTCCATGTTGCTCCCCATTTCCAATCTATAATTCATACGTCTCATACCTCTTGGTCTACTGTTGGATTCAAGATGAAGGAATACATGATGCGACAGGATGACAATCAGGCCTCTGGGGCAAATAGGGGATAGTATATGGGCCAGTATACATTAAGCTATGTGCCATGAAACATGTTAGTTAGTCAAGAACTCAAGAATATAAGAGGCACCTACCAAACGATTTCAATATCAAGAACTCTATGGCAAGTTCCTTCACCATTCCCTTCGATCAAGCCCTAGCAAGAGTAGAGCTAGAGTATGCGCTGCGATCATCGAGGACACTCCCACTGCGAGCATAGGCGTTGACAATACTACCAACAGGGGATGCATAAGTCGGCGGGGAGCTTGTTTGACTAAAGCCGCGCTGGAACTGGGGCACGTTGCTGTAGCGAGTGCAATTGCCTTGCGGAGCATTATACTGGTTGATTGTAACAGTGCTGTTGTGTATGGTAATGGAGCCAGCAGAGTGCGACATAATGAGCAGTAAGGACTCGGAAGATGACAATGATACAGCAAGGTTTGAATAGGGACAAAAGTCGACTGAGTGCTGAAGATTATGCAGTTTGAGGACTGGTGTATGCAAGGCTGGTCAAGGAAATGCAAGGGACAGGGGAAATTTTTTGGGCTTGCATTACAGGCTTTTTATACTGAAATACACAGGGAAAGCTAACACTGGTAACCTATTCGGTTGGCTGTGAACTATGTATGCTGAAGGAAACTGAAAGAAAGGCAAAGATTTGTTTGCTCTTGCCCACTCACACGATTCATGGCTGTTTCCGAGCCAGAAAAAAGGGTTATAGCCTCTGTACATATAAGGGCCCTGATGGACGGGATGGACTGTATTATTCACGGCGGTTATGTCGCGCGTAGATTGCGCGTTCTGGCCATCAGTGAGGCAGAATCTGGGCACTGCCGCAGTGGCACATTCGTGCTCACAGCATTGTCTGGTTAGGTTAGAAGGTTTTGCTCAACACGAGGCTTCGCTTACTTGGCTAACCTGACCACAACTTCAAGTTCCCGCTCTTTTTCGCCCAGCTGCCTGTAGCAGGTGCAGCTGCCCTGATTCCCAATTTGAATTTGAATTTGGATTCAATTCGCCAGAACAGCCCGCTGACAGACGTGTGCTGTTGCTTGGTGCCGCTTGAGCCTTGCACAATCAAGCTGTGCACGCTCATTTTGCATCTGCTTCTCGATCTACTGGATTTCTGCCCTCGCACCCTATGCCTAACGTTAACGCTGACTATTCTTCCTTTTTTAATCTATATACGGTTATTTTCTGTTATGTATGTTTTCGTCTGGACAGGTATAAGTGATCGCTCTTTATAACTTACACCGATGGCACTGTATCACATTCTTGTCTGCATCTGCCTTTTAGACTTCTGCATACATCAAGTTTGGCCAATTTGACCTGTTTGAACCTTACTGCTATCCATGATGGTTCCCTTGGTGATTCCTGCAATCTGGTGTAATTAGACACATAATGTAACAGCACTTTCCTTCAATCAGCCTCTCAGCCTTCCCCTGCTAGCTAATATTCAAGGGATAAGATCACAGCATCCTGTCATCCATCTTATAGATTGTAGCCCAATGCACACACTCCAACCAAGCCCCTATATGTTGCATCTGTTTGTCTATATAAATGAGAAACATGGGCAAAAAGTATTAAGAATAAACAATATCAGTGAGGCTTGTAATTATAGTGTTTAGCCAACAGTATTTCTACACGTTGTTGAATATTTTGGCAATCCAGAACAGATTTACAAAAGAAAACTGTAACGTACATCTGGGCAATTTTCGGTTCGACTCTGGATTAATTTGCCGAAGATCTTTTTATACACATCATGCGAATCGTTGAATCCACTCATCTAACAAAAAATCGCGTATCATGCAAAACAAAGACCAGTGAAGGGGTACAAGAATTGTGTCGAACACATCTAGAAATACTTCTCCCGGTCACGGTTTTCTCTGCGTCTTTCTCCTATGGCATCATCATTTCCATGCCTTTCCTGATCCCTTTTGTAGTCACCATCGTTCCGTCTTCCCTTTCGCCCGTGACCATAATCCCGCTCATGATGACGATCCCTCCGTTTATAGTAGTCGTAGTCGCGTTGGCGGTCAGTAGCCCGTTCTCCGTCTGAGCCCCTTTCCTGTCTCCTGTTAGGTTCGGGGGACCTTGAATTTCTTCGTGAGGAGGGTGCTGAACCCGGATCTCGGCCGCTTCGTTCGCGTTCCTTTTTCACTAAGGGAACATATCGTTTCTCCGGCCTCGTGGGCTTCTTCGAGTCTGAGCCGTCATCAACAATATTGCGTTCCTTTGCCCCGAGTCCTAATAATGCAGGCCGTGCAGCAGGCAAGTATGGTTCGGAAGGTCCTGTTCGCGTGCGCGAGGCAGCTTGGCCGGGCTTCCAACCCATGCCACGTAACAACGCGGCACCAAACTGTTCGACGGGAACGCGTTCGTAGTCTTCCAGTGATGCTTGATCTGGACGAGTAACGACGTCGCGTCTATATGCATCTGTTTCGTCTGCAGGCCGTGTCAAATCGTTGTCTCCCGAGGAGATAGCAGATATCAATAACTCTGCATCTGGGTCTTGTTCTCCGCTGGCCTTTGCTATTAGTGCACGCATGGCTTTCTCATCTTCTGTTTCCTCGCGCACTTCGACAGTTTCGGTTGTCGTGACTTCTTGTGTGAGAATATTGCCTTCGCTATCGACGTCCATCTTTGTCTTCTTTTCCATCCTCACTAGGCCAGAAACCAGAGGCTCTGAGTTAATGGTATCTGTTGTACCCAAACCGCCGACACTGCCGTCGGCACCTGTCTTTGCCGCACCAGCTGCTGGTACGAACATTTCAACTGCCTTGCGCTTCCGTGCGGCTTCGCGCCAATCACGATTCGCTAGAGCGGGGATAACAAGAGGTCCTTCATCCTTCTTTTTCCCATTAAGTCTGTTCATGAACAGGGCTACTTTGAGTTGAGGACCTGGACAAGAAAAGTTAGGAGAGATAACACACCGCTCAGCACCAAATTGGTCAAAACCAGTGATCATTTCGTCAACTGCTTCGTCTTCTTCATCACTTGAGTCTACATTGGCACGTCTGCTTGGTGGTCTGGATGGCTTTGGTGAAGCCTTTCCATTTGCAAGAGGACTTCCGGGCCTCGAACGACCACTCTCTGTTAATCGTTTGGGTAATGCAGGTACTTTGAATTGTCCTCCCGAATCCGAATCCGGTCCAGAAGAGCCTTGCCTCGAAACTGGAGATGGGCGACGAACAGTAAAGGATACTTTACCTGGAGCTCCGAAGGAAGACATGGTGGTTGAACAGCGAGAACAGCTTTGACTCGATCGTTGCAGCAAGTAGATTATGTAATTCATATGTCACGAGATTAGGTAAGGCCTCGACTCAACACGCTCGCCTTCATCGTCGATTCGTCCACCACGTCCGCGACGTTCTGTGTTCCTACTCGACAATCTATTGCTTCTAAATTCTTATTTATTCTGTGTTGACAAGATCTACTAGCTTAATTCGCTCGTTCCTGACTCTCTCGTTTCTATAATCTACTGTGGACGAACCCGTTATAATGGACCAAACTCAAACCGCTCAAGAGGATTTCGACATCTGGGAATTCGTAACCTGTTCTAAATGTCAGCTACCTTTCTCTCAGGATGGTGTCTCCGGTCCAAGTGTACCTTTCTGGATTACGGAATGCGGACATGTCCTATGCAATAGCCATCTGAGTACGTTCAGACACCGAGCAACGTGCACGTGTAGCATTAAGACGACTATGTAGATCCGGACAAGAGCTGTCCGTCCTGTAACGCGCAAAATATAGAGCTTATGGCGTTGCAGAAGGAGGTGAGTGCATTCTGGTCATGCTCAGGTTCTATGGCATGTCAGCGACAACTAATCCGTCAAGATGCCACCTCCTTTTTCTGACTGGTTCTGTTCTCTGCCTTACAAACTGGATGCGCTCGCTCAGGCCGCTAAGGTTCTTTCAAGTGACTCTGACTTACCATACAAGCTCAGTCGATGCTTCTCTTAGTTTCAACATGAGCGAATGGCAAGCGCTGCACGCTATTATAAGACACGTTATGAGCAATATCGGTCGACGTTCAGCCGCCTGAAAAACGAAATCGCTCAGGTGAAGGCACTTAAAAAGTCTGACAGATATGATATTCTCTCCTGAAAGAGGTCTAATGGCTGCTGCTGCTGGCTGCGACTCTTGTTTCTCTAGAGAAAACGTGGCCCTGAAGAGCGAAATTACTCGTTTACGAGGCGGGTCGACTGATCATCAGCAACAGGACATGCAACGCCAACAGGAACCAGCCCCATTTGTTAACGTAAACGGAAAACGTCGTATTCTGGATAATCAGGTGTACGTATGGGCTCCCCAGTTCTCGCCTAATAGCATATAGTCCGTCTAATGATCCCCTGAACTGCCATTAGTTATACCTCAAGTCCCCGGTCAATTCATACCCCCGCCGGACCTTCGCGTATCACACTTCCTCCGGACCATGACCTTCCACCTCCTTTAGCCCAGCTTGGTGCTTTGGGCACGTCAAATTCGGTTGACGGTTCGCGACAACGGTCATCAAATCCGCTGCAACCACCAGGATCAAGTCACTTTTCTCAGTGAGCTGATAATCACCACATCTGATCCCCGAAGTCATGTGTGAATGACAGGCAATATGCATATAATGCACCTCAAAGTCAGCACATGCAGATGCCTTCCCAACAAGTGCTTTCATATGAGCAACAGGCGCCGACTCGCCAGCGAGTGCGGCAGAACGACGGACAACTTATGCTCCCTCCACCGACGCCATCTCAGGGTCGACAAGCCAACGGCTTACTTCAGTCTCGTCAGACGCAGCGACTGGCGACAACTCGTCTCGCTGAACAAATGCACATTGGCCAATGTCAGTTCTTGCATAGTGAAAATCTCTGTAACTAATTTTCCGCGTTAGACACCCATCAAATACAACAGTCGCAGACTTCAGGACCTGAAAATGCACAAAGTTCTGGAACTGGCCAACAGCGATCAACCGGACAAGACTCACGACGATTCGTTCCGCCTACTGCAACCAACTCATTCACAACGGCGAGCCGGTCAAGTCTGCATCTTGTCCCACAGACGCCAAATGGGGCGAGGCATCGTTTTGTTCCCATGACTCCGTCTACAAGCAGTGGAGGACGATTTGTGTCGGCTGGCTTATCCGGTTCCAGAGTTGCCCAGAACACTGCTCAAGGGAACGGACAAACCCAGCGGACTTCGTTCATTCCCAGATAGGTGATTGATTGATGCGAAGGCCGCTTTACGGATACCTAGGGATATTGGGTTCGTGTGCCATATGTGAATTCTCAAGGGTGGTCATTTTCAACACCGCTTCGATATGAATCGGCGTCTTCGCTATTCTAACATGCATAAGCATTGTACTATGCTAGGCTCCCTCCCCCCTCTGTAATCTATTACGGGACAATGTTTAGGACATCTTCATTGTCAATTACATTCAAACGTGGCTAGTTTTCAGTGCCGAGCTTTGCTGCTTGCAACATGTCGTAATATTAAATTCCAATCAGGCAATCGCCTGAAAGCGCTTGTCGAATACCACACTACACGTTTCTTTGTTTCTTTCCCATCTACTTCTTTAGAACCCGACTGTCAAACACCTTCTATCATGATATATATATATATATATATTGTTATTATATTCCCTTTTTGGGTTGAAGGCCCATTTCGTATTTGCACCTTGTCGGCGAATCGGTGGACTCGGTGCTACGATCATCAGATGGGTAACAGTGCCTCTTTTATGTTATACGCCCCAGGAGCATAGGAACAAAAGGAACAGGACTGCGACTGAAGGTTCTTGTCTTACCACCACCACCACCAACGGCGCAGTCTCCATGGCTGATCTCGCTGTCTGCGACTGCTTTGGACAGGCTGTTGGTCCTTGTGGACACACTCGAAAGGAGGCATTCCTGTCACGGTCACACGAACCATTGCTGGTAACAGTAAAGATCGACACTACACGAGGTGCTGCTGCGTTTGAGTCGCCGCGACGCGTCGGAGACAGTCCCCTTCATCAAAGACGCCCTCCTACATTCGACATCTGCAACGAACCCCGGCCGGATTTCAAACCATCGAGGGCGATGGCCTTGTCGCCACCTTCGCCACCAACGACAAAAGGATGGACGCCAGAATGTCTGGTTTCACTTGGGCCAAGGATGAAGCATGTTCCGCGCTTTTCCGCCGTTGCTGACCATAAACGCCTCAACGAGATTATTAAGGAATATGAAGGGAAAGGCGTGCCGTTGATCATTCAAGATTGGCATCGGACGCCTCTTTGGCCCGGGGATAAGCTATTTGGCTTCGATTGGTTGTTCAACCATGGTGAACAAAGTGCGTAAATATTTTCTTAGGTTTAATTTGGATTTATTCACAGTTTAGTTACCACCTCATTCCAGTGATGTCTGTGCGAGACTGTGTAACGCGTCGGGATAAAGATATCCCCTTTCAAGAGTTTATCGAGAAGAACAGAGCGATTTCCGAGTATGTGAGCGAAGGCGGTGCGGTTTATTTTTATTTCCATTCCACGATCTACATTTATGATTTACATTAAATTTTATAAAAACAGAGTCAGAAAGGCTATACGGTAAAGATGCAGTCTGCCCTAAGGAATGGAAGGATTGGTTACTGGACAGTGCAATCCCTGAAGTCCTGAAGCTAGGAAGTGCTGAGGATGTACTTGAACTACTGCCTAAACCCGTAAGCTCCAAAACACTCGAGTATTGATAATTTCTGGAAGATAATTTGCAGGAACGCGTTGAAACACTCATGTGTTACTACGGCATAGGGGACACGTTCACTGCGGCGCATAAGGATCTATGCGCGTCCTCGGGACAAAACCTTATGTGCAGCGCCGAGCGTGACGGATCAGCATTTTGGTTCATGACGCAGTCCTCCGATGCGCCCCGCGCTGCAGCGTACTTTCAGAAGCTCGGAACAGAACTGGACCATGAATCGCACGTTGCAACTCCTGAAGAATTTGCGAAAGCACCGTTTACTGTGTACGTCGCTGAGCAACGTGTTGGCGACCTTGTTCTCGTTCCTAGACGGTCATGCCACCAAGTCGTTAACCACGGTGGACTTACTGCGAAGATGTCTTGGTCAAGAATGACAATTGAGGGTCTCGTCACTGCATTTCATCATGAGCTACCGATTTACAGAAGGTAAACGTACATTTGCAGTGTATCTGCAATGACTTGCGTGTTCAATACTGACCTGAACATTGCGTAGGGTCTGTCGCGCCGAGACATACCGGGTCCGGTTGACCGTGTACCGAGCTCTTTTGGAATATATTCCCCAGCTTGAGCGAGAGCAGCAGAAATTCAAGGACAGTATCACGTCTGTGTCGAAGGTTCCGATCAAAGCACGACCGCGGGTGAAGATCCACTCGAGGCTGGACAGCTCCGACTCCCTTCCGTCACCTGTTTCCCCTTCATCCTTGGGCGACGATAGCTCAGAAAGTCCTGTTAAACTGAGTCCAGAGCACGAACGACTCCTTTCTGACGTACGTAGTTTATTGGAGGTGTATGACAAGATCTTGCAAGAAGAGCATCATGGAGTTACTCAATGCGAGTTGCGCATTCGTCGTCTTTCAGCACAACAAGACGGTCTATCCGCTCCAATGACGTCTCACCAGACGAGGGTTCCTCGGATTGCCATCCCGGACGATATTTACAACGAGGGCCTAACGTGCGACTTCTGTGGCGCAGATATCTTCCAGAGTTTCTTCGAGTGTCGTGATTGTAGTGGCGGCAATTCCAAAGATGATTCCATTGTCGTATGTCCAGGTTGTTACGTCGAAGGTCGCTCGTGCGACTGCACCATTATGAAGCCTGTACAGCAGTATCCAATGAATATGCTCTTGGAGGTCCAGAACAGGGCGCAGAAACTTGTCACGTTTGAAGGATATGGAAGCAAAGACCCGCGTAAACATCTTCCATTGTCTCATCAGTGAGTTGCAAGTTCTACCTACACACCTTCGCCTGATCCCTCGATGCTGAATTACTACATCTCTAGACTTCTACAGAGACTTGACGAACATCCGAAAATATTCGTGGCGGCTTGTCAACTTCTCAATTATCGGTCTACGATCATGCGCCGGAAGGTACGCGCCTGTTGATCGTACTGTAACACCCTTGCTCAATGTTGTGGATGTCAGAATGCTACTCACTCATGCAGGAAGAATATACAGAGGGTGCACGTTGTTCCGTGTGCCGGCGCATTAAATTGCAAAACCTGCCATGGTTCTCGTTGTTTCAAGCACATCCTTCAGGATGGACTCCATGTCGCAGAAGCACTGAAGCTGTACGAGCGGGACAAGACAGACAAACACCAAAAGTGGCATGAATGTCACAAGAAGGACGCAGGTACGAAACGCTTGGCCGTCACAAAGCCTATTGTTATAGAGGCGCAAAGGACGGGTCGACCATGCGATATGAGTGTAAATCTTGTCTTGCACGCAGAAATGTATTCGTACCCTCGGCCGATGAGCAATAAGGTCAAGTCTGGTTGGTACGATGATGCTTCATATATCGGACTTGAATCGGTAGGTGTCACCTAACCTAAATCTTTCATTTCTGTTGACACCAAAAACATTAATTTGGACAGGAGGTCGAATCTGAACCTGGCTTTGAGGGGTTTACTGGTCCTGTCCTAGGCGAGGGCGATGGAGACAGTCTCAGCGACACCATCTCGCATTCTAGTGATCCGGAATTTATTCCCACAGGAAAGAAAACTGCAAGGCCGCATCAACTCTCCGGATTAAAGATCGTGATTCCTGCTAGACCTCCGCAACTCACCTCGCCTCCACAAGACATACGAAGGCCAATAAACAACGTATTTGTTGAGGTGAACAAGTTGACCCCCGATCAGCGAGAGATGTTCTTTTTGAAGCGTCCTCGAGTTCCCACGCCTATATCTCTCCTTGCGTCCACTTCCAGCAATATGAACGCATCCCGACAATCAGTAACGACGAGTGGCTCTACGACAAAGAGCCCATCGCGTAACTCGTCTACTGGAAGAAGCGTGCAATCAACATGTTACGCTCAACTAGCAGTAGCGATTTCGAACGCACCAGCATTCAGCCCACCGAGGAAAATAGCCAATCCTCATCCCAAGCCCACTGCTGATCGAGAAGGAAAGGGTCTGCCTGGTGTTGCGCCAAGTGAACTATTGGTGCGAAAGCAAGATCAGAGTGGTGGTCCTGGTAAATCGTCTTCCAATGAAAAGTCGCGACCAAAATCACAGACTAAACTTAATCCTTCCTCGGAGTCTCTGCCTCCAGCACAACAACAACCAAAACCCCGAAGACTGTCCAATGTTTCCAATTCTGCCAGTACATCGAGTGCGTGTATTGAAAGGCTCATTGCGATAGACCACGATAGGCAGTCTTCGGAGGAAACGCCTTCGGGGGGAACACCAGACGTCAGTGCTTCAAAGCAGATCGCCAAGGATAACAGCAGGCCGGTTACGCACACCGATGAGGGACAAAAGTCTACTCAACAGACTTCCGTCGGAGCATCAAATGCATTTATCAAGAAACGCACGACTCCACTGCCGAAGTTCAAGAAAAACAAGAGGACCGAGGAATCTGTACCAGCTATCAATACAGATGTCCAACGCCCTCAACCTCCTTCGTCTGTCTCTGATACTCGATCGATGCCTCTGGGCAGTAATACACTGTCCGCTTCAGAGATTCAACTAGATTCGGTTGAGTCATATCCTTTGTCGCCTGATCAATGGCCAGAAAGCAGCTCCTTCCCCATCGAGCCACGCACGCACGCCCTACCACCAGCGATATCCTCCGTATCTGGTCAACCTGCTCCGACAGAACCTATTAGTGAAGTACCAGATCCTTCTAATTCCGCATTGTTCGAGTTTCTGCGACGATTAGAGAGGAACGGACAGGACATCAGGGAAAATCTGCTAGAGTTGCATATGGAAATAAGGACGCTAAAGGAGGAGAACATGAGACTACGACAGCAGCAATCGAATGCTCCACCCGCTTTCGTCTGTGGCACAAATGCAAATGCTAACGTTCATGGGGGACAATGGCAACCAGTAAGGATTTTTTGGCTTGCTTTCTATATCGTGCAATCATTAACATGGCGTGTTCTTCGGTAGGACGGCCTAGTGTCTCATGGCGGCAGTCAATTGGCATTCAATGGTGGCAATTATTTTGCGCCTGGGCAGCAAGGTCCTAACTCGCACAATGGAGGTTATGTACGACAAAACGAGTACTGGAATTCGCGAAATGACAGTCAAGCAAGTCGAATGTCTCCACCAGAGTCTCCGCCAGACCGACTGAATCTACGAAGGCGTGCTAGTCCTTACCAGCCTATCGAGGACCGTACTAGGTGGAAGAAGTGGTGGGATGTCGGTCCAGACGGGCTTAATCGGGCACCAGCACGGGAGCAAAACGATCTTGGCAATGCAGGCAGTCTCGCGAACTCGCGACCTATCGAAGTCCATCATCATCAAGACGTTAATAATCAATGTGAGCGCAAACGCACGCGCAGTGACACTGCTGAGCCTCCACGACGTCCACGTTATGACGAACCGCGCATGAATCGACAGCGGCACGTAAGCATGAACGATGACTACAAGCGTCGGAAGTTTGTAGACGAGGAACTACCGCCTGCACAACCATCGTCATCGTCGCTACAATTATACATGCCAGTGCAGAGCCGCATTGAAGAGGATGATCCGTATGTGCCTGACGAGTTTGCGAGCTTACCGCCTGCCAGGCCCGTGATTCCGACTGGGCCAAGGCGTGATGCTCGTCTGCAGACTCATGCACGCTAAATAACTGCTTTGTCCGAATTCGTCTTTCAATTCATTGCAATGTGTTCGAACATATGCGATTTTGCCAACCTCTCTAGAAAACAAAGACTATAAACGTTTATTCCTCTGTTCCCTTTCTGTATTTACTTGGACTGCTCATTGTTCACTTGCTTGATTACTTTTAATCCGGGCAGATGTTTTATTTAGATCTTCATTAAGTGTTCAATTGGTGTATTGTATATTTGCATTTGTTATATTTAGTGTAGTCTGGTCATCCCGCGCTTCTGTTGCTTCATAGTTGCTGTCTCATTGCATTGCATTATTCACCCATCTCACTCTCAACTTGCTTTCGGAATGCTTTCTTATCGTCACTTCATTCATCGTTGTCATTGTAATGTGTAGCACTACTAACTAAAGAAACTATGATACTCCGTTACCCCAACACGAACGCTCCTACATACCCGTCAACTCCTCAAACGAAACGAACTTGTACTCATACGTTAACTCGATCCCTGTCTTCTCACAATATCCCTTCACATCGTCAATATGCCACGCATTCTCCATCCTCATTTCATCATCTTCCGCAGCCTGAAAGCCTGCCAACATATCACTTGGATCTTTTGTCAACATGATCTTCTTGAGTGATTTAAGGGATTCCTGTTGTTCATATAGGACGTCGTGTAGTTGTTTCCCGTTGACAGGCCAGATAGTTGAAAAATGTACGTGGAGGTTCTCAACTGAATTCGGTAAAGGATTTAGAGCATGATGTAAACCGACAGTTATACTGAGCGTTTTGAGGTTCGTACAACCCGTTAGGAACTCCGTCCTACATTGTTTGTCTTCATTCAACGACGAGTAGTGCATTCTGAGTGCTTTGAGTTTGGATAGGAAAGGTTTCAGAGCGCGGAAGAGCGGGGACAAATTACCGTCTTGCAATCTGCAAATGTCTTTTGTGTGAATTTCGAGGTTCGTGATGGATGAGTCGCGCAGGAGCCAGGGTACGAAATGAGCTGTCGTATCGTTCAATCCACCGTCCACAAACGTGAAAGTCTGGAGATTTGAACATGCGGACGTGCTTTGCAAGACGTTATGTAACTCCGCAGTATTGCCCATTTCATCCTCCGAAGGTCCACCCATCCAGTTCCGGATGTACAGCGCCTTGAGAGAACGGAGGTTCGGAAGTACAGAACACAGAGTCGGTAAACACGCTACGTGCCCTCGATTCGGGAAAAGCCAGAGTGACTCTAGGTGTTGCATATGCTCTAACTCCAGAATTACCTGATGGAAGTCGTACATGTCTCTTACGTCAAGTCGCCACCACGTTCGTATCGCCAACTTTCTCAAGTTCGGTGCGTTACGCAAGAGATGCTTGAGGAGCCGAACCATCTCACGGGCATTTTCGTTATCCAGACTCTCAACGAAGTAGACTTCGCGTAGCCAAGAACCCATACGTGGACTCCGTAAGAAGGACTGGAGTGTCTTCGCACCGAAGAGTTTTGCGCGGGTGCGCAGGACACGCGAAACGGGCTGGGTCCACGTACGGTGTACGAGGGCCATATTGAGCAAGTCTTGTTCGCGTGGACACTTCGCGTCGGCGACGTTATACATGTTCGTGTCCCAGTCGACTTGTTCGGCCAGCGGGATCATCTCCCTTGCCAACTGTTGCGCAACGAAATCGATGATCAGTGGTGGGATACCTCCGTCCATGCGTGCGTCATTTTGATTACTTCCTGAGGGGAGGGAGTGAGGAGAAGTTAGAGCCCGCTTCTGCGCAATCCTCTTCCGCTGCTCCGAAATATGTTTTGCGACATCCTGCGCAGTCCCAAACGTTACATCCCTCGCATTAAACTTCTCATCTCTCACAAGCGTCAAAATCGCATCAAGAACGTTCGAGTTGAGGTCTCTGCTGAGATCTACGCTGAAAGCAGCAAGCAACGCATCGGACGCTGACTTGCATGGTACTGTTACGTGTAGGTTTTCTAGTCTTGCTATGGATTCATGAGTTGAAGGTGTTGTAGGAGATGGAGGAGGAGAGTCGTTAGGAGGAGCGGAGGATCCTTGGGAGTCGTCCATGGAGACCCTTCAGCAAGAGTACCCATTCTGCAGGCAATCGGCTATTATATGCGGTACTTCCCTGTAGGTCTGTTTGCGCGATACCGATGCAGAGTGGAGTGGACCTATTCGGCAAAGTGTGACCCAAAGAATTAATATTGCACCTGTTTTGGAAGGATGCGTGAAACGCGCCGTAGCGTGTAGGTGCAGAGTTACCAGTCAAGAGTAAGCTAAAACGACGATGTAGAGATGCCCTATGGATGCAGTCTAGTACAAGGCGATAGCAGAGATACTTTACGACTGCCTATCCCCAGGTTCCGAAACCCAGACGTGGGTAAAGTGGAATCATGGCAGAATACAATATTGCTCTATTACAGAGGGAAAAAAAAAATGACCATATCAGCTTGTACAACTTAATCATACTTACAACCATTTTTCAAGCCCAGTACTTGTGTTGGAACGATAGAATAGAGCCATTGGGATCCAGGTGGTGTAATATCACAGCAGACCTTCATGCACGTAAGTTTCAGAGTGGCAAAGTATACCACGAAACCAAGTAACATTGTGTCCCATTATGGAAGAGGACTCTTGGTGTTGCAGGATACCTGAGTGATATTTACAAGTCTTGATCAAGGCAGAATCACATTAAGAAGGTAGCTGACGAACACAACAAAATGGAAGATCCTGATAGAGGTGTCCTAGCTCTGGTCGCAAGTCAAGCTTGTGCGTGCAAACAAACCAAAAAGTACCTATTCATTACGTAAGCACAACTGCCTATTTTGTACATTCCCGAGCAAACGAAAAAACTTCATATGTTTAATTCATTTCATTTCATTTTTGCCTTTAATCCAGTGATGAAAGTAAGAACATGAACGAGAAAATGAAGATGCATATGAGATTGATTGAGAAAGGGGAAAAAATTGTCTAGTCGGATGAAAATGAATCATGAAATCATAATAAAATAAAAGTGAAATGAACTGTAGCGTTAATTTTCCGTTTTCTCGATTTAAAAGAAATAACCTCGAAAAGTCAAGGAAGGAAAAAGAGGGGAAAATATTGCATAGGTGTCATCGTATAATGCTCAGTGACGATAATAGAATAAGAGGGGGATGGACGAAGAGAGTGGGTATATATATCCGGCAAAAAAGAGAAAAAAAAGAGCATGTTCATCTTATGCAGACTCGCTCGCAAGTGTCACTTGGTATTAAGTTAACCCTTGAAGTTGGTATATATAGTCGTGAGAAAGTAAATAAAGAAAAAGTCATAAGGACGCCGTAGTGGGTGAATATTGAGTATACCGAGTGTTGAATCTTGAGTAATGAGTATTGAACATCGCGAAGTGAGAAGAGAAGATAACAGAAAGAAAGAAAAAAGAAGAATTAAACGAGGCGGATTGAAGAAGGAAGGAAGAAAGAAAGTAAAAATCCAATAGCCCAACACAATAAGTAGAAAGGATGGGAACGGAAGGGAGGGTAGGAAGAAAGGGCTGATGTATATATTACAATTAGCAGCAGCAGAACGATTTGATTGGATCTGAATTTAGTTTGGTTCGGAGCGCAGCTCGTCCAGAGGGTCCAAACAAGCGTAAGTGCGAGAAAACATACGAAAGTTGAGGAGGGCGGAAAGCATAGCTGACAGCTGAGAAGGAAGGTTGTATCGACAGGACGCAAACCCGGGCGGACGAACGAACGACATTCGTGTAGAATGGGTAATAGGAAGAGAAGGAATAGCAGGTCGTTGAGTAAAGTCGTCAGAAATTCGAAAGCGACGTCAAATCATCCACAATGGCACGTCAAGATCCGTACAAGCAAGCTCCGTTTCGGAGGCTCAGGATCATACACAGCATGTTGGCTCTCATACCCCTCCCCACCATTCGCCACACCAATCTCCCCACCACGCGCACGTACGTTACTCAACTCAGGCGGAGCAGCGCTCACCATACCCGGTGTTCGCGCGTATCCAGCTCCTCCACTCCCATTAGCAAACGCATCGTCATCACCTGCTCCGTACTCCCCTAACGCAGGAGGCGCACTCGCATAAGGATGCCCGGCCTGTGATTGTTGCTGTTGTGGCGAACCTTGTTGGGCACTTGCGCGTCTACCTGGAGAGGCAGGTGGAATACCCACCTGAGCTGCAGCGCTATTCGGTGTTGCCGTCCCGCCTGCCACACCTGGAATAAGTGCAGCGGGGATGTTATGCTTCTTGGAACCATGTCGCACGAGTGCGGGTGAAGGCTGCATTGGTGGTTGGGCGGAGACGCGTCGTCGTGCTTCGTCCTCTCGTCGTCCTCGCTCGTCTCGACGACGTTCTTGCGTAGGCTGCGTTGAGCTCGATGTCCCCAACTGGAATATTCCTACCGTCAGTCTGATTTACCTCAGTTGATGATGAAGACCTACAACTTGCGATTCCCACCCTCGGCCTCCGTTCAATTCATTCCAATCATACCTCTGATCGTCTACCTCTCCCATATTCTTCATCACCTTCGTGAACAACTCCCGAAGAAAATCGTAGTCCGGAGTCTCTTCGAACCCGAGCTTTCGCACATAGTTCAAGTATATGCTAAATTCTTCTGTAAAAGCGTTCGAGGAACCAAATCGAAGACACAACGATGAGCAAACACTGGCATATAATGCCATCCGCGAGAGGACGGAATGACGCACCGGGTAGACTCTCACACAGCTCTTTGATCGGCGTCGTCTGCTTTTTCTCGCCGATCTTCTCGTACTTCTGCTTATTAGTCGCGGCTTTGAGACCTTGCCATGGTAGGCTGCCGCGAAGGAAGTACATAAAGACGTGCCCGAGAGCTTCAAGGTCATCCCTCCGTGACTGTTCTGATCAAACGAAAGAATCGGGTCAAACACCATCCTAAGCGACGGAATTGTTGTAACGTACCGCGACCAAGATGTGTGTTGATACTCATGTAACGTGCCGTGCCGCTTAGACTCTTCCGTTCACGGTACGGAATGTGCTGCTTCGTCTTCGGATCACGATACTGCTTCGCCATCCCAAAATCAACAACATGTATGAGGTTCGCGTTCTTCGTCCCCGGCCTCCCGATGAGGAAGTTGTCCGGCTTGATGTCACGGTAGATGAGGTTCCTCTCGTGGATGGTCTGGACCCGCGAAATCTGCCAGAAAGGGGTTAGTGTTCGTACGCGAGAAGCGTGAAGATGCGTTGGAATAGGGCGTAGTGCGTACAGTTGAACAATGGAAGAGAAAGGACCTGTGGGAAATGACGTACCATCTGTCGTGCAGTCAAGCAGACCGTTTTGATGGAGAACTTGCGTCCACACATGTCAAACAGGTCCTCTAAGCTCGGACCCAACAAGTCTATAACGAGGATATTGTGCAGACCCTCTTGTCCGAAATGATAAATCTGCGGGATTCCAGCTGTTTTTGGTTTGAGAGAAAAAGACGAAAGTGAGAAAGACTCCGTAATGAATTGAAATTTTTGGGTGAGGAAATGTATACTGACGACATCCTGCCAAGATCCTGTACGACCGACACTCATCTCGCAACTGCGGTGCATCCGACTTGCGTGGTTCCTATACGATATGAACGCTTTGAGTAAGGATCCATTGCAATATGTAGTGATGCCATAGCAATATTCGATACGCACAAACTTTATAGCAACGGTCTGCGAGTTGAGCAGATTTGTCCCTAGACCCATGCATCAGTGCCATCCGCACAGCACACCTCCTAGTAGAAATGAAGGGATGAACGATACCTTCAAAGATGACACCGAAGGAGCCCTCTCCGATCTTCTTGCCTACGCGGTAATGGACACCAACGAGGTTAGTCGTCGAGGACGAGTGACCGCCATGAGAAGCCATCGGATCAGATGACGAGCGGAAGAAAGAGAACCAGAACCAGATAGGAATAATGACGAGCTGGAGAGGGACGAGGACGAGGAGTCCACGACCGACTCGAAGGGGGAGGGGGTAGACGATGAGCGCGAAGGACAAGAAGTAAGAAGTGTACAAGTGCGATTACCGCTTTCCGCTTGCTGCGCCGAAGCGAGAAGAGAAATGCACGTGCCCTCCAAACTTTAGCGCTCCTTTCGCTTTTTCCTTTCCTGCTTTTAAGTAAATCACCTTGATGGTCACGACCTTGTCTCATACAGTGTTCAGTTATACGAACGAGGAGAGCTAAAGCTGTACGTTTAACGACGAGCTTTTTGCACATTTCTATTCTATTGAAATATTTCACCTGCCTTGCCACACTGTGTCGATCGTTTCCTTTCCGAGACGTTCACGTTGACGCAGCAGAGGTCCACCAGTGGATAACATCTCTATTCAGAAGCTCATCTTATAGCTTCCTCCACGCCGCACTGTTGATTAGGGTACCACCTCAAAATCGTTAATATTACACTTCGACACGGCATCCATGCGAATAAGCCAATTTTAGATCAGATTATAGTATTGCTTCCGCTCGCTGGACTGGAAACACTCCGATCCATTGTTCACAATGATATTAATATCTCTATCCTTGGCATCTCCGAGAGAAACGTGGATCCTCCCAAAGTCCTTTTTACAAGGAAGAGACAAGAACAAGAACAAGACGCCACAAACATAGTTACTACCATCTTGCAAGTGGCGAATAATCAAGTGAGGTGAGACGGCGGGTTCCGAGTTAGCACATACGTCCTACTCATCCCGTCTATCACACGGAGATGTTTTCATACATGGACTACTTATTTACTTTAACGATGCACGCTTTGCGGGCAGATAGAACACAGGAACAGTCATCCTGTCTATCACACGGAAGCACGTAGTAATAATACGAGCCGTGATTACAAGAAGAAATGAACAATCCGACCAGACCCGTTCTTATTACATATAGACTTACATCACCATTTATTCTCCTTTGCGACGCATCCTCATGCAGATGGCTAGTAGCAGGAAAAGGCAGTAGTGATTAAATATGGCATATACCTTGAATGTCATTTGTATCCAAAGGGCAAAACCTCTTACAAAAGTCCTATTAGTATTAACATTGTGTATATCTGAGTGCTATTAAACACAGAAACAATTTAAGACAAATCTCTACAACATAATTACTTTATTACTGTTAAAACTTTGCATCTACATCTCCCTCCAGACTCCAACTTTACAATCTTTCCTATAATTTCCTCAAAAAAATCAAGTGGATATAGTCTATACAGTACATGATCTGGTATCCACGGCCATAGGACTTCGAAAACACCGCATCCCGTCCGATCTGCGCAGTTAACCGAAGTGCCGCCCAGTTAGTACCACGGTGGGGGACCACGCGGGAATCCTGGGTGTCGTGGTTTTATTTTTTATTTAATTTCTATTTCTTATTACCAACACTGACATTGATTAACTTAATGAAAAATGTTGCATCTATTAGTATTACAATAACTAGTAAACTTTATTGTTCCATCCGTGGACATGTAGCAACCTCAGTATTTCAAACTGTTCGAGTGCAACTCAGGATTAGAAGTCCACCAGTTGCCAAAAACGTCTCGTGAAAAAAGAGATCTGATCACACCTACTTATACGGATGTATGCACCTTACAATATAACCCCACTCACTCACTTTACCAAAGAGGGTGAAAAAAAATCACACGAACTGGGATATATGTAACAAAAGACATAGCGTAAAGTACAGGAGACTAAGGTCATGAAAGAAGTGAAAGATCGTTCCAACAGGGACATGTAAAGACGACTGTAACGGAGAATGGGAAAAGGAAAGCGACGTGAAGGAATCGCATGCCTGGTTGTAGGATAGGTAAAGTGATTTGTGTCTTGAGGTTTATGATACCGATGAAACGAATGCGTAAAAGGTATGAACGAGCGAAAAGAGGAAATGACATGGGCAAATGCAAGGACTCGTGCATGCAGAAGTCATCGATTGAGTTTATCGTCCGTGAAAGCAACAAAAAAGGAAGAAACATTGACAAAAGAAACGAGCCAAGAAATCGAACAGGAAAATAACCACCAAGGTGGCCAATAAGCGCCCACAGAGCGCTTACCAAGATACCGCCGACATCAACGTCTGTACGAATCCAGAGTCCGGCGAGAGAAGAGGTATCCACAGCCATGGCATAGGCTTACACCATTGTCCGACGAATCACCCACGCACGGCGGTGCAAGTCATTCAAGCAGAAAAGCTTTTCATACATAGTATGCTCGCTCGTCCATCGCCACGAACCCCTTAGCACACCAAACGTCGCGCCAGGGCACTCCTTTTCCTTTCGACATGAAGCAAGGACGAACCTGCTTTCGTAACCGTCTCGCTTCCTTTTCGTTTCTTAATTTTTTTCGCCATTCTAACCAGACTAAACTTCACAGATCGATGACAACCTACACGACTACGACCACCTTCGATCGATCCATACCAATCCTCAGCTCCGCCACCACCTCGATCGAGTCTCAGCGAAACTCGAAGCTCGAATGGAAGCGATCTTCCACATGGTTCAACGAGAGCTGCTGATATCTGTACGTCAAGGAAATTCACAACAAAATGCAGCGTAGAAAAACAAGAAAATCAGAAAAATGGCATTCAGGAAAAAGGAAACCGCTACGCACGGCTCAGAGTTCTTGTGGTAATAGAAACCACACATCCTCGCTGTAGGCACCTCAGCAGGCTCATCCCAGGGATTCTGTCTTCGGCTGCTCAATTCCTCATTCGCGCCGCCACGAGGCTCTGGTAAAGGTTCTTCCGGATAAGACGCAAATCCGCTTTCCATGCAAACCGGAAGCTCATCCGCTAACACCCGAGAAGACGGAGGAGTGGATTGAGGCTCTGGATCGAAATCTACGCAGACGTAGTAAAACCCTGAGGACATGAAAATGAAACAGATGAGTCCAGATAAATTGAAATAGACGTGGGTGCGTATGAATGCTTACCAGCAAAACTAGCGCCACTGATGTCTTCCACTCGATGATCCGGGACGAGGAACCGTTCTTTCCAACGCATGAACACGGCAGGGCGGGAAGTATTAGCAGGCAGCAGCATTCGAGGTTCAATCAATTCCTTTTGCAGCGCGCGGAACGCCGGGAACCGAGCCCAATGTACCATGTCCTCTTGCCGGGAGGCGCCCCAATCCTGAGTGTCGAAACCGTGGCGCATACCAATGATCTGTGCATCGAAATACGTGGTAAGTTCCGGCCAGTCGTCCGTCAACCCGCGGATGCACAGATATCCGCACAAAAATGAGGAAGCAAAGTCAACATCCTGAATAAAAATTACGAATAAAATGGACAAAATCAGTGACGCCGAAAACACGCGGCATGACAGCTAAGCAACGGGACTAACAACAATGGTGACGTTGACGTCGTAGCTATTCCGCCCGCTTTTCTGAGTGCCTCTGAACGTGGCACCGGGCTGAAGACATCTGTAACCCTTCGAACGCACCCGCAGTCTAGTTATATCTACGAGAGGGTCGGGATATCCGTCGTCATGATCGATGTCGTGTGTAAGTGTGGGATGTATTTGTCCTGAGGATGGGTATGTTTGCCGAACCGGGGATCTTGGGGGAATAAAACGCAAAGTAGGGGAAACAGATCTAGGAGAGACGTTGCGCTGAGGATAGGAGCGCTGGAGTGAGGATGTCGAAACAGGGATAGGTATGGAGAGGGAGCTCTGTGGAACACTACTGGGATTAATTTGACACGAATTGTCAATAGCAAAGGCACTCCTTCCCTCCCCGTGCGGTTCACTCTCTTCGTCACTAGATGAGGAATCCGTCTCAAGTAGCCCGTCAATACACATGGGCATGTTGTCGTGTTTGACGTTGCGGATGACACGGCGCGAGACGTCGATCTCCCGGACTCCATCCGCAACAACCGAGAGCCCTGGGTAGACGACGAGTGGAGAACATGTTACAGTCCGTGAGTCCCTGCATGCGTTGCAAAGATTGGTGTTCTCGATGGACTCGGGCGAGTACAATTGGGTGGCCGTTGGTGCCTCAGCATTAAGTGGCCCTTGACAGCCAGAACAACGTTTTATTTGGGGAGTGTCATCGGCCAACTGCGATGAGTCCGTTGGCGAGATAAGTGGGTGGCCTGCAGGCATCGCTGAAAGTGTCGAACAAGATGTTTGTTGGGAGAGAGGTGTCGAGATGTCGCTAGCGAGGGATGATGGCACAAATATGTAAGGAAGAGGTGTAAGTGCAGGTGCCTCTGTGTTACTTGTCGGGTCACGCGTCGGCGTCCGCTCCACGTGCCTTTTTTTCAAAAGAAATCGCCACTTTATCCTCCCAAGTTCCTTTGCAGCACGTTTACTGTGCACTGTAGTAGTCAGACAAAGTGCGCCCTCTTCTCCGACTCGGCAAAGCAAAAATATCGCCTCTACTAATCATCTCAGATGCAATTGATTATCGGCCTTCCTTACAGGGCGATGTAGCTCGGAAGCACCAAGCTTCGTTCTAGGCGGCCGTGATGATTAGTATCCTATCCTCTTCTTGTTTTGTCGTAATCAATAGTCGTTGGGGCGAAATATCAACGTTCGCGCCGCTCAGCTGATCCCATTCAATGAGCGTCTATCACCACTCGGGCGGAGCCTGTGTCAATATCTATCACTGCATACAGCCTTCGCCGACGAACTTCATTGCTCAGAACTAGCACAACATAGGAGGAATACGCCTTTGGTTATGTTGACTCCTAGTGCTCAAAAGACACATAGGATGACTACGGATCCGCGTCTGTTTGTCATTTCCGGGCTCTGTGGCGTTTACACTCTCCTAAACGCTCTAAACGCTCAACAAGACAATGATTGCTATTATTGGATGCGCAGTCCGGCGCTACTCTCCTGAGCCGTCAAATGCAGTGCATCTGGCTAGAGCTTCTTTGATGCAGAAACTTGACATTCTTGTCTATCTTCTCAATGCAGATACTTGCCTGATGTTGTTCTATCGCCACGTGTCTGTGTTGAGCGTCTCCGTCGAAGTACGCGGAGAACGAATTGTTCGCGACAAAGCGGAAAAGGTGACAAGCCCAAAGAAGAAGAAAAATTTAAAAGTAAGGATAAGTCACGGATCTCGACCTGCGGCGTCGCGCCGTCAAAATGCATCTAAATATACAGTGTGTAATACAGAAACTATTCTGTGTTCATCACGACTTGTCGCCGACGCCGATCACCCACGGATCCTGCCAGAACACCGAAGAGTCTTCCCTTCAGTTCGACTGCGCATTTGATAAAACTTCGAAAGCACTGAACCCTTCCTGCCAAGATGAAGACGGGCCTCGGACCTTACCCACTGAATATTCTCTATTCTAACGGGTCGGGAATGAGTATCGTTCGGGACCGGATCGGCGTGACGATTAGATGTTGGCTGACTGACTAGTCCTCCGTCCCGGCTCTCTATTAAACGTCTCTGTCTTTCCGGGCCTAGCTCATAGTTTTCTCTTTTCCTTCCATGCACGCCAGCTAAGCATACCTGATCTGGTGACTCATCGCTTTTGGCCATCGACTACCATCTTACCACTTTACCTCCGTGAAGCTAGAAACACAGCATCTAGTCTTCGTGCGCAGTACACTACCCAGCCGAGACAACTCCACTTCCTTCCTTTAAATTCGAATGGGAGCTTTATTTAGGAGGTCACAGGGTCCAGCATAGCATCTGAGAGGGCGAGAGTTCTAGATTTCAGATCGATCCAGGAAAGGGGAGATAAGGTGTCTCTTGTGTGTACAATCTCTTGTGTTTCGTTCCTTCTGTTGTATCGTCCAAGAAAAGTAAAGGAATCAATATTCTTAGACCTACCTAGAACGAACAAAATTACTGTTACAAACGGTGGAGTTTCTTCATTACATTATTATAACCTGAATACCTTTGTCTTTGTGTCTAACTGTATCAACACACAACTTGAAGGTCTCGGCTCACCTAGACTTACACTTATAGAAAGATGGCACTAATCACTCCCTTCTTATTGTAACGTTCAGAATATTTTTAAGATTTATATTTCGTCGTACAGCTTTCCTTACTTTAGGTCAACCTCAGCCTGCCTCATCAGTATCAGAATTAATGTCCAAATCGTGCCCATCCTACCTCACATGTGAAACGGTCCTAGAAGTCTAGCAGAATTGATTCTGCCGTGTCAGACTCTAAATTACAGATAGATGGCTCATCAAGGCCAATGGTTTTGTTGGTATGTTATTTTACAAAATTGTCTTTCCTAGGGTTACATTCCCGGGTGCTGTGTATTGACAATGCAGAGACACGTGTGTATATTTGTTTTGCAAACTGTCTGTTCTGTAGTTTATCGTACGTATCTCCAGAATGTATACATTCAAAAATGTATATAGGAAACACCAATACTTTCGGTAAACAAGCCAGATTGTACGCATAATCCGAGTGAAACCAAATACATATTATAAACCCCTAAAGAATAATGACTACAAATTGACAACTACACAATGACTAAAGGCACATTGTACAACTGTTTGGCAAGTGCTAATTGTAAAGAGCTAGCCGTCGTCACTTATTTTAACGTTAGTCCACGTATCTCCATGACACTACTTTGACCAGTCGAGCCTTACAGGATGGCCGGGAGCGTCACGCGGAAAGCAATCCACACTCATATCGCAAATACCATTGCGATACTCATGCGGGATCCATAGTAGTAAGCCACCTGATCGAGTCCGGATCCATCCGTCCACTGGAACCACTGATGGATGATTCCTATACAATGCTGTTGATTCCGCTTTTGGCCCTGTCCTTTCTTCGTTTAACCATACAAACCCATTTACATCTGCACAATATTCTCCTTCATCACTATCACCCGAATTTGTTGTGAAGTTGCCATCCATAGATTCCGAGTTGTTATCTAGGAAACGTATTTCCACCTCACAAGCCTCTTCCGTCGTATGAAGGCAATCCATCTGATTCGTGCTGTGGTTGTCCCGACTGGGAACCATCTCGTCTCCAGACTCAGAAACGATATCACGTCCATTCTGAATTTGTACCACAGAATGGGTGGAGTCAAGGTGACCTTCCAATGAAGCACTAGTCTGTGCACTCGTCCGGCTATCCCGCATGTGTACTGCCCAGTCATCAGACTCAGATGCGGAGTGACACCCGTCTGATAAATAAGAAACAGAATGATCATTGCCTCGGTGACCCTTGGTCGGCGTTGCCAACTGTATACATGCCTTAACCTCCCATATACGCATTGTATTGTCATCGGACCCAGAGACGATATGACGCCCGTCTGGTGAATATGCAACAGAACGGACATCGTTTTGATGACCTTTGAGTGGTGCACCCACCTGTGCGCCTGTCTCAGCATCCCAAATGCGCACTGTCCAGTCGCTAGACCCAGAGACAATGTAACGTCCGTTTGGCGAATAGGCAACAGATTCGACTTCTTCTTGATGTCCTTCGAGTGCTGCACACACTTGTGCTCCGATATGAACATCCCAAATGCGCACCGTTTTGTCGTCAGAACCAGAGACAATATGACGTCCGTCCGGTGAATAAGAAACAGAAAGGACCCGGCTTTGATGACCTTCGAGTGGTGTGCCCACTTGCGCACCTGTCTCAGCATCCCATATGCGCACTGTCTTGTCTCCAGAACCAGAGACAATGCATCGTCCGTCTGGAGAATAAACAACAACAGTGGCAGATCTTTGATGACCTTCAAGTGGGGTGCCCACTTGCAGACCCGTCCAAACATCCCATACGCGTACTGTCTTTTCCGCAGATCCAGAGACAATATGACGTCCATTTGGTGAATAAGCAACAGAAAGGATAGCGTCTTGATGGCCTTTGAGCGGTGTGACCACCTGTGCGCCCATCTTGACATCCCAGATGCGCGACATCCTGTCCCGAGACCCAGAGGCAATATGACGCCCCTCTGGGGAATAAAATGCACAATGCGGATCGTCATGATGACCTTCGAGCAATGTATCTACTTGTGTACCCGTCTGAGTGTCCCAGATTCGCAGTGTCTCGTCATGAGAGCTAGAAACAATATGAAGTCCGTCTGGTGAACATGCGACAGAAGTAATGAAGTCTCCATGACCTTCGAGAGGCTTGCCAACTTGCACACCTGTCTCAGCATCCCATATACGCACCGTTTTGTCACTAGAGCCGGAGATGATACGATGTCCGTCTGGGGAATACGCCACAGAAACGACCCAGGAGCGACTATGGCCTTCGAGTGGTGTGCCAACTTGAGCACCTGTCTCAGCGTCCCATATACGCAATGTATCTTCGGATCCAGAGACGATATAACGTCCGTTTGGTGAATAAGCAACAGAAAAGGTTGTGCGATAATTTCCGAATGATGTGATCACGGCGCAGTACACCTGTGCTCCCGCCTGAGAATCCCATATACGCACTGTCCCGTCTTCAGACCCAGAGACGATATAACGTCCGTTTGGCGAATACGCGACAGAACGGACGGTGCCTTGATGACCTTCAAGTGGTGTGTCTACCTGTGTACCCGTCTCAGCATCCCAAATGCGCACTGTCGTGTCGTCAGACCCAGAGACAATATGACGTCCTTCTGGTGAATAAGCAACAGACCGGATGCCACCTACATGCCCTTCGATCGGTGTGCCCACCTGTGCACCCGTTTCAACATCCCAAACGCGCAGAGTCTTGTCGTCAGAGCCAGAGATCACGTGACGTCCGTCAGGCGAATAAGCAACAGACTCTACAGAGCCTTGATGGCCTTCGAGTGATGCTATCTGTGCACCAGTCTGAGCATCCCAAATGTTCACTGCCCCGTCCTCAGACGCAGAGACTATATGACGACCGTCCGGGGAATAGGCAACACCCAAGACGCTAGAATGTACAGATAATGTATGAATATTGACTGGCCAGTATTCATTGACCCCTTTCAATATGCATTGTCGGATATTAAAGTCCGTACAATATCGTCTTGCCATCATCGCCTTGACCGGCGCCCATAGCAACGCTGAAAGGTAGATGTGTGGTGCACTTGTCGCCATCGGCTCTCGGAAGGCCGTCACAAATCGGTATAGATCCGACGCAGTAGAAACGAGTTCTTGGTCAAAGTTAAAGCTCTGCTTGAATTGTGAATGACGTGAAATAGCAATTGTACAGACCTACACACCTTCGAAACACTCAAGAACCCTTCGAGAGTGGCAATCGCTACTCCAAGCTCAGACATGACGCTTAACACCTCCAACCAGTACAGTGACGAAGTCCGAAACAAAAATTGGCGTAGAATTTGCTGCACCTGGCCTTCGCATACCTCGTCAGTTTGGGATCGGCATAAATGGTTGAACCAGTACAGGCAGCTATACTGTAGCTGCCGAGATATTTTACAATATATACGCTGACTGAGGTCCAACACATCACAATTCGGGGCATATGAAGTTTCTAAGTCGCAAATATTGAATTTGAGCCCGTCGAGCATGATTTGAAGACACCTCTCCACCATGCTCATTTCCAATTCCGCTACTGCTGTCCAGAACTGTCCAGACCTATCACTGCTCCCGACGAAATCGAGGAATGACGGGTGACAAACACGTATAGCACCAGTCTGAGCGTCCTCGTATAGCACCGAGCCCAAATGCCTGAGCAAGGCGTCCAGCTCATCTTGCCCAGCATCTAGGTCGGAAGGAACGAAGGCACATAACGCTTCTAAAGGGAGTGGTTTATTCTTCGAAATCACAAAGATGAGGCCGACAATGAGCCTGACCGCGTGCTCGCCATCCGTGAAGTTTTGCGCGGCGTCTTGGAGTACTCGTAAGTATACGGCATCAAGGTTTCCTTCGGAAGACGATGTCCCAGGATTTGATTCGACTATTTGCCGCAAGAGCTTGCCCTTTCCGAACGATTTCATGCTAACATGTTTTAGGACCGTAGAAATCCATATGAAATGTCCTGCCGCCCTTTGTACTAGAACATCAATTGGGGCTGGTTGGATTTTGCGAAGGCCAGGATTGGACGTGAACTGTTCTCGGACAAAGTGATATATGTCTTCGTCAGTGGTTGCTTCAAACAAGTCGCAGTCCTGGACGAGGTTATTGACTCGGAGCATGTTTTCCTTGATTCGTGGATTTGGACGGCTGGTAATGATGATTCTGAGCCAATGTGCTGCTTCGGCCATGCTCACAAGATGTGATGCAGTAGTTTCGCCGTCTTCACATTCGTCCAAAGCGTCAATGACAATAACGACCATCATTTCCGATTCCATCTCTCGAGAAACTGCCGCTATTGGATTCGCAAGAAGTCTGTTGAACTGATGTGCGAGAGGCTTATCCAGTATAACAGGGTCATCCTCCATTTGCTGAAGGACGGCCTTCCTGAACGTCATTATTCTCCGCGATAGAAAGTACGCCAGCGAACGGAGGAGTCGTCCAGCACTCCTTCGTTCGGGAATATCCCGCTTACAGAAGAATGACCCCGACAGGACCTTCTGCCCGTCCAGTGCAGTTGCCACGGACGCTGCTACCGAGCTTTTTCCACAACCCGCGACGCCATGTACCCAATAGATTCGCTGAGAATGGTGCTTTGAGTGCACCCATTCTTCGACATTCTGTAAAACGCTTCTTCTTGTGCCTGATAGACATCCGCGAGATGGATCATAGGCACTATTTTCTGGCGGCCACAGCCGTTCCAATGCCCTTTCTTCTATCTCCGAAAGCTGGCGTTCATCTATTGACTTGGTAAGCGAAGATCTCTCCCAGCGGTGTACACTCACCGATCGCAGTTGCTACACCTATAATATTAGCCTGCAACCCGAGACTCAAGCTGCGTAGCGTGTACGTCAGCTGGTCCTTGATCTGGTGAATTTCGTCTTTCCTAGGGTTGTACCAACTCCAAAGGACAAATCCTAAATAGCAGAAATTAATGTGATGTAATCAGGAAAAATGGATGGCTCACTCAAGGGAGGCTTAGACGCGTAATCCTCCAAATTTATTGCCAATTTTATAACGAAATCAAAGAACTTCTGGAGAATTCCTCGTACTTCGTCGTTAGTGACATGCTTGAGAACGAGCTCTACAATAGGCAAGAGTTCTACCACATTGTCCAGGATTAAGACGAGCTCCTTATGAAACAACGGAATGTCGCGGAACCTCTGGATAAATAGCTGTTAATGCTCTTGAAGTGCAACTGAGCAAAAAATCATACCTCGAAAACTCTACTAATAATACTAGCCGCGGCTTTTGCAAATGGATTCACCTTTCCCGAAGTATTCATTATTAACTTGGGTGAAGAAACTTTAAGAACTCACCTCGGATGCACCCGTGACTAGTTTCAGTGCAAGGTCACATAATTTGAATACCCTATCAAGTTTATCGAGCATGGTGACTTTTGACCCAAGAGCAGTAACGGCATTGGGAGTTAGCCAACGTGCAATGTCAAGAGACTAAGTCACATTGAATTAGTACATAATGAACGAGAAACTGGAAGTAATCATACCGATCTCTCCTGCCCAAAAGATAGTTCCACGGTAGCAAGGGATTCCCGGCCTGGATGTAAAGTCATTTCTCTGAGAAACTGAATATTGTGAGTCCTAATACCTATCCGCGTGACCGTCTTCCTTGGCCCAATCTCCTGTGAGCAGAAATCTAGATCGAATTTGTCGAGTGTTCGTTGAATACGGAAGCCTTTAATGTACTGAACCAAAAGAACTGCTTTGGTTTGAGATTTTACATATCTAAATAAATTTGATCAAGATATTTAGGATGGCATGACCTGCAAATACGTACATATCAGAATCCCACTGCACCGACAACGAGTTCTCAACTACGTCTGACGTGTGCCGAAATTGCGATCCACCCTCAAGTATTATCTGGAGCTTTGAGTACTTCCGTTCGCCGGTGATCTTGACATCAATTGCTACACAAACAGTCAGAATGGACGCCTGTAAATGTTGGGATCCACATGCCTTCGAGATGAATGAACCTGCACGATGGATCAAGCTTAACAGCAGCACCCCGACAGAGACAAGCAACCACTCACCCTCCTTCATCGCTCGATGCCAGAGTTTGCCCGGACTGTCGTTGTAGCTCCATACGTGGGTCGAGAAGTGGAGGGAAAGGGAAGGGAGGTGGGAGGTAATGTAGTCACTAGGTTCAGGCTGTGGTGAGGCAGCTGCATGTTAATCCGGCTATTCCGATGTTCTTCATTAATGACGCTTAAGAATGCTGTGAAGGAATAAATGCACTGGAATAGACGTGTTTGGGTACTTGTAAGTTGTATGAAGTCTTCTTTGGCACACGTTGAGTTGATTATCAGCGGAGTTTGAAACTAAAGCCTTATACGGAGCAACGTTAGATAGACCAGTTCGCTGCAAAGGAATCACTTGCACCTTAATTGCATCGATTTTCAGTACTCAGAAGGTGCACAAGATGTACGCATATTCTTGCTTGTCTATCATTTCTTTGGGTAACTACTGGATCAGCAGTGCTTACCTTCTCCTAAATGCTTTATACGCCCAACAAGTCAATATCAATGATTGCTATTATCTGAGGCATATGCCTGGCACTGTACACCTGAGCATTTAGATGCAGTGCATCAGCTTCTTTGATACAGAAACTTGACATGCTCGTCTGTCTTCTCAATACAGGTACTCATCGGACGTTGATCCATGGCCACTTGTTGGTGTCGAGCGTCTCCGACATTACACACAAGGATGCACAGATTATAAGGATATCAATGGTTAACAGCAGCAAGCTGCTGACCTCTTGGGATATTAGGAATTATCAGCTTGCAAGGAAGTCGGTTTGAAAAAAGCGCTTCTAAGAGAAAAAAAGCATCAAAGACGTGCTGTCATTACAGTTACGTCAAGAATAGAGAAGGTGCCTTGGGTTGCTGAGAGGCTTTCTGACTTTGCAGAAGTAGGCTGCTTGAAGATCGGAACCAGCAACCCTGAAAATTTCTTATACAAACCTTGCGTGTTCCATATTCAAGCTTGTCAAGTATCCAGCTGCTGGGCCAGGTATACCTGAAGCATTTTCCCAGCCTATCCGATGAAAAGACAGACAACTGATGCCCATGAAGGCGAAAGAGTCTATAATACATGTCTATCTGAAATATACTATTAGCATAGTGTCAGTAAATTTTTTCCGAGATCGATATAGACAACAAACTCACTTGTATAATGCGGGAGTTAGGTTTGGTATACATGGAAGATGGTAGCTCAGGATCCTAATCCTCGCCAGCAGGAAGTTCTTCCTCTAGGTATTTTACGAGCTTTACCCGCATCTCAGTGGATTCGTCCCCTCGTAATACGTCGCTCACGAACGTCGCTTCCACTTGCATCTGGATCTGCACAGAGACGATAAGTTAGGCACTACCTCAAGAGTTCATGCAAGACCCGAGAACACGAAGCGCTTACCATCTCCAAAGCCCCACGTATAACACCACACAGAACGTTGCTATACCATAATCCACCATGGAGCGCCTCTTCAGGAAGCTCAACAAACTCCGCAAGTGGGTTCTCGTCGAAAGTTAACGTGAAGAACGTCCCAGGAGAAGAAGCGTTTGGCTGTGGTGTCGACCCGGCTTTCGTTGCTGGCGCCGGTGGAGGTGCACCGTGTGTTACTGTTGGTGTGATATTTAAGAACGACTTGAAGCCGACCTGTGGTAGTTTACCGCATACATGAGTCATTAATCCTTTACAGATTGAAGAAAGCAAAGTAAGGGACGAGCGCACCTTAGACACTACCTCACCCGTCTCCCTAAAATCCGCACACCGTCCGAGGTTACTGCGTGCAAGGAAGTCCTCTATCAGACGTGTGCCGATGTTATACCCCATCTTCTCGAGCTGTTTGTTCACTTCGCCATAATCCTCATAATCTTGGATCAGTTGTACGACGAGTGCACCGTATGTCATGGCGAATAATTCCGCATTCTTATTTTCAAGCGGAAAGAACGTTGAGGAGGAAGCATGAGCTGATGCATGACCTTAGAATGTGAAGCGTCTGGCTCACGATCTTCTCGGTACGACCTTTCCAGAGGTCCTCGCCGATGGCCTTGTATTGCTTGCTCGTAGTTGCCATACTTTCTTTTCTTATGTAAAACGCAAAGCTGGTATATACAGACCGGTTTGAGAAGTAAGCAAAGGTGAGTGTGTCGGGTTAGGGCGCGTCGAGCGCGAACTCCTTCTCGCGCGGTGATCGACTTTCAAAAGCTACAACTCAACTCTAAACATGAACGTCATGTCTCTCCGTCTGACTATCGTAGAATTCAATGAAATTTGCCAAAATGGAGCGAGTCTGCCAGTTTACACTTTGCCAGGGCCATCTTCTATCTTGCATTACGCAAACTGATATCTCGCTATAATAGTTCAGAATACACAGTAGACCTGCCCTCGGCGCAGGATTCCCATGGACGAATCCAAAGGATCCTTCTCCTCTTCTCCTCCTCTTGATTATTCCGCTAACCTTGACAGTCTCCACGTATCCGTTCCCTGCAAGTCAGCGTCCGATGCACTCCTTGCTTCCCTCAGTGTTGAATTGCGTCAAGACCTGACTTCAAACGTTCTCGATGCCTTCCTTGAGGTTTTACGAGACCCATCTTTCGATGCTAGGGAAGTCACTTTCCAAACCGCTCATGACATCTCTAGGCATATATCCGAGCAGCGGAAATGTATCGCGCAGAAGAGGTCTTCAGCTGGTTCGAGGCTTCCAGTTCGATCAGGCTCAAGTTCAAATTTGAGCTTGATGAAAAACGTCTATGGAGGTGTTCCACCGCTCATTATCGACCTCGTCGCTCAACAAATAGCGAGTGAGATGATTCCATTTGCCGAGGACGTAGACTGGGACACGAACATGTGCAACGTCGTCGACTCAAAGTGTCCTCGTGAGGTAGACCTCCTCAACATGGCTCTCGTGCACCGGACATGGACAGGACCCGTCTCTCGCGTTTTACGCACACGCGCCAAGCTGTACGGTGCCAAAACCATCGAATCCTTCCTCCGCAGTCCACGTATGGGAACCTGGCTCCGCGAACTCTACTTCATCGAAGCTCTCGAGTACGAAAACGCCGGCGAGATGGTCCGACTACTCTCACATCTCCTCCGCAACGTGCCAAATTTAAAGAAACTCGCTATTCGTACGTGGTGCAGACTCGACCCGGCTGACATGTACGACTTCAACGACTTTGCGAAGGAGATTGCGAACATGCAGCAGCTTGAGGCGCTCTGGCTGTTCCCGAATCGAGGACATATGGCGAGCTCGCCGACGATTTATGAGATTATCCCTCATTTGAAGTCGCTAAAGTCTCTGCATATTAGGAATTGGCTCGGAGGAGGAGAGGAAGGACAGCCTCTTCCAGCCGAAATAGGACAGTTCCTGACTAACGGGAGTTCGGGTGCTACTCTTACGACGCTGTCGTTCGTTGATGGTGGAGTAAACGAAGCGACTACTGCGTTCATCCCTTGGCTTCTGCGTGATTCTCCACTAGAGAACCTAGAAGTCCACACCAAAGACATCTACAGACTCGAATCCGGCGCCCACTCCCCCCTCTTCCGAGGTCTCCAACCCTTCCTCTCGCAGATCAAGACCTTGCGAATGCACTACTCCACATTCAACGAAGACAAAGAAATACGGACTCAATTCGTCATGAGCTGCAAGAACCTCAAGACTTTGTCTCTCGTCATCGGTACACACCACGAGCTGAATGTCTTCCCTGAGTCAATCGAGCATTTACACGTCCACTATTCGACGATTTGGCCCATGTCGGGGAAGAAGTTACATGACTGCCTTCAAGAACAACGCGCTTCGTTGAAGAATTTGAAGACCTTAAAGTTAACAAAAGATCCAATTGACGGTCTGACGCTTATTGATCTCGTAGGTAATAATAACGATATTGTTGGAGTGGATGGCGAACGGGTGGAGAACGCATGGCATATTGACGATTTACGGACACTTTGTGGGGAATGGAATATGGAGTTGACGAATGAGCAGAAATTTGTGACATTGGATGAGCTGTTGAGGATGTAGGGTATTCGTTGCGTTTTCTGTTTTACCGTGTGCTAGTCCTTTAGGTGTTGGCATTTATTCAATTTAATGAAAGAATGCCAACTTGTCCATGTCCCGATGAGTGAAAACGTGAGATAAAGAGGTAGTATCTATTCTTCAGAAAGTCTCTTATGTCAGTCTACCTTGTTATCTTACTGAGAATGCGAGCACCTGCACTGCAGTAGTTTATGATGAGGATGAAATGTTCTTCACTTTCGTTGCGGTCCATGAGCTGAAGCTGAGGCATGTATTCGCAAACTCTGTTCACTACTTGACATGCCACGAAGTACCAGACATCGACGCGAACAAACAACGGAAATTGAACGATAAAACGTAAATAAATACAATGCATCCAGTTCTCGTACACAACAGCACCACAGTCGGACAAGCACGTACAGACATAAGAATACGACTATACATCACTTTCGGACCTTTCGGACTCACTTGTTGAACCTTTTAGTGGCAGTGGTGTGAGAGGCAGACTTAAATTGTCTAAAGCAAGTGGGGGCGCCTCCTCGCTAAGTCGGCGCATACGTAGAATGAAATGCGTGCATAGAATCTGGTGTAGTATACTCTGTGGACTGAAGACGGAAAGAAGCAGGCTCAGTACCTACGGAAACACAGATGTCAATACAAGAACGCACATGAGGAGAGCATCACAAAGGAGATTCTTCAGTGAGAAATAGGATATCAATCATGTGTCAGCAATACCTAAGGAGCGAGGAAGAGCAATACATACGGAAGCGAAGAGCTGAATTACGAGGTTCACAATCGATGAACCTGAAATAGTTGAGAGATTAGCGACAGGATGCGGGAGTACGCAATGGCCAGTGTGTATTAAAAACATACCAATTATACAAACGAAATAGTACAATGCTGCATCAGGTATTCAGATAAGTGAGATCATGAAAGCATCTGGTAAACTCACAGTCCCGACAAATATGTCTCAGAAGTTGTGATTCTGCGTGCCGGCCTGAGAAATGCACGTCAGTTCAAATCGCTCGAGCGATACACATAGATGCCTATGCTTACGGTTCCAGATAATCTTCCGCACTAGAAGACAGAATGCCACTTGAACACCAATGTATCAGTGAATATTCGAACAATTGGGGTAGAGTCCCACGGTAGAGCATTCACCCGATTCACAGATAATGAGGAGAACAATACTCAGCCACTCGATTTTGAGGCGATACCAATATATGCATCCCTTATATGGGAAAGAGACGTCTAGTACTTGAATCGAAAAGTAAATTCAGGAACGTTAGTACGTACTTCTTTTGATGAATTGCGCTTTGCGCTCACCCGAGCTCTTGGCGATATAGAATGCTGTGTTGACGGATGATCCAGCAGTCGAGAACTAATTGGCAATTGCGCGGGAGTGTCTATTAGAATGATTAAATTGACCATAATCCGGAGCACTTACTAAAGCAAGAAAATAGAGGAGCAATGACACCTTCGAGTTGCGTCCATAAATCACACATGTCCTGATGAAGAGCGTGACTGAATAAAAGCCGGTGCGGAAGAAACACAGTGAGTTATGAATAAACAAAGCGACCTAATTGCAGACGTACCTTCCGCAATAACTGCTCCGAGAAGTGCGATTCCCGCAACTACGAAGTGAGCAATGTGACAGGCCTTGAAATGGTCGGTAAAATTATGTGACTACGGTTATTAGCATAAACATCCGGAAAAGCTCACCCCATGATTTGGGTTGATGAGCGAGACTAATAATAAGGTGGCTACTCAGCACGAAATTTTCATCATCGATGAAGATAATGTACAGGCCCGGGCTAGTGACCCATCAAAGATGTACTCACAATAGCACGCAGAAATCGCCGTTATGAACGGGTAGTATCGATTTATCAAGAAAACGATGCGACGGTTTCCTGGGCTGTGACGAAGCCAGACGAGACGAACCTATAGTTTGTCACAACAATAAATAGAGTCAGTTAGGCGGCGCCGCAGTGCGAGAGCAACTCACCTCTTCGTCAAAGACTATAATATAATCAAACATCTATAGCAACGGACATGCGAGTTCATGATTCCTGAAATAGATTACCACTTTTTGAGCTACGCACTTGGAGAACTAAGCCTGCGACTGGAAATCGGTCAGTTCAATGCGTCGAACAGACTTGATCTATGAAAACCTACGCATTGCGTACTGAAAGATAAAGATCAGCTCGTCGCTATGAAAACTGGTTCACATCGGCACGTACACGTACGAGACGAACATCCTGAACAATGTCCGGTACACTAGTTGGGGGTCCGGATGCAGGTTCAAATGGCGAATGAAGTGCAAGGAGAGTCATGTAGAACGAGCGTAGTATTATGGTCAGGTAAGTAGGAAGCAAAACACGACTCGAGTCGAATTGATTGCTTCGAAAGAAATGCAACGACTCAGACAATGTAGTTTAATATACCAGATGTACAAGGCGGCATATATCACGGTGACCCTCCTCTGCCCGATCAACAGGAGATCAGACAATCGCCAAGAAGACAATAAATTACGGGGTATATCACTGTATCAACGTTACTGGTCACCTCAACGCCTGTGTGTCGTGAGCGCCGATAGGACAAAGATGGTGAAGCACCATTGATCATCACCCTTGGAAGATTGCTCTCGACCTCAGGTCAGTTAAGCCGGGACAATGCAGTGCCAATCGCACCTTGTAGTTGGCTCCCGTCCGATCGCCGAGTCAAGACCTCGGCGTATTGATTAACACCTGTTCCAGACATTGAATCCAGGGCATACCAGGCACATGGAATAGTAAAAGGAAACGTGATGGAATAGATCCTGTCAGAAAAAGATTTGCAGTTTCTGTCATAGACAACAAACTATAGACTAAAGGAACTTTTAGACTACCTTTCGGTCTGTACGGAGAGGCGATCTCGAGGAAGAGTGATGTTTAAATAGATCCATCAGTAGCCCTAGCGCTGGTTGTTCACAGACGCGAACGTTGACGCTCGCAAGACTGCGGTATCCACAGCATTTATTACTCCGCTCGTCAGGAAGGTTGGAGAGAAAGACATTGAGGTCATGACATTTCTCTGTCCTCGGATTTGGCTGTCGTTTGTGGCATCAGACCAGTTTCTGGCTACAGAGCCCCGTACGAGAATAGATCATAAGCGACTCTCGGCCAGCTCTCTCACTCCAGAAAACTTTTATCAACTAGAAGCGTCATGGAAATGAAACCTTGTGAGTTACGGTCAGGTGTAAGAGCACCGGTGAGACGAGCGGGCCATCATTGGTACAACAAATAAACACGTGTTGCTCCTGAAATGGAAGGCGTTTTGCTATTTTGGGGTACGCATACACGTCAAAACAATCTTCTAAAAAGGCCTGGTGGTTCTTAGTGTTTGAGGTCAAGATATCAACAGTATCAAGTGTTTAACAAGGCGATTCTAATTTGCCACTTTACATAAGGCTAGAGGTGCAGTTCTGCGGCTTGCATTATCAAAGTAGGCACAATATCGTCTTCATGAACAGAACAACGAATAATTATACATTCGTCTCGTGACATGTTCAGCGGTGCCGCCCGCCAAGTGGACCCTCGGTCCTCCGCACTTTGTTCGCACTTGTAGATCTTAATTTACATTGCTTCCGGTCTCAGAAAGCCCGAAAGATCGCAAAATTCCGGAGAAACTCCACCGCTACGTATTGATGCAGAAGGCTGTCGCGGATGTGTTCCTCGACCATCGACGTATCCGCGGCTTGTCCCACACTCAACATTAACGGAAATTGGCAGAGCGAGTCGCGTGATGTATATGCTAGATATACGAACTAAGAAAGCTAGCAAATACATATCGTTGACGTTCGACTTCTCGGAGAAATACCGTACACGTCGGCGCCGTACACCATCCAAAGCCGCCCACAACCGCTTAGGTCCCGCGCGGTAAGGATGGCGTTTAACCACACTATATTCTAGCGCGTCCCACTCTATCCCACAAACGGTCCAGAATCCAAAGCTTCGTCGTTGTTCTCAGAAAATAATTTACATACATACCCGTAGCATGCAACCTTCGGTCGTGTACAAGCTCGAGGAAGACAGCGATCTGACGTTAGAGCTTTCCAGCGAGCTCACGCTCCACCGCAACAATAGCAACAGTGTCAGGATGTGCGTAAAGCGCTTCACCCAACTCCAATTCTATCGGTACAAGAGGCCGTCGCGGCGGACCACCGTAACCGTAGAGCTTCTCCAGAATGTACTTTGTCCCTGCGATCCCCGTTTTGGAAATCGTGGAGTCCGCACGTGCGACAATGCCCTGTAGACGTTGAGCTTCCGGTAGTACCGAAGGGTCAGACAGAGCGGCGGTACAGAGCTCGAAGAGTCGTGTGAGTGTATGCTGCGGAAAAATTTATTCAGACTCAGCCTATTTTCGAACCAGGAAACGCCGCGACAATACGTACAGGAGCGATGTTTGCAAGCCCCGTAATTGCCCCGTGCCCGTTCGCGAAGGCGGAGGGAAGAAGGAAGTCAGCATAACCACCGAGGACGAGGAAGGGGAACGCCGGATTCCTGCGCGGATGCGCCGCAGTGAACGATTTATCTGATATCGTCGCACAGATCCGCGTCAGCTTGCCAACGTTGCCGCATGTTAGCTTGACACCGGCCAAGTTCGGACATTCCCTCGCGAGGTCAGTAACAAGCTCTGAGTCTAAGTCGATGCCTCCCGCAGCGCCAGGATCTGTACGGAGATTTTACGATGATGATGCGTAGAGAAGTACACGTATAATAGAGAAGATGGATCAGTCAGCTTACTACAAGTAATCATTCGGATAGCCAGAGTCAATGAGTGACGTACAGTTGTAGATGAGAACTGGCACCGGACTCTTCTCTGATACCTCCGTCCAAAATGCCTTGAGGGCTTTCCGGTTAGAAGCAAGAGCCCCCGCGAAATATCCGCTGAGAATTGCGATTGTGGCATCCGCCCCTGCGTCAGCTGCTTCCTTACCCAGCTGCACAACAGAGCGAGTTGATCCACTGCCAATTCCAGATATTATAGGTACGCCTTCTAAACCAGCTGAATCTAGAGCGCGACGGGCGGCGCGGATTAGGACTGAACGCTCTGCGTCTGAGAGATGGTGTGCTTCGCCCATAGAGCCAGCCAAGAGTGGGCCGACGCCAGCCTTTGCAACACGTAAGACATGAGATTCAAATGCAGGAATATCTACAGGTGGAAGTAAGTTCAACCACCCGCAATGCATTAACGTAACGCTATACACACCTAATTCTTCAGAGTCAGGAAGGAAGAAAGTCGGAATTGGTGCATAGACACCCGGCTTAAGACCACGAAGGGGACGAGAGTGTCCGTTTGTGCTGCCGTTAACGTGAACTCCGTTGGCGGTCATGACTATGTCTGAGGAGAGGTGTAGACGGATTGACTTGAAGAAGAGAAGAGGATATAAATCCTCAATTAATGGTCATGCGCAACTGGTGCATATCGCGCTTCTTATATCGCTTTGGCCGGTCCGTGACTCCGTTTCCAGCGGACCGTCCGCCCATGCCTTCCGGGCGACGCCGCTCTGCCGTCGACAATGTAAAGGTATTGTCAGTGCTGTCTTGGTGTACGTACAACGTCACCTCGCGGGTTCGAGTGCGACGAGTTAAGGGTTGAAATTAAGGTGCGTGGGTTCTGTTCACGGCTGATGCCCTCGTCGATCACTCGCAATCAGGATGCTGATCCTCTTGTGATTCGGCGCCTAAACACCTCATTCTCACTATAATTCTATTCCGGACGACCATGTTAACATTGCCTATATGAAGTCCTACGCACCCACTAGCCCTGTGCTGTGGACCTGTAAGCTAATTGGATACAATAGTAGTACGATCATGGTACCGCCGAAGCTGCGAAGACCGGAAAGGTTTATCCTCGGTAACATCTCCTTGCTTTCATGCTCCATCTTCAACGCGCTTTGATAGCGAACTCAATGGGTCTCTTCGAAATCAGCTGAGCAAGCAAGAGCGCAGCGATAACCACGATGTAGCACGTAACTAGCAGCAGGATGCCACTTGTATGGCGTTCTGTTGGTCCCACAGACGCCGTGATCAATTATCGGAAGCGACGGACAGCCAGCCAAGAATTTACAGAGACATAATTAGAGACAAGCGCTGTACCACCGCGATCCGGGTTCAAGTGAGACCACATAGGCTGCCCGTTGACCCGCCGCAAGTCCTGAAAGGACGTCCGGTCCCGTTCGTCGAGCAAGAAAGCTTCAAGATACTTGTGCCTTCCGGGACGTTTTTGACGTTGCTCTCATGCACAGTCTTCTTCCGTACACGAGATGATTCGTCACTCACGGTACTTTTCTCCAGCTCGCTTCGAAAAATGGCTCTCAGACGTTCACTCTGGCTTCATTCAAATAATACAGTCGCTCAGGTGTCATGGCAGAACATATCTTCCCACCTTCTAGGAGCTTGCGTTTCGTCATGTCGATAAGACTAGTCCTCGGTCTTGACACAGGCACACAGATAACGCAATATCTTTGCGACCTCATGTCAATGCGGCCCTACCCCGTTACCTTTCGTTTTCTTCTCAATGTGTCTTGAGTGACGTCTGGTGACCGTAAGTTCTTCGCGCCCGTCATACCACCTTCTTTTCCTTTAGGAGCACAGTTGTAAGATATTTGTTTTCTGCAAAACTTTCGGCTGCTATTAATGGAAATACACCGTCATCCCAGTCCTTAGGGTAGGTAGTCGACTGTATTCCATTACAGAATTGCAAGATGGCATATTCATTGTACAAATAAAGTGGACCCGATCTTGCAGACGATAGTCGACATTTCAAGTATGCAATATTCTGTAGTACTTCGGAATTTGCTTGTCCTTAACACCGTCTTAAATGCCCTGCTAGCCCTCATGGCTATTTCTGAGCTGCCAAAACCGATGACTCCGTAGTCTCGCTGTTCAGGCTCAGCAATAATGAAATGTCAGGTAGGCAGAAAGTATTTAGTCATTACTGGGTAGTTATACTCACATCGCCAATATGTTCTCAGATAATTTTTCTTTTTGGTCCAGTTCTTTTGCTACAATCACTCTGCGGTCCGTTCTTAAACAAAGTAATGAGCTTCTTTCTTAATCGATTCAATTGGATCTTAGCCACTAGGCTCTATCAAATATCACGAGAACATCCGCGACCGGCGGTTGAATGATTTTCTACCGATCGCAATATGTGGTGTTCGTGCAGTTAACATCATGACTCTAGGAAACTTAATTGTTGACATTTATTCTTCGCGAACGGCAGCAGCGGCCCGTATATGACGCTGGTACTCAGCCACTATCTTCATGGCTTACCCCTTTGACTTGTCTTGTGGTATCTTTCCTTCCTATCTGTACAGGGGTGTTGATGAGCGCGAAACCCAGTAGGTTTGGCCCTTGATATCTTATCGTTCAGAGGCAGCGACGCTCAGGGATCATTAGCCTTGGCGTGTAAAGACCATACCCTTATATACGCCAACTAATAGTTCGTCGCGCTATACTCTTTTCCCTCGCACTTATCCTTTTGCGATTATAGGAGGACTAGGAAAGGTACTACGACTTAGGAGAATTAAATCTTCGGGAAACTGTAGACATTGATGAAAGGCTGAGTGCAAAGAGGCTATGATAAGTATTTTATATAGAGATACTGCTGTGCCACATATAGCTTTGCATTCATGAAACACTGTTATATCCCTTTTGTCGAATTGGGGTAATTAATGCAATTTCAGGTTGCTTCCGTTTCCGTGAAATACTACTGTTGCATAAATAAATTTCAAACTCCGCAACCCCACATGGAAAATTGCTTAGTCATTGAGTTTTCGTTCCTGGGTCAGCAAGTTGTTTGTTTGTTTGACTTTGTCTCTGCCTTCGTGGTACGACACGTTTGAAAAAGGAATTTGTAATCACATGACAGATGACTTCTTTCAAACTGCACTTGATCCAGCAAATTTTGGCTGTTTACTATAAGACTGCTTCCTGATTCCTACTCGTGCAAGCTTCGACCCGAATCCCGCCACTGGACCTGTTCCTTCTATGTTAAGACACCTAGAGTTTGCGTTAGCACGAAGCTAACCAGGGTCAGCTGGTGCATGATGCATAAAACGTGGAAATTCTACCACGGGTCACACTCCTTACCTACTGATCGCTTCCGTCTTGTTGCGATAACGTTGTATCCTACTTTCGTTGAGGGAATATGTCTGACAACAAAGCTTTCATATTGAACGGGCCTTTGGATGCTACATTTGGACAGAGACCGATACCTGAGCGTGAGTATGAACAATCTATGTTGCCATTCTGTTGTGATCTCACCGCATCGGCGCTTTGATGTGACACTTTATGGAGGTAGTTGACCCCGATGAAGTGCTCATAGCAGTGAAGAAGACTGGTCAGTCTGCGCCAACCTCTCGTCCCAGCTCCAAACTAAATCAAAATCCTCATCGTTTCCATTAAAGGTATATGCGGGTCTGATGTCAGCCTGATATACCAACAACGGGAAATACCTCTGAGTTAATTTTGTAGATGCATAACTACGTCGAAGGACGTATCGGAGCTAATACCGCCACTCAACCGTTCGTGAGTTGGCATCTCGCCATGAATTACTGGTCTATTCATATACTGATAGTTGGTAGGTACTTGGACACGAGGCGTCTGGAGTAATCGAGAAAAGTGAGTTTGCTCTGAGTTAGAGACTAGTGTTTCGCGGTTCAGGCTAATTCACATTACTTGACAGTTGGGGCGAGAGTGAAAAATGTGAAGGTTGGCGATCGTGTTGCGATGGAGCCAGGCGTGACATGTCGCAAGTGTTGGGATTGCAAGAATGGCAAATACCAAGTTAGTACTCTAATGAGTATCCGTGTCTCCGAAAACGGACAATGAATGACTGCTGAGATACCTCATCCAGCTTTGTCAACACGTCATATTTGCATCCTCTTGCCCTGTTGATGGAACACTCAAGCGCTACCATAAGCTCCCGTCAGATTTAACATACAAACTTCCTGACCATCTTACACTTGAGGATGGTGCAATGGTAAGTTTCAGATAATTTTAATATCTTTTGTTCTCATCACACCATCTAGATCGAGCCGTTGTCAGTCGCTGTTCACGCCGTATCTGCTACAGCTCATGTTCGTGCCGGTCAAAATGTCGTTGTCTTTGGTGCGGGCCCTGTCGGTCTTCTATGCATGGCTGTTGCGCGAGCTCTCGGCGCGCATCGCGTCATCGGTGTCGATATTGTTCCTACACGACTTGAGTTTGCGCTAAACTATGCCGCAACAGAGACCTTCTTAGCGCCGCCGCGCTCCGGTGAAAGCGCAATAGAGTATTCTAAGAAGACAGCGGAGATGATGAAGAACGCACTTGGAGTGGAAGAAAGGGGACCTAATAGCATCAACGTAGCTCTTGATGCGACAGGCGCGGAGACGTGCATCCAAGTAGCGCTTTTAGCGGTCAGAGCTGGCGGTACAGTAGTACAGGTGAGTGGTGCTTGTTTCCCCTTGTATATACTACGTGACTGTTAAGTGGATATTTTACCAAGGTCGGTTTCGGAGCACAGGAAGTCCAAATCCCTATTACGGCGCTTCTAGTAAAAGAGATCACGTTCAAAGGCTCCATCTGTTACGGTGTGAGTATTTTGACCGTAATAGACGTAAACTGCATCACTCACCCTTAAAACTTCAGCCCGGTGATTATACACTCGCAATGGCTCTCGCGTCATCAAGGAAAGTCGATCTCAAACCGCTCGTGACCCATAGGTGAGTTTCCTGACTTTCCCCTTCCTTATTTTGACACTGGAAAATGGCCATGTAGATTCAAGTTCGAGGATGCTATTGCTGCTTTTGAAACGACTCGTGCTGGAAGAAGCATTGATTCGAATGGACAAATCACGAATGTCATCAAGACGATCATCTCTGGGCCAGATGTCGACCCCGCAGCGCCTTGAATCAAATGAACAGATGTGAAACATAGGGCCAACGTGGCTCGTCCTCTCGTTGTCCCGCTGTGATTTAAACTACGCCCTGTTCTGACCATCAGATTTACTGGATCTTTTTTACCGTTAGTGTATGAGTAAGGATTGGGAGCTGTATTACCAGACGAAGCTAGCGGAGATCTAGCGTAAGTTTTCAAGACAAGCGCATTTCTTTCCATAATATGTGTAAATTTCGATCAATGATTTTGATGATTCTGTGTGATGATGGAGGGAGCCTGTTGCTAAGATATCAACTTTCATTTGCCCATGGATGTTTAGAGAAAATGAATGCACTGGACTGTCTTAGCTCAATTTTGTCTGGCGGTGATGCTGAATGTTTTGCAACATATGGAAGCTTATGAATAACCACTTCTAAAGACATTAAACTGCAAAACTGTCAAAGTCATTTTGATGAGCACAAATACTTTGTGTTGGGACTTTCCTATTCGGGTGTGGGAAATTTACGTAACAGATCTTTGGAGAAGTAAACATCCTGTCAGTATTAACTTGACTCCGATTGCACACGAGTGCTCCTTAGGCTTCAGCACGGGTGCTATGCCAAGTATCGTTCATGTGAACACTGCATTGCCCAAATCCTGAACGATAACGTGTGGAAATGCTGAGATCAGATGATGTTGGCGTTTTCTTCACTCTCACTTGTGTCCCTCGCATTTTGCTTAGCAGTACTAGTATCCCGTTCATGCTGAAACAATATGTCTGACTCTGACAACAAGGCTTTCATATTGAACTATGCTCTGAGCACGACGTTCGGGCAGAGGCCCATTCCTGAGTGTGAGCACTGGAGAACATACATTTCTTTTTTGCTTCCCCTTAATGGCACCGATCTGGTTTACTATCCGTAGTGGCACCCGATGAAGTGCTTATAGAGGTAAAGAAGACAGGTGAGTTAGCATTGGCGAATCAGCTCACTTTAATGCTTGATGAATATGATCCTGATGTGCAACAGGAATCTGTGGATCTGATGTTAGTGGAAAAGACCAACTCCGGGGATTAATTCTGAACTCTGAGAACATAGATGCATTCGTATGCAGAAGGACGGCTCGGACTCATGGTCGTAACTGAGCCACTGGTGAGCCGACATCTCCTCACTAGAAGCTCTGTTTTGATGCTAAAACCTGCCTCAGGTCCTCGGACACGAATCGTCTGGTACCATCGCGAAAGGTAAAGATCCATACAAGGACTGGCATACCTTGCTCGAACTCAGCTGTTGGACATAGTCGGGTCGAACGTGAAAAATGTGAGCGTCGGAGATCGCGTTGCGATGGAACCTGGTGTGACATGTCGCAAATGTGATGAATGCAAGAGTGGCAAATACGAGGTCAGTATTTTTTACGGTCTGTATCCCGAAAGCGGAGAAGCAAAGAGCTGATCTCACTTTTGTCAGCTCTGTCAACATATAGCCATTGGATCGCTTCCTCCACACGACGGTACACTCAAGCGCTATCATAAGCTTCCGTCGGACTTGACATATAAGCTTCCTGATCATCTTACCTTTGAGGATGGGGCTTTGGCAAGTCCCAGACGTCTTAGAGTTGTCATGATGATCTCTAAACAGTTCACTCAGATGGAACCATTGTCGGTCTCAGTCCACGCAGTCTCATCAGTAGCTCATCTACGAGCAGGTCAGAATGTTCTCGTTTTTGGTGCCGGGCCAGTCGGACTCCTATGTATGGCAGTTTCACGTGCACTTGGTGCAAAGCGTGTCATCGCAGTCGATGTTGTTCCGACCCGGGTTGAGTTTGCTTCCACTTATGCTGCTACAGAAGTATTTTTGGCGCCTGCACAATCTGGCGAGGATGCAATGGAGTATTCCATGAAAACAGCAGAGACGATTAAGAGTACACTAGGAGTAGAAGACAGAGGACCAACGAGTATTGACCTGGTTATTGATGCAACAGGAGCGGTGACATGCATTCAAATGGCTTTCATACTGGCAAAGGCTGGCGGTACTATTGTACAAGTGGGTGACAAAGATCTCCGCTTTGTCCTACATTTACTAGAGCTTGATACCTGTAAAGGTCGGTATCGGAGCCATGAAGGCGGAGATCCCCATCGGTCCGGTTTTGATGAAAGAGCTTACGTTCAAGGGTGCTTTTTGCTACGGAGTAAGTTGAAGTCTTGACCACGGTTGACTAGTATTCCCTATCTCAGGAACTTTAGCCAGGTGATTACCCGCTTGCAATCGCCCTTGCCTCCTCGGGAAAAGTCAATCTTAAACCGCTCGTAACGCACAGGTAGTCACATCACCTCTTTTCCGCTTGTTCTCACTGAACATCTGGCCACACAGGTTCAAATTTGACAATGCAAATGAAGCTTTCGAAATAACTCGCGCAGGAAAAGGTGTCGATTCTATTGGTAAAGTCGCGAATGTTATCAAGACGATCATCTCCGGGCCAGACGTCGATCCTGCTGAGCCTTGAAAGAACGTTAAGTATTTTTGAAATTGACCTGTGGGAATCAATGCGAACGAATTCATTCGCATTAATCTTCCGCTCAAGTTGAAATAAGACTATTATGATCATCAGCTTACTGTGGCTTCTAGTGTGCTATTACCGTACAGCAAAGAATAGATTTAACATCCCAAGAAGGCATATCTAACGGCTTTAGGAGATGTCCACGTAAAGCACGTACAGCATATTACACCCATCACTGTCATCTGGTTCTGCAACCATTTTCTATGATTTACATCAACGAAGACTATTATGTACGAGCAACCATCACCAGCGTTTTCCGTCTACGATTTCAAAATCTGGGTCCCAGGAGTGGAAATTTTAGGAGTGGCTGATCTTTGGTTTCAACGCAGTCGGAACAAAGCGGGGATGAACAATTCCTGAAACAACGTCAAAGGGTGATATTCCCCTCGGACAGACAGCGAAAACTTTGCCCTCTTGTACCCCAAGGGACGTTCGAGGCACATTGGAGTGGACTAATCAGGGAATAAGCGTCGCGTTATACCGTCTTCCGATCACTTCTACATCTGGAAGGCGTCGCTTTTTGCTCAAACTCGTACATCATCAATTTTAGATATTAACGTCGAGATGCACGTAAGAAGCCTGATGCACCACTGTGGCACAAGTGGCTGAATCTTCCGCGCCGTTGCACTTCGTTACCAGCACATCTCCTGACCGGAGATCATGGCACAACCCGCAAGGCTTATAAGCGCCCTTGGCCATTTCATCCCCTTCCCAAGTGCTCATCATGGAAGATGAAATAGAGCGTACAGCTGTCAATATTCTCATCGTAAGGGTGAGTCAAGAAACCTCCTTTATGAGGCACAACTAACATGCCGAGTTCAGTACTCCACAGGTGCAGAGATTTGCTCCTCTTCTAATTGATCACTCATTTAACCGTATCGGTTTTCCAGCAGCAGCGTTGACCGCACTGGTAATTCCTTATCCCATCCAATTCTGGCCCACTCTTACATTGCACATGCAAGCTTTACAACTATTTGACAACATTGGATATGGAGGTAAGTCGGTAATCACTAGGTGTTTTGAGAACGTTCACCTAGGCGTCATTCCAGGTTCAACTCGTCTGGTCACAGAGAAAGCTTTCATTAGGCCTCTGTCTTTTCCTTTTGAACCGTTATGTTCCCTTCATCACCGTGGCAATTGCATCTTACTGTACGTTGGCGATGTTCTTGATTATTATCATTGTTGCCTACTAAGTACTTTTTTTTAGATATCCTGATTGAAACAAACTTTGACGTATGTCCAGTAACCAGATTTAGTCATTTTATCCTTACTTATAGCACGTAAAGCATTGTAGACACGGGCTCATCTCATTTTCAGGTAATAGAACACTTAATATTGTGCCCGAAGCTGGTGTTTACCTTGTGCGTTCCGCAGTATTCTGTATTGTTGGACTACTATCGGCCGAATGTACGTAGTCGTTTAATTAGAACATCAGTCCTCGCGCAAACCTCTTAGTTAACAGTCATCTTCTTATTTCGAGCCGATGCGGTGTGGGGACACCGACGTTGGCTAAGAACATTATTGATCCTGGTATATTGCGTATGTCGAAGTCAGCGGCGCACATCGGCTGTTCACTGAGCAGTCTCAACATAGGGTACAAGTTTGGCCAGCATATATTTCACCGTCAAACACATCGCATCTGGACAAAGTAAGCTACTTCAGAACGTACATCTCGAACACGACAAATCTAACGGCTATTATGAATTACAATGCATTTAGTTATCCGAAGTTTGTTCTACTCCGGGTGTTTGTATTCGTTTTCGGTGAGAAACTGGGCCCTTTTGGTCTCGTTCGCAGTTTGCGATGTGTGTATGTGTACCGATTGTCTATCTGCTTCAAGTTGACAATGTCAAAATAGTTGCATTTGTTCTTCTCTTTGTCAAGAACCAGAGCGATGGTAAGTTCATTTGATCTTATATGTGTGTGAATTGATCCGCTTTCGACTCACGAGTGATTTTCAGAGACACTCGCGAAAACACGAGTCATGCGTACTCTTTACCATGAAAGTGGGTATAATATCATCCTTATCAAGCCATTTATCTGAGTTTTTTCTACGAGGTTTGATGTGTTTTGTCCTCATAACGGGTAGGAAAATTTAATTTCTGCACTATCAGAGATGAACCTCTAATCTATTGTTAGTGCTAACTGGCATTAATCTTGCCATGGAGCTCACCGCTTCTGTGCGTTTTCGGGCTAAAATTCAACACTCTTGCTCTGAAAGCACTGACATTCAATTTGACTCAATCTCACGTATAGCCAACACTTCTCGATGCATTCCTCGTGTAAGCAACCTTCTACCACTTAAACTTATTCATACTCTTCGTACTCGACTAACATTGTATCTTGATTTCCAGGCTAGAAGGTGTCCTCATCAACATTCTATGTTCACGCATGATCCTCGGAATCCGACATGCACACGAATTGACACACTGGCGGTGCTCTTTCTCGTCATTAGTATGAAGCTAGATGCATAATTGTAATAGAATACTTGTATATTAGACATGCTTTTCTTTGGAAGGAATCATCTTTTCCATTTGGTTGCTTTCCCGGATATACTGTGAAAATGAAGAGTGGGATTGGCTTACTCATTATGTTCTGAACATGTTATTTATTTATCAGCCAGACTGACTAATTTTGTCGGATGTACACAGTCCTGGAGAGATTGGACTCAGGAGTTACATGGCCTTGTATAACATTTGCAAGTGTACATGCAATGAACCATGTTTCTTTTGTTTTAGAGTGAAATTATTGTCATGGTTCAATTAGTTCATCTCTACTCTGTGACCTCGCTTTGGCAGGAGAAAGACAGCGCAACCGTAGACTCTTCCTATCGTACCGATATCCCACTTTACATCATCACGACTAATGCTAGCATGACACATTGAAATGGAGGCAAGGTACACTTTATATTGTTTTTCTTCATCAATACTGTACGTTAGTGTACACGTCTACATTTAGGTAAGCATCAAAGCAAGAGAGGCCAGTCTTTCTTTCTACCTTCTCTGCAGTAAGTCTATTAGTCTTTCAAGAGCAATTCGACAGAAATGTGACGAAGGGCTAGGCATTAGAGTGCAGAGTTTACTGCTGGAACATCTTAACCTTGGTGATGATGGCTATACATAAGGGCGCCGCGAGGATCAGTAAAATTTTCAGTCAGAGCAAGGGAACGGGAAGATACCCACATTCTGGATCAAGGCCCTGGTGCGGAATCTGTTCCTGGAGACCTCCACAGCCCTCCTTGATGGTGCCAATATGTGCAAATTTTGGTGTGAGGCTGCGTTCAAGGAGCCAGGACCCGAACTTCGAACCAAGCTACATACATCGGAAAAACTCATCAATATCAAGATCCAAGGTGATTGGGTTCAAATGAAACGTACACCAGTCTTCTGGTTCTGCGACTCGACGACCAGAATGAATGGGCTTGAACCGATTTTCTTGATCATTTGTTCATCGACAATATTCAGTGTTGGCTTATTGACAAGACCGACGTTGATGCCTTGTTGACGCAGACGCAGGACAGCATCGTACGCCCGGTAGAGCATCTCACCGAACGAGACGACGTAACCAGCGGTACCATCGACGATGAGTTCGTCCTTGCCAGGGACAAACTGGTAATCATCACCGAAGAACTTGGAACCGTCCTCCTTGAGGATGAATGGCACCTTCGCTCGCGTCGAGAAAATGAAGCGAATCCCGCGGTCGAAGAACACACGCTTGACGATGGCATCCATCTGAAGTGCGTCTCCAGGCATGTAGAGCCATGACTGACCATCAGCAAGGGAGTTGTCTCCGAAGAAGTTATTAATTCCGAAATGACAGGTGTTGTCAGCCATCTCGTCAACTATTTTGAAGTATAATCAGGGTAGGTTTCATATAGCTTACTTAATTCACTCACCTCCGGAATGCGAGAAATGGCATAGGACATTGCAGTTATTTAGACGTGCCATTGTAATTTCAGAAACGACCATCTCTAAAAAGGCAGCGAAAGTCGAGAAGACACCATACTTGCCCTCTTGGAAACCGAAGCCCGCGGCCGCAGAGAAGTTACCGCGCTCCATGATGCCAGATGGAAGGAACACCTCCGGATGCTTCTGGTGGATGACCTTAAGCCCAGTGGATCCCTCAAGATCAGAGTCGATGACCAGTACACGTTTGGCGTTCTCTTCCTTCGAATAGCCGTCGAGTACTCGGGAGACAGCTTCACCAAACTCAACACGCGTCGCCGCATTCTCGCGGGTGGAACCGACATAGATGTATGGAACGCTGGTTGGCTTGATATTAAGCAGAATATCGGATGCAACGGCAGCTGGATAGCCGCGTGATTCAAGATATTGAATCGCAGCCTTGACAGGAATCACATCGTGTCCATGTGGTGAACCCTCGATCGCGGCAATGCCAGGCGCCATCTTGCGTTTGGAAACGACTGCGGCCGGTCCATTGGAGCTGAGGATCTCATAGACACCACCCCAGAGTGCATCAATGTCTTCGCCATCAATCGTGACAACCTTCAGACCATGTCCTTGAAGGGTCTTACCAATATCGTAACCCTTAAGATATTGGCTTGGGTGACCAGCAATGGTCACATCGTTGTCATCAATAAAGAGCTTGACATTGAGATTCTGGGCGACAGCGAGACGAGCAGCTTCGGCGTCATTTCCCTCTTGCTGCGAACCATCCGAACCCAGGAGGAAGATTGTCTTGTCGCGGTTGGCAAGTGCAACGCCGTTGATCAGCGCCCACATGTGACCAAGCCGACCGGACGAGAATTTCACTCCGGGTGTGAGGCCCAACTCCGGGTGTCCCGGGAGCTTGGAGTGAGCCGCACGGTAGTGCAGAAGATGCTCGGCAGGTAGTGAACCCTCAAGTACTGAGAGTAAGTACTGAGTCGCAACACGGTGTCCTACGTAAAAAAGCGGTCAATATAGTCGTGTAAAGCTGGAACGTAATAGATTTGCTCACCAGCTTCATCGAATACGACCGGGTAAAACTTGTCGCTAAAGTTGAAGAGCGAAAGGAGAATGGCAACTTCGGGGACGGTGTCATACGCGCCACCTTATGACGAGGTGAGAATAGGCAATGAATAAATTTGCTATGCAGGCTATATGCGCATTTCAGAAGACGTACCAGTGTGCCCGCTCACACCACGTGCGGCACCAGTCGCAGTAAAGAGAACGATGGCATCTCGCAACAGCTGGATGTTGTCCTTGAGAGTTCTACGCTCTTCATCGGTGAGCTTAGGCTTGGACGGGTCGAGCGTGAGCCTGATATCGACGATACATCATCAGCAACAGTCGCAATGTCTACCTGTACAGTGGCTGCTCACTTTTTGAATTTTGAAAGGTCGATGGGGAACTTTGACTCTGCACCAGACATGATGGGTTGTATGTATGCGAGAGAGGAGTTGGTGGAAGTTGGTGGGGAAGAGCAACGAGCATGACACGGCTACGGGCTACGGCGACCTTTATCGACGGCTCGGCCCGTTCCTCGCCCATACCCGGGCATCCGTTGGTGCATGTGGGAATTTCCCACGTAATTTAAATCCGTTTATTTCCTCGACAGGACCTAGTTTTCTCTCATTGTCTTCAGCAATTTACTTGCAATTGCCTCAACCGTCTCACAATACGTTGATACTTGCTAGAAGCCAGTCATCCGGTCTCACGACTCATGGCAACTTCGAGGCCGTGTTTCGAGACCGTTGAATCTGTGGAAATAGTTAACACTAAATAGGAATAGGACTTGGTTAATTACTGCCTATGATTGGTCACTTCCCGAAGTTTGGACATGGATGTGAAGGCGACCAAGAACCTGGTCGGAATGATGATTCAGACTTGGTTATGCCGATAGGTAAGCACAGAGTGACTTCACGTGCGAGACAGGTGAACTACCATTTGCTCAATCTCGAATACTGTTTAGTTGGGTATGCAGCGCTCGACGCTGTCTGACTCTTTTCCGCGGTCAAACGACTGGGCCGATTTTGTGTACCTAATGGTGACTCCTATCCAAGACGGATGACTCTAGCCCACGTTCAAGTTCCAAAATAAGTCTTTCCTCCCGGATAGTTGTCCAACAAGCGGCCGTCTTTGAATGAAGATTGGTGCGGCCGTGCTCAGAGGTCGTGAAATAGTTTCGGCAAATCAGGAATCTCATTGAGTGAATCAACTCCCGAAATACTTTTTATACAAATATTTACTCCAAAGCTTCCGTGAACAATCAGTGGGTGGATGCAATCCTCCAGTGCTCTCTTGCAAGGTTGCACTATCCTGCAGGGCTTGTACACTGCGGACAAAATGTCTGGTTGGACTATCTCAGTATCAGATCTTGTACCGACACGTCCTGCCAGAAACTGCTGATCGATTTCCAATCTCTTGGACATTTTGACTTGTATTAAAGCTTGATCACAATGTAGCCTTACTTGTCCTAACTTCATTCGTCGTTATGGATTCCTCTGTACAGCCACCGCAAATAACAGGATCGAAGCGTGTTCTCGGCGGAACCGATCTTCAGGGACACTATCATTTTGATGCGCTCCTGTCATTTCGCAGGCTTGTCGTGCACTTATAAACTTTAACAACCATGTCTGGTCTTTTCATCCTCAACTCTGGATCACATAGTACAGTACATGATGACCGAACCGAAAAAACCCTTCCCACATGTCGTTGATCTGTCGAATTATGTTCTCCCTCCTCCTAGAACGGTGGGCGCCTGTCTTTCTTGATGCTTATGAATGTGCAAATTTACGTCTGCTCCATCCTGCGTAGCTACACGAGCTAGCCATGGTCAAGCTCTCCGCGAGCATCCGCGAGAAACCAAATTGGTGGTTGAAATACACTGATCCAGAGATCCGTGCACGCTGGCGGAAAGAGGCGCAGGAGATGGCTCTCGTGTGGATCGAGCGCGCGACAATGCTCGTCCCATTTGAGGATGCAAGCAAATACATTACTGGGGATCACGGGCAGGGAAGCATTTTAAACTCAACCGTAACGCTCACTGAAAAAGAGGTCGATTACATTCTTGATGAACTGGATGGCTATGCGAAGTTGCGCGAAGAGCAGAGTGGCATACAGGCAAGCATCGATAAGCTTCATAACTCTACAATGTGACATTTACTTTTACGTATCAAGGTTTCTTGCTTCGATGGCGTCTGGCATTCCGATAGACTGATCGGCAGTGATTTACTCGCACGTCTGAAGAAAGGTGTTGCCGTGTTGGAAGACGTTCCCGATTCCGAGAATGATTGGCATCCAGGATCGAATGAACAGGTTCTCGACCTTGTGCACCCGTCACTCTATTGCGTCGTCTACGGCCGTACTCTTGCGTACCCACGCACGAACAATACATTGACTAAGACAGCCGCAAGCCCTGCTCCATTGAAACCCCCGACTTTCGTCACCCTTGCACGGGAGCTATCCTCCCAGCGTTTCCAATGGTTGCCAACCGACTTTTCCATCGACGCAGAGGGCAAAGCGAAAGCTCTCAGTTACATCAATAATCTGCACCCATCACATATGGAGCTCTACGATGCTGTTGAGGGAATAATATCCGCGTTCGTCCCACTCTTCGAACGTGTATTAACGGACATGTTAAACCCCCTCCCACACCGTATTCCTGGGGAATATCTGCCGTTGAAAGAGGTGGATCCGAGGCATCCGCAGAACGAAGATGCCGAAGATTATTATGAAGAACTGGAAGGATACATAGATAATATCTGGGAAGAAGATAGAATTGTTGGATTACCGCAAGTGCCTGAAGAGGGGTACACGGGTGGGCGAGAAAAGAGGGACAATAACGTGTCGCTGCGTGGACGGACCATTCAGGTGATAGTCAAGCTAGCTAACATCCACCTTGTAAGTTGTAGCTTTACAAAACGTTGTTCCAAAATTTGACCAAGAATTTTTGTTTCTTCAGACTCCCGAGAAGCCCGAATACAAAGGGGGTTCATGGCACATCGAGGGAATGGGAAATGAGCGCATCGTCTCATCAGGCATCTATTATTATGAGCAGGAGTAAGACCGCTTTCCTTATTTACTACGATCCCTGTCTTAATTCTTCGTAGGAATATCACGGGAAGCGAGCTAGCCTTCCGTATTGCTGTGGACGAGCCAGAACCAGCGACGAAAATACAAGCCGATACTTACGATTACCATGCACACTACAAGACGTGGGGTATGATAATGGACTACGACGAGTGAGAACTATGAAGTTCTCTTTCAATTACACTGATACTTATGCCTGCTATACTAGCTCGACAAACCTTACGAACGTCGTTGGTGCGACGCCAACGGTAGAGGGAAGATGCCTAGCCTTTCCCAATATCTACCAGCATCGAGTTTCGCCATTCCGTCTTACAGATCCAACCAAACTAGGTCATCGTAAGATACTGGCTTTGTTCCTCGTTGATCCAAACCTCGAGGAACCAATCCCATCGACCTCAATCGTCCCTCCACAGCAGCAATCCTGGATTAAACAAGCATTGCATGAAGCAGAGCCGAGCACCTTGCTACACAAGCTTCCTGCCGAACTGTTAGATGCTATTGCGAAGCAAGCATCTCCGGAAGTTATGAGCGAAGAGGACGCGAAGAAGTTCAGGCTGGAATTGATGGAAGAGCGCAGTGCCCAGGAAAAGGACGATAATCGATATGACTATGACTTATACTCGCGTGTTTTTAACCTGTGTGAACACTGAACAGCTGTATTTGCGATATTTGCGTAAATTCACTGGTGATGTTTGTTACTTGGTGTACTAGCTGTTTCAGAGCCAGTGGATTCTTGGCATCACCACAATAGCCTGTGCTCGAGAATGTACAATAGTACCCACTAGGTGTTAGTGTAACATCGAAGAATCAGAATAATAAAGTCGTTTGCTTCGAACAAGGGCACTTTATTGATTTGTTAGTAGTAAACTTAAGCACTTTGCATTGTTACAGAGCTTTGCATCTTTCACAGCGTAGGGATATAGAGCGGAGCTCGTAATAATGTACGCATATACACACATTTTTCTGCAGACTGCTAATACAACGCAACGATTCAAGCAAATGTCTGGGGGGGTGGGGGGTCCAGAAGATGCACACACACCACATGTACCACCAACGATACCACCGCCAGAACTACCAAAAGGCAATTATACGCGATACATACCATTACTTACAGAAGAAGACATAACATATATAGGAAATGGGATCTATGTAGGCTCGATCGAGGCTGCACGCAAGAATTTTCTACGGGACAATGGATTTACTCACGTCTTAAGCATTGGGCAGAAACCCTACGAGGGTGAACCGTATGGATCATTGCAAGGCTTCTCATGGAAGTACATGGACGCTGAGGACGGGCCAATGGAAGATATCAAGAATATTTTTTGAGACTGCATTCCATTCATAGACGAGGGAACAAAGGAAAGACATGGAAAGAAGAACAAAATTCTGATGCACTGTTGGCAGGGTTACTCTCGTTCCACTGCAGTTGTGATTGCGTACTTGCATTACCGAAAAAAATTTACATGGCGCCAGGCATTCATGTGGGTTGCAAAAAGGCGGCCCCAGATACATATAGCGCATGGGTTCAAACGGTATATGGCCAGAAAAAGCGGTGTCAATACCAAAGCTGAAGATTTCAATCTTCCGGGTGATTCATTGGACCACTACAGTCGGATGGCGGCTCGATTGGAATACTTTAAAAAACCAGAAATCTCGTTCAAGGGTTGCAAGTTGGATCATACAGAGGAGCGCCAGCTTCTTTTCCCGAAGGAATAAGATATGAACCAGTAAGAAAGGCGGTACTATCCTGGTTTTCGTCTATTATTCAGAGAGAAGTAGGCGGTAGTAGTTTATGGAAAGTCGTGAGCCATTTGAGTTGGATGCTAATTTATTGTTGCACAAAATCCGATGAGTGACGAGTAGTTGAGAATTTCACACACTCTCCGACCAACCAAACTCTGGACGTGTCAAGATCACGTGCCACCAGTTAGAACTGTACAGCACTATTGTAACGCATGTGACACCACTGTGTGACTATCGAAATTTGCCGCTACTTCTGTCATTGTGTACAACTTCAAGACCAAAACGACCCCGATGGCTCCTTCAACGACGTACGTATTGCTTTACTTTGCTATATAACTTGCGTCTGATGATATTCTGATGACTCCAGAGTTCCGAGCGCTGCTGTGCGTATTTCATTCGTACCATGAAGGGTTGGAGTCATGAACTAACTTCGGTTTATTTTGACTTGTGTGTCGGGGAATATGGATAGGACATCGAGGTCCCGGAGACGCTCCTCAAGAAGCGTAAGCAGAACGAGAGGGCTCGGGAGGAACGCCTTGCTGCAGCGGCTGCAGCCCGTAAGGTGTGTTTCTGACTTGGTCTTGATCCACTTCTTCGATTCTTTGCTTTCGTTACTTGCTATGATGTATACGATTCGTTCGACGAATGGCTAGACTACCCGTCCATGTTGCCTTCAATTAACCATCTTTCGGGACTGATCTTTAATTTTTATTCACGCGTTCCATTATCGACTATCATTTACTGACTTACTATCTTCTCTCAGGCTCAAAAAGCAAGGCGCAAAGTGATCTTCAAGCGCGCTGAGGCGTACGTGAAAGAATATACCGCAAGGGAGAGGGAAGAAATCCGTTTGAGGCGTACCGCTCGTGCTGCAGGTGACTTCTACGTCCCAGCACAACCGAAGGTCTACTTCGTTGTTCGTATTCGGGGTATCAACGAAATTGCTCCCAAGCCTCGCAAAATCTTGCAGCTCCTCCGTTTGCTGCAGATTAACAATGGTGTATTTGTGAAGGTGACGAAGGCTACTCAGCAGATGCTTCGCCTCGTTGAGCCTTACGTTACATATGGGTAAGTTAATATTTTTTTGATGGCGAAAAACTCAATAACTAAATCGCTACAAACAGCGAACCGAACTTAAAGTCCATCCGCGAACTCATCTACAAGCGAGGATACGGAAAAGTGAACAAACAACGCGTACCGCTCCACTCAAACGCAGTGATCGAAGGTACACTCGGCAAACACGACATTCTCTGCGTCGAGGACCTCGTACACGAAATCGCAACCGCCGGCCCACACTTCAAGCAAGCAGCTAACTTCCTCTGGCCATTCAAGCTCTCAAACCCTACCGGCGGCTGGCGCGAACGCAAGTTCCGCCATTTCGTTGAGGGTGGTGATCATGGCAACCGCGAATCGAACATCAACAAGCTCATTCGCCAGATGAACTGAGGGGGATGGTATGAGTCTATGATGTCGTTCGACTTGGTTGTCATTGTTGAGGTTGGGTGGAAGGTAGCGTTGGTGTCGGCCGTGTGTGTATGCCTGCAAGCAATTTTATGGCTTTCCCTGTCTTTTTCGAGTGTATGCGCATCTATCGTGTCATGCAATCAATATCAAAACTTTTTCTCGGGAGGCCATTAGCCTCTTCTCTATGTAATTCAAACTGGTCCGCTAATGGATGGACGTTGAAGACGGGGACCAACACTTACAACTACATCTCAGCTTAATTGATGCCTGGTGTTGGGCAGCGAATACCTTGCAAATAAATACTTTCGGGCTATCAGCAACTGAGAGAAACTACTATGCAATTCCACAAAACGTTATAAATCGGAGGTAAAGGTTATTCCTAGCTTTATTGCATTCTGTTAAAGTACATGTACATCGATCAGAGAATATACGAAACAACGGGGGAGCGGAGATAATTGTCGAGTACAGCACGTGGTATTGATACTAAATAAGAAAATGCAAGTATAAAGGGGGATGGGCAGAGTAGTTGAAGGTAGGATGAGTACAGGAGACGCCTGAGTCCCGTTGAGGGTAACCTGATAGAGCACAATGAAGTGGCCCAAATCAACAAAGGACTCTGTACAACGCGACGGAATCTTCTTTGTGTAGACAGGGTATAGGAATAAATCGTCAGGAAGGTGACTTCGGAGGCGGCCCTACAAACTGGTGTAAGTCGAAAGGCGGGCAGACCTGTGATTTCTGCAGAGATAATTTCAGCAAACCGTTTGCCATCTCGCGAGATACAAGCTCACTTCTTGTTCTGCTTTCTCCGCTTTAACAGCCGCTAGTTTGGGTTGTGGCGGGGGCGTTTGCTCAGGCTCCGATTCACTCAAGAGGTCGCGTACCTGCGGTGGTGGCGCCCAACCATTGTCCCGCATTACCGACATGACCGTCGTCATCTGTCGTACATACAGCTCGATATGAGAAGCCGCGGCCTTCCCCAGATGATCTGTTTAATCGTAAAAATGAAATTGCATTTTTTTTAACATTAAGAATACGTCAGTGTATGAGAATAAAAGGGTCCAGACTCACGGAGAATTGCGCTGTTCACCTGATCGGCGACAGCCTCGCGGCGTTCCTGAGTTAAGTACTTCGCCATCGGACTTGCCTCGGGGACGGTGTATGCCAGTAGTCCACCAACGCTGTTCAATTCCTTACGATACACCTCTCGATCGCGCGTATCACGTAGTGACTCTACCGCGGCATACAATCTCTGCGCACGGTGTAAAAGCGCAGTCTGATGCGCGGAGTAGGCGTCAGGTGAGCGATCCGTGCCGGGAGGAGTGTCAGGCGTAGACATCGAAGCGGAAGATGACGAACGTTTCGGATCACCAGAGTATACGAGCGGAACGGTGCGTGCGGCTTCAATGAAGGCAAGAATGCGGAGATTGAGCGCTATGTGAATGGGTTTGGTCGAGACCTGTGACGCGTAGCGTAACCTTGAGAAAGGCGAAGACGCGCTCGGGAGTCTAGTGTGAGGTGCCGGTGCGGGGATATCGCAATCATTCTCTTGGAGTACGGCAGGAAAGTGTGTGTTGAGCAGCTGGGTGGCTTCATCAACGCGGCCTGAAAGGATATGGAGTTTGATTTCTGTTGGGTTGGGGAAGGCGAAAGGGGGTCTGAGACACGCTATCTATGTTCCTGACTCGAGATTGCTCACCTCTGCGTTGACGCGCAAGATTCAAGTCCTCTTCTGATAGAGTATCATCACTGTCTTCTTCGATCGTGTTAACTCCCTCCATCTGCTGGACGTCGTCCGTGTCCGTTACGGAAGCCGCGTCACCAGCGAGACCCTCCAGAATCTCATCCGCGTGTACTACATCAACAGTCTCAGATGCGAACGCACGCGCGGAATCGACATACGCGTTGTGCACTAAGTAGTCGAGTACTAGTTCTCGCTGAGAACAAGCCGGGGCGTGTATCAGTACTGCTGCTTGCAAGTCCCTCGAGTCACACAGCCTTAAACTTACCAGATATTGCGGAGTAGGCTCCACTGGCCTATTCATCCTTGCATCCAATGTGCTAGATGTATCTTTCGATCACTAGCTGCAAAGCTTCCTAGGAGGACAAAGTAACATGAGCTGGAGTCGTGGACAATGCCCAACCGTGGACGCTCAAGCCTCCATATGAATCTGCACGTGACCCAATTATTACGCAGACGTGATTTCCGGAGAACACCCGTTTAGGACACAGAGCAAATACAGCCAAATACTTCACAGTACTTAGATAAATTCCTATTACTATCGTATTAAGAAGAATGACAAGAGTCATAAGAAGAGCCCAAGAATTGGCGGAATACAGGCAGAGAAAATCATGTTAGACCAACCCAATATGAGGTCAACGAACAACTGGGAATTAAGCCAGCGATCAAGTAAAAGAGATATCCTTTGCCTGTCATCGTTTCATCCGTTGTAATAAACTCTACACGACCTTGACTACAGAAATCGGATACTTTAACGAAGCTTGAGGTCCACAGCTAGGACAGCATAGGTCATGTAGAGTGTACTGTCCGTAATTGTAATGTGCTGCATTATCACCGTCCTCGAAAGGCCTATCAACGAACTGGGCACGTTGAGCTTCTGTGCAACGTAATGATTGTTCGAAGAACATAAGGCGAACGAGTTCGCGCCAAGGGCAACGATGAACTGGAAAAACAATTATTAGGTACGGAATACCCGGCGAATAAGTTACGGAACGCACCAGCACCCCCTTATCGAGTTCGTCTATTAGCTTGGAAAACCATGCTCTTTGTTCGTCCGAAACTCCTTCATCTGGGACAACACGCGCTGCCGAATTACCAGCAGTTACACAAGAATTTATGACGTCTGGTTCAAATAGTTTTCCGGGAGGTCCATCTTGGCCTTGTGCAAGCAAGTCTGTGAGCTTTTGTCCAAGACTTGGCTGTGTCACGTCTTTCAGGATAATAGGTACGGACGAGATGGGGTCAAGACGAAGTGGTATGGTGAGCTTCGCTGGTTGAGCATGACGCCTAGATTTAAAAAAATGACAATTGATCCTCTCCTTACTTTGCGAGAAACGGTGCTTACGTTGGAGAAGATGGAAGTATCTTCTCAAAGAACGAGAACGAGCTTGAGCTTGAGCTAGACACGCTTTTGAGAGAGTACACAATGAAGCCTTAGATGAATTACTCACGGAAGGCCAAAGATGGACGAGGACTTCCAGGTATTCTGCGGAGCAGGAACTCCAGAGGGTTGCTCAGAAGTGGATGGCATCGACATCAGCGTACTAAATAGGCGTCATTAGAAAGACTAGGATCACTCAACAAAATATAACTTCACCTAGTCGTTGCTGCCGTACTATTGATTATGGAACCATTCGTATCTTCACCAGCTTGGAAATCAGGGAGGTCAAGCGCGGCACCGCTCGCACCGGACAGCCGCAGCAGTTCCTCTGCAGTTGGAGGCGGTTCATTCGATACCGGTTCCAAAGTTATTACCTCCGTTGACGATCTACTAAGTACCGTCGCCGACGGAGCAATAGGAGGAGCGAAATCCGAGCTGGTATCCATCGCGTTACTTTCCTGAACCGATTCGCCCCACAAAGTATCTCTTTGCGCCACCGCATCCATAGTGCCGCCAACCTGAGAACCTGGAATCGTTCCGGCGGATCCAGACCCAGATGGTGTGGCGGGAGAAGAAGCCTCTCGTGCTGCCGAGCCCCGATGACTAGTAAGCTTACCCTTCTCAAAAGTAAGCAACGTAGGCTTGTATGATCCTCCCTCTGCACGAACAGGTTGCGACGAACTACCTACAAGCCAGCCTCCTCTATTTTCCACGGGACTGATGCTAGCGTCACCACTGCTGGTGGATGATTGCCTAAATATGCCAGATTCTTCGTGAGCACGACCATGAACGCGGGCCTCGATACTCTTTTTGACATTTGGATCTTCCATTGTCACCACTTTCGGAGCCTTTCGATATTGCCTTCGTTTAGGTTCCTCTTTCTTCTGTGCTGTGTCCTGTGGTGTTGGTGCGACTGAGGCCTCTTTTGGTTTGTCAGTGGAATCTTGCGCAGCAGGGGCTACTTCAGCTGCGGAGTTGGGCTGTATTGCTGGTTCCGACACTGGCACTGGTTCAGGTTCCGGCTCATCATCTCCACTGAAGAGTGAACCATCGTGCGAGGAACCTTCTGCATCACTATATCCTGTTAGACTTTAATCTATTTCTAGGAAAATGAATACTTAACATACCGGTCTTCATCGCTTTCAATAATAGTTTTTCTTTTCTTCAAAGCAGATTTGGTTTCAGCCCCTTGCTTTGATGCATCTTTTCTCTCTCTCGATGCTGAAGACTCGTCGTCGTCATCGTCATCGTCAGAACTCGACTTTGGATTACCGGTCCCACGGATCATTCTTTTCATTTTCCCAAGCTTTTTCATTTTCGCAGACGCCTGACAAGGGGCACGAGCACATGATACGCATTCGACAAAAAATAGGGGAGAAAGCGAATGTCACTAAAACATGCATGCAGACAAGGCAGAAACTCAAGGCTTGCTCACTTTAGCAGAAAGCCGCCTTGAATTTCGCCGGCTTGCTTTATCAACACCACTCTCGTTCTCGTCGTCGCCTGACTTCTTTCCTCTCTTTCCGACGCTCTCCTTCCTCGGCTTTCCTGTGGATACTTTATCTGCTTTAGATGGGCGACCGCGTTTTCGTTGTGGCGTGCCGTCCGCGGGAGCAGAGGTGCGTTTCCTGCCTCGAGGTTTTGGAGATGCACTCTCGTCCACTCCTCCTTGCTCCTCCCCTTCGTCGTCTCCTTCCGCTTCAGACCATACCGCACCTTCAGCTAATACCAGACCGTCAATAATTAACAGACCAGCCTAGAGGCTTGGAATGTAGAGAGAAACGTACCGAGTGTGACTACCTCTCCCTTAGAGAAATCTTTTGCTTTCGTTGGGTCTCTTCCTCCAGTGTCAGCCTTTCTCCAGAATTGCTCTAGTAGATTAGGCGAATCTTCGAAAGATTCGGCAGGCTCTCGGCTGCATGCACGCAGAAAAATGACAACCATGAGACGAACTTCATAGGGATGTGTGAAGATAAAACCTACGTGTTGTGCGCCTTGCTGTACCCCTTCCACTAGAAAATATTCACAATATGTTTATCGTGGGCAAAGAAATAGTATACAGCTGTTAACAGACCTTCACGAGATATTTCTAGCAGAATCATTAGAAAACGGACCAAATCTTGCAGTAGAAAACTTGGAACTCACCCACTCAATATGTTTTCCGTACTTGAGACTCACGATTGCGTCTGAGATTTTTTCTGAAGGAACATACCACGATATGCACGCATTTGCTAAGTGTCAACGGTTTACGCCAAATGCGAACGTTGGACTAACCGACTTCATATTCATCCTCTTCCTGCTTGCGTCTGCCCATTTTCTGCACACGCGTCCTTTTGCTTTAGTGCTAAAGATAGAGACGCTGAGTGAGATGATGGGGGTAAAAGAAAAAAGAGGGCGGAGAACGGGCGTACTGATGCGTGAGCGTCAAGCGCTGAATATGGTTGGTTGTCAACCTAAGATTGGGTCGGCAATCCTAAGGTGCCGCGCGTGCACTTTTTTAGGTCGGAGTTCATATACCTACCAAATGTAGTAGATACGATCAACATGTGTGTCTAGACTTGTTGTAGATGTTTTCAATTTTCTGCACAACACAATTTAAAGAAAAATAACAAGATAAGCTGGTTATTAGGAATATAGTATTGTAGGCTGCCATAACACAAAATTTCAAGGTAGAATTTGTTGGAGCTGACTTGATAATTAATAGCTAAAGTTATTGACTGTTGTTTTACTAAGTATTAGAGTGGCAACTTGACGCGTCTGAATATATTTGGTACATGTCCATGCAGTGTCAAACAGGAGAAAAATAACTTCAAGACATAACTACAATTACAAAACTTTAGAAATTGCTATTTTCTCTTTTCTAATATACTAATTTGCCACTAATCTTCAAATGTTCAGAGGGATTTTCTTTGAAAATTTTATTCATTGAAATATACTCATTTCTTTCAGTAAATTTACATTATCTTACTCAATACTCAATTACAAAAGAATTCCTCTGAAAAAAATAAAGATTTACACTTCATGAACATTTTTATTATTTTTAACTTATTTTTATTGTTCTGTGGAAGGACTAGTTACGTCTATAAGAAGGCATTCAATACTCTGGACACAAAAACGCGTGCCGCCATCACGGCATCTACCGTGGGAATGCACGCGCGACACCTTAGGATTGCCGACCCCCACTAAGATTCGAAGAAGCACACTTGGTCAGAACGCCCAATTGGCTTACGTCACCACATATTCGCTTCCGCTTTCTTTGCCACACCAACAAGCACGCATCTGAACCAGAACAAAGCTTTGCATAATATATAGTTTTTGTTCATATATTGTTCATATACTCGACAATAGGATATAAAGATGGATTTTATTCCAAAAAATGAACTGCATATAAATTGGAGACAATGCGCAGGAGTACCTATTATGGAATAAAATACATGTAATGTCACAGACGTCTATACACTTGTTCAGTTTCCACCCCAAAGCCCATATGCCATATTCGAGAGAATCAAAACGAGTCGTCTAAACCTACACCTGCTCAAAGGCCTTGCCACCTGCAGCAGCATCGAGTTTGATAACAGAGTCGAGACCCATCACTTCGAAGAAAGCTTTCGGGTCCATTCCCTGTGCAGACGAGAAGTCCGTGCCAGTCTTTTTGAGGGAAGCCATTGCAGCTCTGATACCGTGAACTGCAGCGACGCAAGAAACCAGGGAGAAGACTAAGGCGAAGCACGTTAGCAAGAGTTTATTAGGATAATCCACTTTGACTTACTGATGATCTTTGCGCCCATCTCCTCAGCCTCCTTGCAAGTGAAGGAGGGAGTGAGACCACCGGAGATGACATTTACGAGGACAGGCTTGGGTGCGAGTGCAGCAACAGTTGTTTCGAGAAGCTCCTTCGTCTTAACACCTTCGATGAAGCACACGTCCGCACCAGCACCAGCAGCAAGTTTAAGCCGTGTGACAGCTTCTTCCATGCCAAGGACCTGCGCTGAGTCTGTGCGACCAATGACCACAAAGTCCGAGCCGCCGGGAATCGAGTCGCGAGCAATAACCGCCGCGCGGATACGGGTCAGGAACTCCTCACGCGAGACGACTTGTTTACCCATAAGGTGGCCGCAACGCTTTGTTTGTACCTGATCCTCGATGTGCATACCCGCTACACCGGCTCGGTGGTACTTGAACACTGTACGCGCAACGTTCGCGGGACCACCGAAACCTGTGTCTGCGTCTGCGATGACAGGGACGGTCGGATCAATGCTGCAGACCATTTGAGCGGCTTCTGCGAAGTCGTTCAGAGTGGCAATGGCAAGATCGGGCTGGCCGAGACGCGAAGCTGTTGTAGCAGCGCCACTGGAAGGAGGTGTCTATCAGACTCGAGAAGATCAGCGAAAAAGGGGGCTACAAACCTTTGATACAAGCAGTCGAAGCCAGCTTCTAGCGCACAACGTGCACTAATACCGTCGCAGATACCAGGAGCAACCTAAAAGTAGTTTAACACTCTCTACCCTAGCAAAATGCCTATCCGAAGAAACACTTACAACAATGCCTGGCCTTGCAAGCATTTGACGAAGACGAGTAGCCGGGTTAAGAGAAAGGGGGCCGTCCAAAAAGTTCTTCGGGTCAAGACGGGGGTTGTAGTACACTCCAGGTGCATGAATGACCGGGGACAATGGGCTTTCTGGTGTAGAGCCCTCGCTCGACATTGAGATCTCGTTGGTCATGATGGGGGCGGCCACCGGTGCGGTAATGGCACCATTCTCATGACCGTTGGAGACAGTCTGGGATTCTTTGCCAGAGTAAATCATAGTTGGGACGCGGAGAGTAAAAGTTTGTGGGTCCAGGAAGCTGTGCAACAAAATCGAGGCTTTGGAGGAGCTGCCTGTTGGATTGCTCGTTCACCGCCTCTCCTTTATAGGCTAGAGACACCGACTTCACAAGGAAAGATCAATAAAGTTCATGACATAACTCAGGGAGTTTACAGAGCAATACTCACCTGAATTCTTCCATGGATGACAGACGCTGTTAGTGCGGCGGCGATATTATGTCTCCCATACGCCTTAAACGCGGGAGTGGAAAAATTCCGCTTGTTCCTGACAAGTCGTATCCTCCAACCCCGAGAAGTTACTTTCTTCGTAAAGGGACTCCTCACGTGTGAGAAGCGCATTACCATGCGCGTTTAGACATGATCGGACTTGGCATTGATTGTGGACTCGAAGCTGGAAGCAAATTTATCGTTAGAAGCGTGAGCCTAGAGCCACCTTATTCGTCGTTTTACGCGTTTTGTCCCAGAGATACTCCCGTACCGAGGGAGACTGCGGACATAAAGCGGGAAGAAAGCAAATGAGAAAAGCGTTGGCCATCTAGAGTAGACATCCCCCAATGCTTCGGACTCCAGATGCAACCGGAGCTAGTGAGCTAGTATAACAGGCAGCGACATGATAGACTACTGAGTTATGTGCACATCCGACGAGCAATACGCGAAATTAATTTGCTTTTCGGGATACGGGCGCTTAACATCCGGACAGAACAAGATGCCTGAACTACGCGCGATGACGCCACAGCACAACAAGTCCCTCTGAGGAGCAAGAATACAGCTTTGCGAAGGAGACACAGTACTGCCGTACGCTCGATCTGCACCTGAACCAATCCGGAAAATAATTTCAGATGGTAGCAGTATCAGTGAAATATCACTCCGAGGAGTGGGAGATTTGAGGCATGAGCGTTGCAGTAGCCACAAGGAACATCAAGAATTCAGCTTTCGACAATACATCTCGCAAGATTAGCTTGGTGCAGCGCCAGATGATACTGCGCACGTCCCGCCCGTTGGCGGGAAATGCTCCATATCAACGATGGGTATGAGAGCGCGATTTTCTATTTAAGCCTAGCGCTAAGGCGCTTGATGCGTACTTTTCACATTGTCCTCACGCACCGCTGCTGCGGAGTGCTCCACGATCATCGTGATCGGATGGGAATGCACTGGGCGTCGTATGATGGTGCGAAAGATTAGGCCACCAAAGCTTGAGCGAAGGAGACGGACAAGTTTAATAATTGAAATGGAACATGTAGAGGGTCAACCGACTCTGCAATAAGGTTCGTCGGTGCGTGAGATTTTCACACCAAAATTAGTCCACGCGTCATGACGCGTCTAAACATGCCGTTTGCTCTGGTTATCAGCCATGTCTTCACCAGCGAGAAAAGCCAACCCAAAGCTCACCGAGAGCCCACTCTTTTCTTCTGTGTCTAAAGCAAGATTAAAGTCCTTGTACTCAGATCTATCCCGACAGAAGACCTCAAATCCGGCAGCTTACTCGTCAAATGTTGACTGGTGGAAGAGAACTCTGGCCACATTGGTTGAACAGGGACTACAATCAGGTCCCGCCGACGCGTTAGTCTTGCACGCAGGTCCAGATCTCGTCGAGACTCTCAGATACGAGAGTGTCGGAAAGCCTATCGGACTCGCTGCGGTGATCGTACGTAGCCTATCAACTCTTCACCGCTCCCCTTGACTCATTCGCGTCTGCTAGGAAAGGCTGATCTAAGGGACAAGCATGCGCTTATTCCTCTGGAAGAATTCTTAAGCTCTCCGACATCTGTCTACGACCGGGAGTCTCTGGCATATAGAGTCGTGTCTTTTGCTGTGGGCAAGCCGCTTTGGTGGGCAATGGAGCAACTTAATCTGGTAGACTCCGAGCACGTCGAATCAGAAGCATCACTTTGGAAGAAAGTGGCGGGAAACTATGTCTTTCTAAGCAATGTGGAGAAAGCAGCGGATGCTGTGACAGAGTTGCTACGACAGAATGTAACTTCATCCCCTGCAGATTCGTTATACTCGTTCGAATCATTCAGGAGGCTATCCAGCAGTGCGGATATCGCTTTAGAGAACTCTACATTGTCGGAGACGGACGTCAAAGTTTTACTAAGGTTCTTGGATCGAGATAGAAAGATCATCGTCACAGATGGAAAGGTATGTTTCGTCATTCCACAATACATTCTATAGCATATAACCGTCCTAATGTAAGTTATGTCAGGCAATTAAAGTCGTCGACTCAATAGACTCCAAAACACCAAGGATCATCTCTAGCATTGATAAAGGAATCTTGGAGCTGAAAACGGCGGTAGAGAACATGGAACTTCAAATTGAAGCACTTAACAAAAGGATAACCGAGTAAGTCGCCGAGCAACTCTGCCATGCCCTTCATGTTAGTTCAACCCTGTTAACTCGCGACAATTTTAGAAAAATACAGAAGATTAAGGAATGTCTTGGCGCGAACCGCAAGGAAGTTGCCATGACGCATCTGAAGTCCCGCAAACAGTACGAGGACCTTCTGAGGAAACGACTCGGTTCACTTGAAGTGCTCCAGGCTACCTTGATACAAGTCGAGGCTGCTGCTCAGGACGTCGAAGTACGTTTAATCACTATCATTTTGCTCTAAACTTTAAAAGTTTACCTGATGTTAACTCCCTGACAGATAATGAAGCAATACGAATCCTCTACTGCAACACTACGAGCCATACTTTCTCACCCCTCACTACAACGCGAAAGAATCGACGCGACGATGGACGCAATGGCTGAGGCCTCCGCAGAACAACGCGAGGTCGACGAGGCAATTCGAACTGGCATGTCGGGCATCACCGAGGATGTAGACGAGGACGAGCTTCAGGCGGAACTCGCCAGACTTGTTGCAGACGCCCAGAGTGAGCAGAAAGAGCGGGAGGAGTTAAGGGCGTTAGAAGATACGTCGGCGTTGCCTTCCGTTCCGTCAGGCACGCCGATGGGCTCGGGGGATAATACCAAGGATGAACGTTCTCACCAGGATACCTCTATTGAATCTGATGCAACAAAGCCTGTCATCGAGCAAGTGGCGACATAGTTGACATCTTCCGCGATAAGCAGCCCGGCGAATGAGATACCCCGAGCTAATCACTCACGTATTTAGATGAATCACCCGAGGCATATTTTCGGCGTTTCCTCTTCCCGTTGTTGTGCAATTTTCTATCCGTTTAGTAGCTGACATTGTACATTAATGCATTGACCTATTGACCTTACTTTTCCATTACCAGCTTGTTGGAGTATTAAGTTATTATCTGCGTGAAATAGGAATTTGTACTTGAATAATACATTGGAAACTAGCGCTACAAAGTTACCTCATTTTCTCAGATTGCGAAACGTGTTTTAAGAATTATGACGCCAACAGATAACCCTCGTCTGATAGAGTGCAAATCTAACTAGCCACTACCCATGTTCGTCTTGCTTTTTCGTTGAGCTTCGTATAGACCGTATATGCTATATGTTGGACTACGGTAATCAGGGTCCGCGTTCGCCAGCGCCATCTGCTGAAGAGAAGGAAGAGGAGGTGGAGAGGGTACACGAGGAGGCCGGTCGTTCACTCGTCCTTTGGTTCCTTTCTTTACGGCTGTATCATTTGCAAAGGGATCGCCTGAGTGTAGAGAGTTGAACGTCGCTTGCGAGGGGAAATCTTGGAGCATAAAGTCTCCAAGGGCAGCATGAGTAGCGGACGGACTGGGTAACTCTGAAGGTGGGAACTCAGAGGGAGGGCGTGTAGATGCGCGCCCATGAGCAACTGAAAGCGAGTCATCCGGATAGAGGGACACAGGCGAGAAGCACGACGAGGGTTGAGGAGGTGAGGCAAGTCCAAGTGCAGACGTAAGTGCCTTCGTATCACGGTCTCGGCGCTCCTCACTCTTCACAGTCGGTATTGCATACAGGAACGGTTCCTCATTGCCTTGTCCCCGACCTGCTCTAGACGCGGATGGAACGCGATAGAGCGAGCTCTGCGAGGCTCGAGAGGGGGCATTCTTTCGAGGTGGCCTCTGAGCGTGATCGCCTGAAGAACTCGAAGACTTCGCGGCGGACTTTGCTTTTCCCGGCTTCGGAGCGGGACGCGGAGCTTGATAGGCAAACGCAGTCTCTGTATCCGTGAGCGTCGGTGAGGATACATAGGTGCCACCGTACATCGAAGCAGTCCTTGATCTGCGACGAGCTGCCTTCTCTTCTGTACCTTTGTTCTTGACTTTGAGTGGCTGAGTACCAGAATTTACTGTCTGCGGTGGAAGAGGAAACTCCAATGCAACTCCAACGGCTGTAGGCGGAGCTGCTGTCGTGTAAACAGAAGCAGGCGACAGGGGAAGTGGTATTTGGTTATTTCCTACAGGATTCGCCGTAAGATAGACTGTCTGTCTCTTGTTTGGAGTCTTCTCAGGGACATATTCGTTACCGCCGCTTAAAGGCCTCCATCCATCGCCCTTCTCCATCTTGGCGTGAGAGGAGAGCAGATTGTTGAACGAAGGGTCTGACCAGATTCCCCGCGAGAACCGTTCCTTTCCACCGAAGAGTGGTGACTCTTGAAGAATTGGAGCAGAAGGCCTAGGACGATCGACTCGGCCATTACGGAGTAAGAGACCTCGTAGAACGAGCACGAATGCCAGAGCTATTCCAACAGCACCAACGGCGATTAAAGCAATAGCATAAGTAGGGAAGTGACTGACACTAGTAGAAGAGGATGTATTCGGCGACTTAGAAGCTGTCGGGATGACGGCATGCGATGTGCTTGATTTAGTGGCAGGAATCCATACGGTCGTTGTTGAACGGATTCTCGGAGGGTATTCGGCAGAATCGGAGGTCTGGCTAGTACTAGTTAAGCTCCCAGTAGTAGTGAAGGAAAAAGTCGGTGGAATAGTTAATGTAGTACGAATAGTCGTGTCTTTTGGACTAGAGTCTGCAGGTATAGGATCTGGGAGAGCGGTTGCCTGAACTTCATGTGCAGCTTCCAGTAGTCGAGCATCTCCTGTCGTCTCTTTGCTCTTCCCATGAGTGTGCTTTAGAATATGAGCGTCTTTACTTGATCTCCTGGCTTTGCCCCTGCCGATTGTTTTGCCCCTTTGTTCAAAGATCAAGTGCATTAAGTGGGGGCCCTCGTAGTTCGTCCTAGAACTTGAGCTGACACCAGTGCCACGGGCCGGACGCTGAAGAGGTGGTGAGAGAGGTGGCATCTTTGCTTCCCGAAGAACAACCCAAAGGAGTGGACGGCTTTTGAGAGCTTCTTGAGCTGAAAAGCCAGACAGAGAATGGCAATTTAGCGGCCTGCGTGTCTAGGACGTGTTAGAGGAAGGATTGAAAATCGTAAATACGCTGCACTGTTTGTTTGAGAAGCATCCTCGACACGATCATGGCTAACTCACGTGAATCATTATGCTGACGCGTTTAAAACTCCGAAATCCAGAGCAACAAACGAGGCTATATAAAAATAACCTCTACTTTTCCGTATTATCAATTACGATAATGCACAAACGATAGCAGCCTGTAACAAAATCGGAACGCATACAATGGACATAAACGGCGCATACCAGACACCGAGGACGCTCCAGTCCCAAAGTGAACCACTATTCACGCTAATAGCCAGTACAAACATTGAATGGATGACGAGCAGCATGTGCTTGATGTCACGATACATGCGTGAGTCCGACGACGAAGGGAGGAACAGTATGAGCGGAAGGATAAGTACAACGCAAAGAAGTGCGGCAAGTGAAAAGTTGAGAAGTGACATTACGGAGATGAGTGTCGAAGTTATGCAGAGAGTAAGCGCTTGTAAAATTTCAGACGGAGGAGTGACGTCGATTGATTTACTGGATGATTCCATGCGGTATGAGAGCCAAGCGCATAAGTTGGAGAGAACAAATAATTTCACAACCTAGAGAAAATCAGACTTAAATTTACATTACTACATTATAGACTTACTGTTGCACCAACATGAGTTGGCGTCAGGGTGAAGTTGAAGAAACCCTCGGAGAACAGCCATCCCTTCCATGAGATGAGGAAGATAATTGCGCCTATGGCATGCGTAGCCAACATAACAAGAAGAGAATTCAGGACGGGGCGGCGGCGCTGGATCCATTCATCATCACTGTCTCCGACAGATTTCTTCTCTGTAGCCTCTCTGCGCCATCCGGCATTGACCCAGGTCCGAAGACCAGTAAACATCGTGGCGACACTGATCAAGATAACGCTTGGAAGATAATGGCCAATCTTCAAGAAGGTCCTAGGAGTGGTCAAGATATAAAAGTAAAACGATGCGTGCAACCGTTCTAGCAAGTTATTCATAGTGCGTAACGTCGATTCAACAGTCCTAAGGATATCTAAGTTTGTAAGTCTTTAAAGATGTTGCGGCTTTCACGTACTTTCCAAGTGTGAAAAAACCATGAGGACCATGAGCAGGGACCGCGAACAGTGTAATAGCATTTATACGATATCTTGAAGTAAAATTAAGTGGTGCTAAATAGAGTAGTTAAATGTATATCTCACCTATGATACAAGGCATGCACACCACTCCCTTTGCCTGATGCTTGGTAATACATGTGTCGAGCAATATTACGAGCACGGACAGAGAAATCAAGCGCCGTCGGATTGTTTCGAATCAGGGCTGGGACCCAAGCGGGAGGATATGATTTATCGTCAGAATCTCTTGGGTCCAAATGGTCATAAAGCACAACTGGTACACCGCCCGTGCCTTGCGCAATGATCTGGAAGGAGTTAATTAAATCTTGGTTTGGCAACCTGCCGTTCAGTCCCTCTAAATAAAGCTGTGGCTGAGAATACGTCAGCGCACTCGGAATTACCGACTTACCATGGAAGACACCTAAATGAGAGAATGAGTGTCCAGGGTAGTCGATATTAAGTGAGGTCCAAATGACACCCGACATAAACTCCAGTGGTTGAACATCAAGATCTATTTTGCATAATTAGCCCAAGTAAAACGTCAATAATGGTCTAGACTTCACTTGCTTGAACCTCAGCATGGTAAGCAGATAACCAGGCTTGCATGCCAGGTAAGTGGTCGTCTCCGACAACAAAGATTATGTCTCTTGCCCAGTGTGAGTATCCTAATAATGGCGACAGTTTCAGTTCTAATTCTAACTTTCTACAGTTTGATGTTGTACTTCGGAGATGGGATGCCAATGCGAGAATAGTGGCAACGCCTCTAAGATTTAGCGAGCCCTCTCCCATCCTGCTGGCCCAGGATGCACTGATGACCATGGCCTCCGTGCCAGAAGTGCGTGGCGCCGAAAAGATTGCATATGCGTTCATGCCCGAAATTGACTATGGACGACTTAACAAAAGAACTTGTCCCAAAATATAAATCAAATCTACCTCAGACGCGGTAGTAAACGTGTACTCCTGCGTTGCTGCATGCAGCCCGAGTTTCTCAAACTCGTGTTTCAAGTGTTCTGCACGTCTGTGATTTGTTTAGCGCGCCTGACATGTTAAGTTTATAACGGCGTACTCTGAACCTGTGGCATTTCGATCACGTAGCTTTTCCAGGTCATTGAGATAGAGGTCCGCCCTATGAACTTCCGCCCAATTCCAATATGTATTGACCTGATCATTATAATGGGTGAGCAAAATCCAGGCAGCAATCCGTCTGGTCTGACCTGATTCGGCTGAAGTGCATTCTCGTCAATGTAGACTCCTCTCCCTAAGAGACTTGAGGGAATAATCAGAAGCCACAAGTACCCTATGATATACAGCAGTGCACTAGAGAACGAACTGAATGAAAGTCGTGTAAAATGAACGTTGACCATACTCACCAGATGTACGGTAACCGACGTGCTAAGAAAGATGACATGGCCCGTCTGCGCCGCACACGCGCATTTCTCATGTTTCCCAGTCCATTACGAACTCGTTCTCTAAGTGCATGTAATGACAAGGGCATGGGATAAATGGAAATAGTGGACGAAGCGAGAGAAAGAGAGCGCGTCGGGCTGATCGCTGCTCGCGCGTGACTTACAGTATGTGTCTGGAGGTCAACAATGCCTCTCTTTGACTTCTTGCCACCAACTCTACTCTCAAGCGGCCAGTCGTCAGGCTTTAAGCAACGCTATCATGAGGGAGAAACGCAAGCGAATTGCTTCAAATGCTAAAGGCCTCTCGGCTGGGGAAAGGCTAAATCGGAACCGTTTACTAGCGGAATATGACTTGCGATGGAACTGGATTGGCACGGAAGCAAAACACGTCTCGGATATTACTCGAGAGCATTGTCTACGAGCTGCTGGGATTTCTCTATCGGGTCTCAAACGCCCATGCGCGAATAAATTCATCAAGGACAGCCGTGGGTGTAATCCGGTTCAAGACCTTGCCACCAGCTCGGAAGATCCAGAGGATATCATTGTCATTTCTGATGGCGAGGAGGCTAGCACTTGTGACAAGAAACGATGCAAAGACAATCCATATTGCTTGAACTACATGGGCCAGGAGAAATGGGAAGATGAAGGTGGGCCTTAACCCCATATTTTGATACTTGGCTTGAACTATTTGTAACTTGTCAATGCACAGATAAAGCCAAAGACGCGTATCTCAAAGCACACCTTAAAGGGGAAGATCCTCATGAGCATCTGAAGGAAGCACAACCAGTCGGACTCAAGGTGATTGATACCAAAACTTCTTGTTGCAATGTTCCTTATGGACAAAGCTAGAATCTTGGTGCTACATGTTATGCAAATGCATTTCTACAAGTATGATTCAAATTGTCGTCTCACGGAATACCATCTCATACACAGCAGGTCTGGTTTCAAGACATTGCCTTCCGCTCAGGCGTATACAGATGTCAGCCGTCCCCAGATAATAGGATCAAATTCAAGGATTCGCCTATCTTTCAGCTTCAAGTGACATTCACGGCTCTTCAGGAAGGCATTAAATCCGTTTTCAATCCAATAAAGCTCGTCGAGAGTCTACGGCTACGGACGTCCGAACAGCAAGATGCTCAAGAGTGGGCTGATCTTTGTCCTTGCTGTCTCAACCCTCTGATAAGACGTATTCAGGTTCTCAAAGTTATTCATGTCGCATCTTGATGACGAGTTCAAGAAGCAAAGCGATCCTGACCTCCGAACGTTACTGTCAGATCAGGTGAGCTGCAGCGTCTCTGCGCATTCTGATAACAATAATTAATCTGATTAGTTTGAAGGTAAAATGGTTAATGCGACGGTCTGTGACAAATGCAAGACGCGGTCTGAAAGGGAGACAACATTTCTTGAACTTGAAGTAAATCTGGAGGTGTGTAGTGCCTGTTTCTTCATCATATGTCTATTCAATCGACTCTCCAGAAAGGCGGTACCTTAATGGATCGAATCGCTTCACTTCTAGCTCCCGAAAGGCTGGATGAAAACAACAAATATATGTGCGCAATATGCGACAGCTTGCAAGACGCCACTCGTTATACAGAAATCCGAGGTCTACCACCGGTTTTGCACATCTCCCTCCTCCGATTTGTCTACGACTTTGCAACCTTCGAGCGAAAGAAATCCAAGCTTCCTCTCAGATTTCCGCCATATCTAGACATGAAGCCATTTCTTAATTCTGCGGGTCCTGGCCAGATGGTCGGTGAGGAAACTAGCGGAACGGAAATATATGAGCTGCGCGGTGTGCTCTTACATAAGGGACCTAGTGCCTATCACGGACATTATGAAGCGCAGGTCTTTAACCAGGAGTAAGTGAAAAAGGTTACAGCTTATCCACATAGGAACCGTCCCTGATTGTAAGGAACTGGGCAGAACTAACCAGTGGTACCAATTCAACGATGAAGCCGTCACGCCTTTGTCTTCGTTCTACTCTCCAAAGTCCGCGCCAATTACGAGCAGCGAACCTATAATAGTCGATGGAGAAGATGACACGTCCGTTTCCCTATTTCTTGAGTTCGACCACCTGTTGACATACAAATAACAGTGATAGACCTGCCAAACGACAGAAACGAAATGTTAATTCGCGTCGGATTGACGACAGCGATGAGGGTGAGGCAGCGTCGTGAGTTGGCTACAATCTATTTTCAGGAGATAGTCTCAAATGAATGGTCTTAGAACAGCACCTGTTGCCATATCCACGGGGACAAAGTATGCGCTAACTCTTCCGTAGCGTTTCTTCGTTTTTAATTTTGTTTTCAGAGTTCTCAGTTCGAAGGATGCATACATGCTGATTTATGCGCGACGCGAGGAACCAAACCTCGACGACGCACGCGTACCTGTTCCTCCCACAGACGCACTAGAAATTATCAGGTCGTCAAATGAAGAGCATGAAAAGGCGTGTGCTGACTATAATGCAATGTAAGTCAGTACTTCACTGTTTGAGGACAGAATTTTAACGTCGGATAAAAGGCGTGAGCAGAAGAAGACAGAATTTATCAAGGTGCGGGACAACATAAGGGACGTGTATCGGTCCTGGCATATATCCTCCGCTTATGAGGTAAGTGCGTCTCGAATAAATATAGTGCACCTTTACTCATTCATTTGCAGCCTAGCGTAATAGTCAGCAAGGCTGCTCTTCAGAAATGGATTTTAAGCCCACTTGCTCCACTCGAATCTAAGAGTAGCGTGCAATCAGCTACGCCCGCGCCCTCCGAACAGAAGCCAGTGGAGGAAGTTAGCGAAGCTGCCCAAAACACTGAGACGGTCGCTTCGAGTAACCCCGATATAGCAAATGATACTCCATGGGAAGCGCTGAACATCATTGATAATACCAATCTTCTTTGCACGCATTCTATTGATCAAGAGCGGCTATTAAATCCGTTAGCTGACAAAGACATGAAGATCATATCAATGGTATGTTCTCATTCAGTTCTTACATACATACAAATGACTCGGGAACTACAGGAAGCCCGCGATAAGATTGTCAAAGATGGCACAAGGCTGTTGCCCGAATTGACAGTGGATAACGTTTGTAGGCTTTGTGTTGAGAACGAGTTTGCAGGTGCGTTCTTTCCTTCGTTGCGCTGCAACGTGTTTTGACGGTACCTCAGAGAAGCTCTATCAAATGGAACATCCCCGTCTCGTGGCGGAGTTTAATGAAATCTCCAGCACAGCAACCGAGAATGAAGGCTTTTGGATATCAAAGACATGGTTTAAAGGCAAGTATAAGCGCGTTACTGTTAGATTGCTCCGTGACATGAATGATTAATTTCGGTGAACTCCTTATTCAGATTGGGTACTAAACAGGCCGAGGATGCATGTCCCGTCGCAGCCGGATCCTCCGCCCGAAAACGTCTCCGATGACCCGGCTTTGGGTTTCCGTTCCCATGTGTATTGCAAACATGGTAGCTTGACAATTAACGTTGGCACTCGACGACGTATCTCGTTGGAGGTAAGTCCTTTGATGGCCATTACAGACTCCGACTCCATCTTTCTAAACTGATGCTCGTCAGGCTGTGAAACTCCTGCAGCGAATATTCCAGGACTGGGAACCACCTCCTTGGGATGCAGAAACCTGTCCGGCTTGCGATGTCGACGTGCACATATCAAAGGAGAGTAAACTAGAGCAACGGAAGAAAGCAGAAAATGAAAAGGTAGGCAATAATCTCCGAGTATATCCGAATTTACTATTTATTCCCGGTTTAGGCCAAGTTTAATCGGTTGAATGAAGAGAATATATTCGGGCAATATGGAATTCTGCAGAATTCAACCTTCGCAGTTGTCCCTTCGGAGTTCATTCATTCATGGAGGAAATGGCTTGTAAAACCGGGAGATTCGCCTCGAGTGACGGAAATCAACACGCAAAGCATGCTTTGCCCTCATGAGAGACTGATCCTTGACCTTTCTGAGGAAGCCGACTTTGATGAAGATGTCGCCGTCTTGACAATGTCCGAGTGGGAACAGTTACAGACTCTGTACGAAAAATCCGATCTTTCTTGTTAGTTTCATCTGATTCACTTCTTGGTTACAGATACGAGGCTGGTCCACTAATAAAGTGTGAATGCCGCATGGAACTTGATGGGTCCGGTCATGAACGGAGGTACATCATCAGCGAGATACCTTGTTGTTCGGATTGTCGAACAAAGGAGTAAGCCATCTTACGTTGCTGAAAGCAGGAGATCGTGAACTAAATCGGAAATCAGAAAACTTAGTTTCAATTCAACGATGCTAACAGTTATCCGTATTGACAAAGGGCTGGTTCCCAGCAACTCAACGCAGTTGCCGTCGATTGTTGTCCAACACCCGTTGGCTCCATCTCCTGTTTCAAACGGAAAGAAGCTTAACGAGGCTAAAAACTCAATCACGGCAAAAGCGAATGGGACTCGGCAGTCAAGACGGTTGCAAGAAGGCAAGTATTCTAATTGTCAGCAAATCCGGATCCAAAAGGACTGGACCGTGAAAGATGTGAAAGCTGCGGTAGGTTATCAAACTCTAGAAACGCCATGCGGCATCAATTTGACTCTCCTTCATAGATCTATAAGGCTTTCAGGATCCCGACAATATCGCAACAATTATATTACCACGGCAAGGAGCTCGACGATAACTCTAAAACCGTAGCCGAGCTCCAGATCCTCAATAAGGACACGCTTTACCTCAAAGAAGTCATCGAGGACATGATTGTTCTGGACTCTGACATTGAGGATGAGCCCCTCCGAAAGAAGTCGAGGAAGCATGATGAGGGTGATGCCTTCAAAGGCACACTTTTAAGCGGAGGCACAAAGTCTCCACCACCACCACCGAATGGCAGTGACAATCCTCCGGGCTCAAGGCCATCCTCTCCACTACAAAAAGCTTGCTCGGCGTGCACCTTGCTAAATCCCCTTGATGCCGAGCGCTGCGATGCTTGTGAAGCGTTCCTTTGATCTTTTGCATTTCCCGTCAAATGGATTGTGTAGCATTGCATGTAACGACGCATATGTATAAATCCAAGACTTTACCCATGAGCGTATAACAAAGGTTCTAATTGTCCATCGGGCATATTTTGTACAAAGATTACAACTTTCTTTTTTTCTGAACCGGAAAAGATGGGGAAAGGAGGGAAGCAAGCGGCATGATTTAATATAAGATAAGCAGCAGCAACACTGTCAGTGCAAAGCAGTAACGAAACAAGCGATTTTTCGCATATGGAAATCGCGCCTGAGCGCCCAAGGCCCAAAGAAAACAATAAGAGAGAGACAGAGGGAGATGTCTATATGAACAAAGAAACTTAGAAGGAAACAGGGTTAAAAGGGCCCTAAAGATGATAAAGGAGCAGCCGTCGCTGTGTATGGTGGTATAGCGCTCTGTGTTAAAGAAAATTGTGTAGGCACCGTACCTGTTGAGTGCGGCCGCATCCCATCAAGCGAAGGCTGAGCAAGAGGTGTCTGTTCAACGGGAGTCATCATTTGCTGCGTCCGGGTGTGCTGCTGCAGAATCGAACTAGCAGTCATCATGACATCCACTTCACTCGACAGTGGACCAGTGATCTCTACCGCATGCGCGACGGCAGTTTGCGTAGCAACTGACACCTCATTGACAGTCACTGGTGCAGCTCCTGGCGCTTGTTGAGATGGGGGAACGCCTGTTGCAAGAGACATCACCGCCGTGCGGTCAGCAGCGACTTGACGGGCCGCCTGGAAAACAACCTGCTGCGCAGCTGCAACGAGAGCATGTGAAGAAGGCGGAACGGCCTCTGGGTGTACGGAAACTTCTTGATCCAGAGCTTGGGCCGTCACGGTGAGGACATGCTGTTGTTTCGCAAGAGCTTGAAGTTCAGGCCCAGGCGGCTCGTGGGGACGAGCAGAAGCAATAACATGTGCTTGTGCTTCCTGAGCAACGCGCTGCGCAGCACTCGTGAGGACCTGCATCATCTGTGCGTCCTGCGCTGTTAATGCCGCCGGTTGCCCTAAAGGTGGCGGCGGCATGGCTTGTATAGGCCTGTAAAGGACACGGTCAGTGATAATTGGGTTTTGATATGAGAATCAGTACCGTCCAACAGTGCCTGCAACATTGGGTACAATAGAGTCGCTATTAACCCGTCGGGGATTATGAAGATCCACAGCAAGAGAAGGCCGAACGCCGCTGAAGGACATGTCTGTCCCTGTCGGAACTGGTGATACGCTGATGAGGAAAGTTTGCGTAAGCAATTCTTCCTTTCCGTCCTGCATAGTCTGTGGCAAACAAAGGTCAGTAAAGTAATATAACAAAATCTGTGTCGCTGCGTACTCTAGCTTCGACCGTAACCTCACAGCTCTGCGCATCTGGAGGCGGGATCCCTTGTAATTGGCCATCTCGCCATGACAACCACGGAGGCAGATTCGGAGAACTGTATTGTACTTGGATATTTGCCCTCGATGCTTGAGGGTCCCATATCCGAGGCATCCATGACCACCGTAATCCAATGTATGCAACGCTCGGTGGTGCCCCTGCGAGCTTTCGTCGGAAAGGTCGGAACTCCCAGCCGCCCTCGGCCTTTTTCTTGGCATCAATGTTCCAAATATGGTTGCCCTTTGATTTGGCCTTCTTGCCGTCTTCGTTGAAACGCGAGATATACGGCTGGGTCCATAGATAATTTCGAACCTTGATCCATCAAAAATGTGATGTTTTAAATTTATAGTGAATATGCCGTAACATTAAGAAGCCCAAGATAACGGTACCTTTTTCATCGCGATTTTCTCCTCCGGGAATCCTTGCCGAGCAAGCTTAAACACGATAAGGTTTATAAAATGCTCTAACATAACGTGTAGATATGTCAAGGACTTACTTCTTCTAGAAACCCATTAGTAAATGCCTGAATGCGAAACTTGAACGGTCGGAAGTCCGGGGATTCATCCAATCGTTGCATTTTCTTTGCCATCAGCGTCTGATGAATTAATTCACCTTTTGCATCCGTCGCATCCACTAATGAAATATTAGATAAAGTCGATTATGGCAAAAAGGAAAGTACGAACAATTCGAACAGACTTTGTTCAAAAACTCAAAGAAAACGCGATCTACGTCAGCACGATACTCGGGTGGAATTTCGTTCCCACTACTCGCCCCGCTCGACAAAGGTTGACTATCTGCAGGCGAAGCAGAACTTCCAGCAGCACTCGGACGGCGATGCGGCGAACCAGGCCGACTTCTGAGGGGCGGCGATGACTTTGAGGTGTATTGCCCATAAGAAGTGCCGTATGAGCCCTCATAATCAGATTCGCCGTCTTCCTCGCAAGACGAAGAACTAGGCGACCGCGGTGCAGGAGCCGTTGCGCGCGAGTGAGCACGTGAACGTCCCCCCTGACTTGGAACGAATTCAGGAGGTGCATGTTGCTGCAGCGGTTGAGGCTGTTGAACTTGATCAACAGATGTTACAGATCCATTGCCGGCCATAGTGCCGTACATGGACTGGTGAGGGTTGGGATGCGAGAACGATCCGGAACGAGAACCAAGTCCGGAACTCTGCCCAAGAGGTGCAGGAGCAGTTTGCATCGGAATAGGAGGGGCATGACCCGCCGCGGTGAATTGTTGGCCAGAAAAAGGCATTGCGGATGCACCAGCAAGGTCATGGGGACGCACTGTACCTATGCCTGAGCCTAACTGCGATTGAACGGGTGTTGTGCTTGATAAGTCGGCCCATCCGCTCGTCGTGTTCGTTGGACTTGCCATTTCCACACCAAGCTGCGCATCGATTTCCCGCCGCCCGGTATCGGTGAGAGAAACAGGGGCCGAAGCTGTGAGAGGCAGTGGAAATGATGTCTGGGATTGTAGGAGTCCAGGTCGAACACCCGTAACAGGCGCGGATGAAGGAATCTGTTTTCATAGTATCTAGCGGTTAATAAGCAGAACACCAGGACTGAATGGCGAACTGACTGGTCGTGATGTGGACATATTCACAATAGCTGGGGCACCTGGGACAATTGATCCGGTACTCATAGGGTTTACGGTAGTCAGAGATGAAGACAGAGAACCTGAGGAAGCTGTATGCGATAAAGGAATTTGTGCATTGCCTGAGAGTGTTGCAACAGGAGAAGGCATTACTGATTGGGCCTGCGATGTCGAGAGAGACTGGCCTTGGAGAACAGGAAGGTCAAGGTTGATTTTAGGAGGTGAAGCGGACTGGGTCAAGGGAGGCAAGCTTCCATCCGAAGGATCTAGACGAATTACTTTATTGACACGGTTACCACCCATAGATGATGCACACCGCTTGCGTGATGTATCCGAATCGGGACTACCCTGATTACCGGTGACGCTTGTCAAGTCCATCGACAACGGCCCACCAACGGCTTGCTCAAGCGAAGACGGCCCGGACGGTATTGACAAGACACCCGAGTTAGGGAAATTAGGAATAAATCCAGGAGGAGTCGAGGGGTTGTTTGTTAGGCGGGGTAACGACATTGAATGTCTGTGGCCCTGCGTATTTGACGATGCCGAAGGGCCGCCAGACATACCTCCTCTTGGACTGTCTTGCTTGGGAGGTGAGTCTATGCCGGTATTGGACAGAAGTTCAGCCACGAGTGCGACCTTCTGCCTCATTTCATCTATTTTCGAAGAAGCCTCAAAACTCTTGCCCATCGAGCACGCCTGGCGAGCAGAAGCTGCTGCACGCATTATACTGTAAATGTCATGGTTAGAATGAGGACAATGTATAAATTGGATTAGGCGCGGATGAATCCAAAAATAGTATCATGGCCTGGGAAACATATGCATGAGAGGAGATTACTTGCCTGTTTAACACGTCGTCCACAACAAGCATATGGGGTGCATTAACTGGGTCAGGCCGCGGAATGCCGGTTACTTCCGAGGGGAGTGTGAACTTGAAAGAGGCTTCCTGTGTGCTCTGGGATGGGGAAGGTCGTGATCCGAAATTGGCTGTAGCTCCTGGAGAAGCCAAAGATCCAGACCGACTACGATTCAGTAAAGATGCATTAGGTTCCTCGAGTGCCGAAGCTAGCGAAGATGTGGAAACATTGGAGAACGGTGGTGGGACAGGGGACGCTGCATGTGATGGGTTGCTAGACGGTGTGTGGACGCTCCCCGGTGATTGCTCCCGAACGGGCGTGACGCCTTGCATATCATCATTCCCAGAGCTTTGCATCTGTATTTGCTGGTGAGAAGCGGCGAAACCGTTCATAAAAGCGCCTGAGGGATCTCCGCTGGCTATACTGTCGAGAACATCCATGTCGAGTTGAGTTAATGAGACGGACGGAGCAGTATGAGATGAGCCTGGCCTAGCCTCAAACGCGATTGCAGCGCCTGGACTGTGTGCTGCAGACGACGTAAGCTTATCTTGCGACGTCGAGTTGAATGCATGGAAGGAAACGCCCATATCTTCGGATTTTGGCACGAATGAACCGACATCAGCCACGAGCACATCCGGATGAACGTGGTCATCTGTGCTGGCTAGAGGGGGCGTTGGCATTGTAAGGTCTAGTTCAAGCAGCGCACGCTCGTCTTGTGCAGCAGAACGTCAAGTCAAAATTTCCTCCGGATATGGATACGATACCGACACGCCGGTCCTGACAACTTCCACCTCTCTGTGTTTAAGCCTTTCCCCCGTCGACGAGTAACTAGAATCACGTTTCTCGGTGGTTTCGCTAACCAGCCGCGATGAACGTGGCTCTTCCTAGCGGCCAGGTCGAGAGTGTGGTAATGAAGACGAGTCTGTGACTACTTCAGAGATGCAAGTCCTGTTAACCGAGCGGGAGAAGTCCCTTTAGCACCAAACGTCAAATCTCCGTTGTAATTCAATCACTCACGAGCACTATGCAGCACAAAATAGGCAACAAAGGAAACGACACGCCTTTGTGGATTATTGCGCGTTGATCTGAGGAAGGAGAAAATGCGAGTACGCGTAGAGTGACCACACTCGAGATGTTTCGCGCAACCGTAAGGACGAGGATCCGCGAATGCGAATGCGGCTGAAGAAGGTCGGTGGAGATGTTTATAAGATGTCGAGGGAGATGAAGAGGTGCAGCGAGGTCGGTCGAGGACGAGCGGCGGACGTGCAGCGTTCACGGCTACCTACTTGGCCTTATGGCTGATGAGACGCTTAATTTTAAATTATATTTAATTCATCTGTAACTTCCTCTTTGGGTTGGCACAAAACCTTTCTAACGGACCGAACACCGCTTCCAGGTTACTTCTTTAGGATTGTTCTCGCCGGCCGCCGGTTTTCTGGATCACCCACGTCCACTTTCGGAAACTATTTTTACCACGCTTCTCTTTTCCACGACAAAATGTAATTCCAAATATGTACATTTGTTACAGCATTTTGCACAGGCGCGCTTTGCTTGCTGAAGAGGTCTACATGCGTCTGGACGTAGAGCGCGCGCTTTCGTATCAAAAGTTGTATGGAGACTCAGGAGAGGCCGAGGACGGAAGTATGGAACATTGGGACTATTCTAGACCCTTCACCTTCGCTTACTGCAATCTTTGATCGCCCTCCTGCACACCTTCGACATGTGTTTGATCCAGCCCAAAAACACGATTTACTAATGTGCACCTTTCCAGCAATGACTTGCTCCAGTGGATTGTTCCGCGTCACTTCCCTCATCATTCCGAATCTAATTTTTGTGATTTCGGACAGGCAAAACGACTTATGACATGCCCTGGCCTTCCTTTTCTTCCCTGCTGAATCGTCTGGCTAAGCTCAAGGTCTTCTCTCCTCTGGTTCTAGAGCTGCGTATCGTTCAACAGTAACGAGAGAACTGATCAGTGGCAAGACCTTATGAGAAGTTGTCGATTCATACCCTTCTCCCTCCCGATCCAACGGGCTTGGCTGTACTCGAGTGTGTGCTGCAGAAGGCTCTTGACGACTTGCACGTCAGTCGTCAGACACACCCCTTTTACATGCGAGCTATTAAAGAACTGCACAAAGCTGTGCTCAGAGCGGGAGAAATGCTCGGATGACTGTACTTCTGGACGTGTTCGTCATTACATATCGAAATTTGTACTTCAGCTAGACCTGCTTGGACTTTTATCGAACATCTTTGACAATCGGTATGTTATCGTATCAGATGAAGTACGTACTCCTCTGTAAAGTTCTCGCATATTGCAGGTCCTTTCGGTACTCTTATTAGGATCTAGGGGCACTTCTACCTACTAGGTCTCCCGTTTCGACTTATACTCTTCTTCGACACAATATTGCATTGATTGATCTAGGCTTGGTATCGCCTGCCTGACCGTTGAGCTCTCACACTGCGTAACTAGACCACTCAGTCCAGACTAACCTGGATCAACGCACGGACTTCGCCTTGCTCTATCGAAATTTCAACGCAAGCAATAACAACCCTTCCCGCATTCCTGCAGGCAAGTTCTTATCTTCCGGATAACGGAGCGGCCTACGGGAGTGAATCTGTATCCGTCTACCCACATTCCATTGAGAAACTATTTCCTTGAGATCCTTCCACGTAAAACACTTGGTTTAACATTTCTCAATGCTCTCAGCATCACAGCTGCCAAGCTTAACCGTATCGTCCCGGCCAGTGGTCACGCTCTGTATTCATTCGGATAAGTTCCTTGCATTGTATCGGTCACATTGATCCCAGGAACTAGCCTAGTGCCCTGGCGAGGAACTTTCGCAACAGAACGACCTCGTCGAAAAGGGCCGAGCTTATACACATCTCAATGCTTGCGTGTGGGTGCTCATCCTTGCTCTCCGTCGGACACGTAATACGCCTCTATCAGTCCGCGGGGAACCCGAGGGCAACGTTGCAAGAAAATATCGGTGAAAGATGATCCATCTAGACCGAAGCTCTGACTACGCATGCTAACACTACATGAGAGGAAGAGACGCCTATTATTTTCATCCAGGCTTAAAACTTTGTGTTCGATCATAAACTCCGCCCATAGCTGCCCCTTCTGGACTATCGACGGGAATGATGAGTTTCCGAATGAGCGTTTATCCCTGGAAAGGCTGTTCTTCCAGGACACCTCAGCGCTACGTACCCAAGTCCTTGTCTCACTCATACACCGAATCTGATCTCATCGACGTCCGTATCGATCGATAGAAGCTTACTCGAGCGGAGTTTCCGACTGACTAACAATAGATACCTTGCATCTGATATTATTAGCTAGTTACCCATGAGTGATATATGGGAAGCCACCGAAGTGTTATCGCCGAGTCCCGAAGCAGATGCTTGGGCCGATCTGAAACCTAATATTCATCGTCGGTTGCCTCCGTCTCTTTCATCTGAGTTCGCACGTCACTATCCCTTCACAAGAAGTAGTCAGACCTCGTGAAGTTGGGGTGTAAATTCCTTATTGGCACACTTGAGAGAACTATCCTTCGTTTCTCAATGCAATAGAACTGGAATTTCTCTTTGATCTATTTGAACGGAGCAGTGCTGAAGACTCGAGCAAGGGTGCTCGAGCCGTTATCGTGCTTTTATTGAATACAGATCACACCATTTCACGCAACCTACGATACGTGGGCTCATTTTTAAGCAACAGCTGACAGGCGGAACAAAAATGATTGCTAACAAGATTTTAGACAAGACATGGCCGGGTGGCCTTGGTGGGGTATGTAATGGAGGCCACGGTAGAACCAAACGGCACGTTGACATTTCGTTTGCACTTTCATGTTATCTAGTTTATCCATCCACTCCATTTATGCTAGTATGAGAGTAATTTAATACAGGAGAAATTGAGCAGCAAATAGATAGGAACGATAGCTAAACACGATAGCAATGAACAGAGCAAGTTATTGATGAGCATTACGAAAACAACGGATGGTGGTAGGTGAAAGCAATTTTAGTTGTTATGGAATAATCAAAGAAAGCGTCAGAAGGGAAAGTAGATATTGCAGACGAGAAATCAAAGGCAGAATGGCCCCCAGGGTGTTCCTTCGATTCAGTAGTGTCGGCGGCAAGGCCTGGAATATTGTGACGATGTCAAACGCTCAGACCGGTTCAAACCCTGGTTCTGCATACCCTAGTTCTGCATAGAGTTATCATATTGCTGAGGATAGAGATTGCCAGAATAGGCCGGTGTACTAGCCTGCGACGACGCAGCAGGAGACGGGTACGCAAACATGCGTGTATCAATAATCGCAGACGGACGGCCTGAAGGAGTGCGTCCTGGAATAGGGAACATAGGCACCGTGGCGGGACGGAGGGGGCCGCATGGCACTCCCGGAGTGACTGAAGGACCAGGTCTAGAAGGCACAATATAGGTGTTCTGAGCACTTGGACTCTCCTTCGCAGCAATAGCAGACGCCTTTGCTAAACCCTCGTAGGCACCAGTGGGTAATTTCCCGTACTTCTCAAAGTATGCCGCCTCGAATTCTTCCCTGTGCTCTTCAAGCAGCTCGCGCTGAAAGAAAATTTAATGACTCGTATTGCAACGTGCCGAGCTAAACTCACGATCGTGTACTGTGGAATTTTGATTTCACCGCGCTTGTATTTCTCGTGCATTTCTTCATCATGTTTCTTTTTCTCTTCACGAAGCTGTTTCTAGTAATCGTGTGTCTCATGAGCCACGACATTGGATTTAAAAGAATGCAATAAAAATTTACTTGTGTGGGTCGGCCTGGCGGAGCACGTCTCCTTGTGGTCTTCTCTCGTGTCTTCCCTTTAGCAGAGGCCGGTAATTGTTCCTGGAGCGCAGCTGTCAGCAACGCAGTTGGAAAAATGTGGCATGAAACTTGCCGTGGTAGGGCCCTGTGGTTGCCCAAGCATATTTCGTCCCATCGCTTCGGCCTTGTGGCCAGAGGTCTCGGGTGATATAAAGCCTGACATGTTGCGTCCAAACGCCCCAGAAAGAGTCTCCTTCTCTTTACCCTTGCCCTTCAGTTTAGAGCAAGTGGGGAGAGGAGGTGGTGAGAACGGGTGTGCGTTAACCTCGCCACCTGTTGCTTGTTCGGTGTCCTCAGCTTCTTCATCTTCGTCACCAGTTCGCAGGCCAGCTGTGGTATCGAGAGGTTCGAGAGCCATATAACCCGGAACTACCATCTTGGGCGGGGTGATGCAAAAGTATCTGATGATACCATGTTTCATCAGCCACTCGACTGGACGATATACAAATCTGAATTTGACGTAGGATCGAGGAGGTCCTCCACCATGAGGCGTGCCAGCCCATGTTTTGGGAAATTGTGGCGCACACATACGTTCCGGTGCTCTGGCAACGACGTCATACTCGGGACCTAATCTGGCAAGTTGATCTTCACGATGTGATGTTAGTCTATCTGGGTCATTGGGGGATCTTCCCTCACCACGATTGGCTAACATAATCTTGAGCTCGATTATGCCATGATTGTCTTCGGGTTTTGGAAAAGGAGCAGTCGACGGGATATTCGCAAACATGTACGGAATCTCGGACTGGTTCCCTGATCTAATGCCATCCCGGTGAGTTTCCCCGAGGCCATTGAGGAATCTTCCGGGAGATGCGACGCCATCAACCAAAATGTAACCAGCTGTGAACATCTCGGAGCCTTCATCCCTCCAGTGCACGGAAAACGGCTTGGTTCACTGTCAGCGTCTGCTCAATAAGAGGGGGGGAAATGAAATCACCGTTCCACCGATGCTGGGGATAAAGCATGTAACTTTATTGCCTTCTATGTTGACGCGATATTCGGGCAGTAGCCCGCCACTGCCTTTAATCCACGCCTGGAATTTCATGTGACTGGGCATATCGTTTGATTGTTGTATTGACGGTGCGAAAGAGATAGTTCAGATAGAGAGCAAGAGCGAAAGCGATAGCAGAGACGAGAGCAATACGAAAGCGAGAGGGGCAATTGCTTAAATATTAGACGAGAGCCGAAGCCACTTTCTGAGAATGATACAACATCCGTGGCTGTAGTGGTAAAGGTGGGCTTCTTTTCAGATGTATTAAGATTGGCGAAGACAGGGTCGTTGGACTCAACCACTTGGACCCCCAAGTTTAACTAAGAGAAAATACAAGGTTTTCAGGCCACCATGATGGCGGAAGTCCTGATTGGACTGGGTGAATAAAAAAGCGATCAAACAAGCACCCATATCATATCGTGGCCAAATCCATTTCTATCGATGCGTGGCTTGCCGATCGCAGTCATGTGACCACCAATATCCCTTTGTCCTTTGAAGCAACCGCTAGCAGAAACCGCATCTCAACCCTGAGTCCCACAGCTCTTTTTGTTTTGGGTTAGCCCCAATTGACCACTCACAATTTGACCTGAATTTTACAGAGTCAAAATAACATCATTTCCCTAAGAAAATACATACAGTGAAACCTGTCAATAAGCATACTTGTAGTTTAGCATTTCCTCTCAATAAGCATGAAAATTTTGATCCACCAAGTTGGTAGGCAGGAAAATAGAGGTATATTAAGCATAAAGGGCATTAAGCATTAAGCATTAAGGTGTGAGATTGAGAATATGCTTAATTAAAGGAAATTTTGGGTCATGTGACAGTACAGATCATGACCCAGAGAGAGCCACTTTTTGTACAGGCCACCTCCATTTTGTAAAATAAATGCATAATGTAATGAAAACTACTATTAAAACTTATCATTCATTATGTCTGAGGAGCTTGGATGTGTACAGAACCCAGATGGAATACTCAAGGATGCTAGTGAAATTGTTTTCACTTATTCTAGAGATTCAAGAAGCTTCCCCTGCTGTTAATCTCTCAGCTCTGCTTCCAGATATCCATGCTTCCACTGGTATTCATCCACAAACAAGTACAGTCAATGATACATCTCTACCAAAGGATCCTGCCCATAGCAAAGTACTGAAGTTGAAGCATCAAAAGCTATACAGAGGCTGTCCAATTGCTTTCAAAGCTTAATGTGCTCTTTCAGAGTGAAATTGGGTGCTGAGTTTACTAAGGCTAGAGCACTTTT